TAGGGGGAGAGGAAGGGAGAGAGAGAGAGAAACATCCATCAGCTGCCTCCTGCATGCCCTCTACTGGGGATCAAGCCCAAAATCCAGGCATGTGCCCTGACCGGGAATCGAACCTTTGACATTTGCTGCGTGGGATGACGCCCAACCACTGGGCCACACCGGCCGGGGTGAGCCACAGTCTTAAATACCGGTTTTTATTCAAGCTCGCTTTCTTCTGGTCTGTGTTTCCTCCTTAATTGCCTTCTATTGGATTCATGAAAATATTTGAGCCTGACCGGTGTGGCTCAGTGGTTGAGCGTCGACCCTGCACCAAGAGGTCATGGTTCGATTCCCGGTCAGGGCACATGCCCAGGCTGTGGCCCGATCTCCAGTGGGGGGCGTGCAGGAGGCAGCCAGTCGATGTTCTCTCTCATCCATGTTTCTGTCTCTCTCTAAAATCAATAAAGAAAAAAAACTATTTGAGATTTTTTTATGTGTCTTGCTAGTAACTTGTTAGTTCTACGTTCTTTTTCTGCTTTTTAAAATGATGAATCCAGCCATCGAAACAGGGGCCCTTGACATTCTAATCGAAAGGGTTCCTCCCACTCACGGTAGCGCGGAGGCCCGAGAGCCTGGTCTGGCTCCGGCGTTTCTGTTGAGAATCTTACTTCTGTTCCTGCGGGGGCTGCCTGTGGTTCTGTTTGCTGTTTCCTGGCTGCTTTTCAGATCTTTCCCCTCACCTTCGGCATCAGCGGCCCCGTCGTGCCGAGGCCTGGGCAGTTCTTGTACGTGTCCTGCGCCGAGTCTGCAGGCTGAGTGGCTCCCTAACCCCCCACCCCGTTTCTGTGTGTCCCAGTGACATGCCCGTTGCGCCATTTCACTGTGCCCGAGATGCCGCGACTCCGTTTCTGTGTTTTCCATCCTTCTCCCTCTGCACTTGAACTTCCAGGGACCCAGAACCAGACTCCCCTCCTCTGCGTCTGGTCTCTGCAATTCTCAGTGCCTTCGGTTCTAGAATCTCCATTCTTTCTTTTATATTGTTCCGAATCCTCTCGCGGAAGTCTCGATTTTCCCATTTATTTTCTTCATCTTTTTTTTTTTTAATCCTCACCCAAGGATATTTTTCTATTTATCTTCAGATAGAGTGGGAGGGGGAGAGAGAGGGAAACATCGACATGAGAGGGACACATCGACTGGTTGTCTCCCACACGACCTGACCAGGGCCGGGGACGAACTGCAGCCGAGGTAGGTGCCCTAGACCGGAATCGAACCTGCGACTCGTTGGTCATCGGGCTGACGCTCTACCGCTGAGCCACACCGGCCGGGGCTGTTTTCTTCATCTCTTTTCTTCTCCTTTTGAACATCTAAGTCATGGTGATTTTAAAGTCCGCGTTTGGTAGCCCCTACGTCTGGACCGTGGGTGGGTGTGTCTCTTTTTCTCTTTGCTTTTCCCCCCGATTTGTTTCGAATCACATAGTCCTGTGATTTTCCTGTGTCACGTTTGCTGGAAGGTCAGACCTCACCTGTGAAACCGTTAGCGGCCCCAGGTGGCAGGGGCACCTTCTCTCTCCCAGGCGCAGGGTGGAGGGTCCTGTCTAACTCGTACGACTGCGGAGTCCTGGCGGCTCTGCAGTGTGGACACGGCTTGTGCTGCCCGCGGCAGGAGCCGGGCCTCCCAGGCCTCCCGTCTGCCTGGGGTGACCCCAGGGCCCCTCCTCCCACTGGATCCTGAGCGCTGATGTTTCTCCGAGCCTGAGACTGTGGGGGATCCCTTGGACTTCCAGAGGCTCTCTGTTCCAGCATGTAAGCTTCACCCCTCGCACCTTCTGAGTTTGGCTCAAGGGGAGACCTGGTCCTTTGTGTGGCTTCTCTGCCCCTTTCCCCGGGGTTGTGGCCTCTCAGGGTGGCTTCTCCTGACCGAAGGCTCTGCAGGTCCCCGTGTCCCTCGGCAACCACTTGCTGCCTGGGAAGACTGCGGTTCCAGCCTCGTGCCTGGTGACCAGCATGCAAACATGGTTCCCGGGCAAGTGCTGCGGAATGCGGGGTGTTGCCCCCGCCCTGCGGCCCCCCTCCGGGACCTGGCCTGCTAGTCGGGGCTTCAGCAGCTCTGGCTCCTGAAAGCAGATTGGAAGTTTTTACCCGGATTCTCCGGTGGTTCCTGATCTTGGGGTCCCCCCCCCCCGCCTTCACTGATGGGGTGGGGCCCTGCAAGGGCTCTTTGGGCCACACCCTCCTGAGGGCAGTAGTTACCATGCGGAATGCAGAGCGTGAGGCTGAGCCCCCTGCAGGCGCAGGCTCGGTGGTGTGGCCCGGGCAGCATGGTGCCCTCGGCAGCGCCGGCTTTGGTACCATTGTGATTTCCGGGAGTCGCCTTCCCACGGGAGGGGGCTTGAGGCTGCGCACGTGCCAGTGTCATGGACCGTGCCCCATGCCCATGGCTGCACTGCTGCCCAGTGACTCAGTCCCCTGGCCTCCCCGGAGCCCGTGCTCCTGCCCTGGTCTGGGCACGTGGGGAGTTGACCGCAGTGCACTGGGTGGAGCTCAGCTTCCTCGCCGGACTCCGGCCCGTGTGCAGCCCGGCGGGAGGCGGCTGGTGCAGGACGAGGGCTGCCGTCCACAGGAGCGCCGCCCTCTGCCCAGGGCTCCATCTGGGCACCTCAGTCGGGCACTGTCTACATGTAGGCCCGGTGGTGGATGTCCGGGGCCACACCTCTGAAGGGGGAAGGATGGGGGCTCGCGGGGGACCCCTCTCCAAGCCCAGGCCTTGCTGCCCCCTGAACCCCAAGCTCCTTGGCCCGTTCTGTCCCCCGTCCCATCGTGCGGTGGGCACTGCTCTGCCCACGCTCCTCTGACCTGCGGGCCGTCGGTGCCCAGGCACAGTCCCCTCGAGCTGGCACAGACCTGGCGCGGAGCCCACCCCGGGCCTGCGTCCTTCGAGGGAGCTGCTTCCTCCGTGTGCGTGAAGGTCACCTTCACGGCGACCTTCGAGCACAGTCTGCTGCTCCCTCCCAGCATCCTTCACTCCTTTGCGGGTCTGGTCACTTCTCTTGCTGAAGATACGAATTATGAGGTATTGAAAAGCATTTTCTCACCCGGCTGGTGCGGCTCGGTGGATGGACCAGCGTCCCGTGGACTGAGAGGTCCCGGTTCGGTTCTCGGTCAGGGCACATGCCCAGGCTACAGGTCTGTCTATCCCCAGTAGGAGGTGTGCAGGAGGCAGCCGGTAGATGTTTCTCTCTCACGTCGATGTGTCTCTCTCTCTCTTCCCATCTCTCTAAAAAATCAATAAAAATATAAAAGGTTTTTTTCTTCTCCTGTCTGCGTTCCCTTCTGCTGTGTTCCTTTCCTGTTTGTCTCGGTCTCTGTGTTTCTTGCGAGAGGCCACGGTCCCCTCGGTTTCCCCCGCGAAGGGCCCTGCACTGTCCCGGGAGCAGCAGCAGGGGCTGGGGTCCCACTGCCGGCCAGTGTGGGTGAGGCTCACGCCGCTTTTCCGTACGTGCTCCGTGCCCCCCGCCGCTGCCCTCGGAGCACCCCTTCCCCGGGCTGGACAGACCCTCACTCTCCCAGAGAGGCGCCTGCCTGGGGTGAGGTGGTGGTGAGGGGCAGGTCCCGGACGGTCACCGGTGTTCAGTCTGCGAGGGCCACTGTGACATCTGCGGGTGCGTCTCAGACAACAGATTCACCGTCTCAGCCTGCAGGCTGGAAGTCCAAGTCCAGGTGCTGGCCGGGCCGGCCCTGCTGAGGCCGGAGGCAGAGTGGGTCCCGGGCCGCTCAGCTCCTGGTGGCTGCCAGTCTGTGGTGTTCCTGGGCTTGTGGCTGTGTCCCCCCAGCTCTGCCTGCCTCCACGGGGCGTGCTCCCTGGGAGCGTCTGTCTGAATGTCCCTCATTATAAGGACACCAGTCGTTGGATTAGGGGCCCACACAGCTCCAGTGTGACCTCATTCTAACCAGTTGCACCTGCAAGGACCCCAGTTCCAAGCAAGACCACGTTCTGAGATGCTGGGGTTTAGGGCGTCCACGTGTGAATTTGGAGGGGACACAATTCAACCCACAGCAGGGCAGGGGCGAATGTTCCTGCCGGTGACTTTCCACAAACGCGTGTCTTTGGTGCCTCCCAGACACCGGCCTTCTGAGGAGCGAGTCTCGGGGTCTCACAGCCAGTGGTTGTTTCCTGTTAGGTCTGGGGTCCAGGCCCCCCTCGTGCCCTTGGCTTTCTTTCCTGCACGTCGCGATGTTTCTCCTTCCTGCCCCTGTCCTGGGGGTGGACACCCGGGCCGCTGCCCCTCCGGCTCCCGTCCTGGGAGGGGACCCGGGCCGCTGCCCCTCCGGCTCCCGTCCTGGGAGGGGACCCGGGCCGCTGCCCCTCCGGCTCCCGTCCTGGGAGGGGACCCGGGCCGCTGCCCCTCCGGCTCCCGTCCTGGGAGGGGACCCGGGCCGCTGCCCCTCCGGCTCCCGTCCTGGGAGGGGACCCGGGCCGCTGCCCCTCCGGCTCCCGTCCTGGGTGGGGACCCGGGCCGCTGCCCCTCCGGCTCCCGTCCTGGGAGGGGACCCGGGCCGCTGCCCCTCCGGCTCCCGTCCTGGGAGGGGACCCGGGCCGCTGCCCCTCCGGCTCCCGTCCTGGGAGGGGACCCGGGCCGCTGCCCCTCCGGCTCCCGTCCTGGGTGGGGACCCGGGCCGCTGCCCCTCCGGCTCCCGTCCTGGGTGGGGACCCGGGCCGCTGCCCCTCCGGCTCCCGTCCTGGGTGGGGACCCGGGCCGCTGCCCCTCCGGCTCCCGTCCTGGGTGGGGACCCGGGCCGCTGCCCCTCCGGCTCCCGTCCTGGGAGGGGACCCGGGCCGCTGCCCCTCCGGCTCCCGTCCTGGGAGGGGACCCGGGCCGCTGCCCCTCTGGCTCCTGTCCTGGGAGGGAACCTGGGCCAGGTGTCAGTAAGGATTGGGAGGGGAGAGGGTTCAGTCGCCAGCCAGAAACACTTGTCCTGCCTTTCAGCTGTCGATTCCAATTCAGGTCTTCCTTCTTCCCAAGGTGCCTCCCGTTCTCGCCGGGACTCTCACCGCTGCTGGGAGTGACCCACAGAGGTTGCCGAGATGGCCGGGGCCTCGGTGAAGGTGGCGGTGCGTGTCCGCCCTTTCAATTCCCGGGAAATGAGCCGCGACTCCAAGTGCATCATCCAGATGTCCGGAAGTACCACCAGTGAGTACGGCAGCGAGGGCAGGTCTCCGTGGCCCACAGCTCCTGGGGCCGGGATGCCCGTGGTCCCCGACCGCCACAGTTCCTTTGCAACCTGTGCCCGGGCCCCGGGAGGGCTCCCACCTCAGGGAGCCCACGTCCGTGCAGGCATATGACAAACACACCAGTGCTGGGACACCTTCAGAACAGGGTCAGCGCCTGCGGCTGGGCCTGTGTCAGGTGGACAAGGATAGCAGGGGGTGTGGGGATGGGGCCAGAACTGCTCAGAGAGCCATGGGGGGCCAGCCCAGGCGGGACGAGAGAGCAGGGTGGGGCCTGGGCCTGTCCTGGGACCCTGGCCCACAGGCAGGGAGGTGCGGAGATGAGGTCACGGAGGTGGGGCATTGTGGGGTGAGCCAGTGGGCACAGCCCCTTGCTGCTGGGGCCGGTGGAGGCCCAGCCCGGGCTGCCTGTGTCAAGGGCCAGGGATTGTTGTTTCCATGACACCAGCATCATCTGCGCTGGGGTTGTGGTGGCCGAACCCCAGGTCCCAGCAGGAGCTGAAACCAGGGCAGCTTGCTCTCCGCTGGCCTGGCTCCTGGAGGCAGCGTGGGTGTGACCCCCTCTCGGCTCCGAGGACAGGCATGTGACGGTCAGTCACCTGCTCCTTCTTGTGGCTTCCCAAGGGTGCTGGGTCATCTCCCAGAGTCCTCAAGCCTGGGGTCTGGAGCCCAAAGCCGGGTCAGCCCTGGGAAGGGGCTTCATCTGCACCTGCGCTGTGAGCGAGACATTCAGTCGGCAGGTGGCCGGGGGTCTGCCCAGGACGCCCCTGGGCCTGGGCCAGCTGCAGAGCTGTCAGGGCCGATGGGTGCTGGCCATCCAGGGCTGCTGTTCCGAGGCCCACGGGCGCTGAGACATCAGGGCGGAGGCTGGCAGCGCCCGCTCGGGCGTGGGGGGCCTCTGCAGCCCTGGCGGGGAGAGGGGGGGCATCGCCGCTCTCTGCTCCCTGCGCGGGTCTCTGTCCGCCGTCCCTGTTCTCAGGACACGGTCCTGTTGGATTAGGGCCCCTCTGACTGCGGTGTGACCTCATCCTAATCAGTGACATCTGCCAGGACCCCGTCTCCTTGCTGTGGTCCCGGGGGCAGGACCTCCACATGTGGATTTTGAGGGTCTGGTTCTCCTGGTGCTGCTGACAGGCCACCGGGTGGGGGCGGGGGCGGGGGCGGGGGGGTCGTGCCCAGGAGAGCGAGGTCCCCAGCCCGTTGCCCCTGAGGAAAACCAGTGGAGGGGTAAGCAGCCCCGGCCCCCGGCCCCGAACACGGGCAGTGACTGAGGGCTGCCCCTCAGATGGGGTGATGCGGTGGGGGACTGTCCCCCAGGTGTGTCTGGAGCCCTTGCCCACCAGGACTGGTCCCAGTTCCTGGTGGACGAGGAAGCCCGGGCACAGACCTGCCTCTAGCCGTGAGGGGCCTCGGGGGTCTGAGGATCCTCTAGCAACATGAACGTTCCGGGTTCAGACAGTGGGCAGTGGGCGGGCAGCCGGGTCGGGGTTGGGGCCGAAGTCCTTCCTGCCACCGAGGACCCACCGCCTGTGGGATCAGCACCCGGGAAACACTGGGCCCTGGTCACGCGTAGGCCTGGGCCACCGGCTTGGACGGGGGCGGGGTCTCCTGGGACCCTTGGCAGGCGCTGGTGGTGGGTGATGGCTTCCTTCCCAGTTTGGTGGACTGGTGTTCCGTGGCTCGTGGGCACGGCCTCCGGCCAGGCCACGGCGCAGCTCAGCGAGGGGGGAGGGCGGGACTAGTGCAGGGGACAGTCCCCAGAGCCACGCTGGCCCGCCCGGCAGGACCCGATGGGTGTGTCCCTGCGAGGGGACAGCCAGCGTGCCCAGGAGCAGGGCAGACGCGGTGCAGGGCCAACTGCTGTGCTTGTCCCTCCTGCAGCCATCGTCAACCCCAAACAGCCCAAGGAGACGCCTAAAAGCTTCAGCTTCGACTACTCCTACTGGTCGCACACGTCGGTAAGCCAGGCTGGGCCCTGGGGCGGTGGGCACAGCCGCTGGGCCGCTCGGCCTTCCCCAGCGTGGCCCTCACCAGGCCCTTGGCCTGCCGGCTGGATGCTTCTCTCTGGGTGGGGTGACGCCCCCCGGCTCCCCTGCAGGCCTGCAGGAGGTGGGGGAAGAGACGGGGCGATGCCCCCCGGCTCCCCTGCAGGCCTGCAAGAGGTGGGGGAAGAGATGGGGCGACGCCCCCTGGCTCCCCTGCAGGCCTGCAGGAGGTGGGGGAAGAGACAGGGCGAGGCCCCGTGGTGGGCTTGCTTCCCAAAGTCACCTCGCGCAGGAGGGCCCCAGAGCCGGGACACGGCTGCCCAGCCGAGGCAGGGACCCATGGCTCGTCAGCTCCCGGTGGGCATTGCCCCAGGGTCTGAGCTGTACAGTCATTTGCCGACCATGCTCCAGACCCCCAAACAGCCTGTCCGCAGCTGACCCTGGTCCACCTGTGTGCACCGCACGTCCTCTGGGGCAGCACCTCCGCTGCACCTCCCCCTGGACCCTGGGAGCCCCCGCCTCCCCTCCAGCCTCCCCTGCAGTCCCAGCCCTGCCCCCCCCCCCCCAATTCTCCTACAAGACACCCAGCCCCCATCCTCAGTGCCAGCACCCACCACGTCACATCTCCGGCTGCCTGGTCCCCAGAACAGCCACCAGGGACCCCCTTTCACCTTCCACATCCTGCCCCACGTCCTCCCATCATCAGGACAGCGTCCAGATACCAAAGCCCAGCCGTGGGCCCCTGGACCCCTGGCCCTGTCCCCCCAGCCCCACCTCTCGTCCTGAGTGTGGGCGTTAGCTCCACGCCACACCCACTGCTCTGAGCCCGTGCACGTTCTGTTCCCTGTGCCGACCTGCTCTCCGCCCTGTCCGGCCTCGGCCTGGCCAGCTCCTCCCTCCCCGTCAGGAAGCCACCCCGGGCGGGTTGCGTCCCTGTCCCAGAGTGGGCAGCAGGGCCTGTGTGCGGGCTGTGGCGCCCGCGGCCCCGGGAGGGATGTGGGCCCCGGCCCCGCCACTGAGCCCTCCTGCCCTGCAGCCCGAGGACATCGACTACGCGTCGCAGAAGCAGGTCTACCGGGACATCGGCGAGGAGATGCTGCAGCACGCCTTCGAGGGCTACAACGTCTGCATCTTCGCGTACGGCCAGACTGGGGCCGGCAAGTCCTACACCATGATGGGCAAGCAGGAGAAGGACCAGCAGGGCATCATCCCGCAGGCACGCGGGCGGGCGGGGCGGGGCGGGGAGGGGCCCAGCCCGGGCAGCGGGGAGGCCCACTGGGCAGAGGCCCTTCCCGGGGGCTGTGAGTCTGGGGGTGTGAGCAGGGCGAGGCGCCCAGGTTGACTGAGAGCTAAGACTCAGACGCCTCATACACTGCTGGGACCCACCGCGGCCCAGCTCCCAGGTGGGTCTCTGGATCTGAGCTGGTCAGGGCTTGACCTGGCCGGGCAGCGGACCTGGTATGTGGCGTGGCAGACTGCCCACCCCCTGCAGACAAGGGCAGCGGGAGGAGCAGGCAGTGTGAGCAGATGATGCGTGAGAAAGGTCAGCGAGGGGACCCCCGAGTTAAGCAGGAAAAAGCAGCTCATCCAGCTGCAGGCCTTCTCAGTGCCTTTACGGTGCACTGTGAGGGCGTGAGGGGTGCCAGGAGGGCAGCGGCAGCCTGGGCCCGGCGGCCGTCACCTGACTGCGTCTCCCGCCCCACAGCTCTGCGAGGACCTGTTCTCCCGCATCAACGACACCACCAACGACAACATGTCCTACTCCGTGGAGGTAGGCCCGCCCGCCCGGCGTCCGGTCCTCGGCCTGGCGGGGCTCCAGGCATGGAGAGCACTGCTCCTGTCGCTCACGCCAGTCTGTGCCCTCAGCTCGTCACTGACGTGTGCCCCTGGTGACCACACCCCCTCGGGGCAGAGTCGCTGGGGGCACAGGGCAGCCTACACTCCGCCGGCATGGACGAGCATTGCTCTGGGGGGCACAGGGGCAGGCGCCTCCGAGTTGCAGAGTCTGGGCCGTACTGTGGCCCCAGGGTGGCTGTGGGTGGGGGAGGGCCAGGCGGGGGGGAGGGGCTGACCCCCCCACCCCACACTCATGCAGGGACTTGGGGTCCTTTGCCCCCCTCCCCCTCTCCAGCATGCAGTGCCCCACATTCCCTACCCCAAGAGTCCCTGGTGACAGCCCCTGCACCCCCCCAAGGTTGTCTGGTGCTGTTCCCACACACGTCTCTGCCCCGCAGGTCAGCTACATGGAGATATACTGTGAGCGCGTCCGTGACCTCCTGAACCCCAAGAACAAGGGCAACCTGCGTGTGCGGGAGCACCCGCTGCTGGGGCCGTACGTGGAGGACCTCTCCAAGCTGGCCGTCACCTCCTACAACGACATCCAGGACCTCATGGACTCAGGAAACAAGGCCAGGTGTGTGCAGGGTGACCATCCTCCCCGCCCTGCAGCCCCGGTGCCGGCTGCCAGGGCCTGCAGGGGAGGCTGTCTCCCGTGGAGGGCGGGCTCGCGGCAGGAGGCTGCTCAGGGCACTGCCAGCCCGAGGGGGCCTTCAGCTCCCCGGACAGAGGGGCACTCACCCACGTGGGGCGCTCCCCCTGGGCGTGGGCTGCGTCTGTTGCTGCCCCAGGCGGCCATCCCCACAGAGACGTGCTCAGGCGACCGAGGTCTGCTTTGAGGGCAGACGGCCCTGGGGACGGGGCTCCAGGCAGGTGCCCCTGGGGACGTGCCAGCTGTGGGCACTGCCGGCCATAAGCAGTTGGTCTTCCTGGCCTCCCTGCCCAGGAGGGTCTGCCCCGGTTGTCACGGCAACCGCCCCACCGTACCTCGTCCGTGGTGCTGTGGGCTGTCAGACAGGAGCCTAGCTGGGGCCTCTCCCTGAGGTCCCTGCATGTTGGTGACATCACAGCCATGGGGCCCCTGCCGGGCTTGTGGAGTGAGAGACGCCCCAGTCACAGCCCCCGCGTGCCGGGCTGGAGCCGGGCTGGGGGTCGCATCGGGGGCCTGCCGCACCGACCGGAGGCACAGTCACCCCGACAGGGCAGCCTGCGAGCCCCAGGGAGCGGATGCCCAGGCCCCGGCCCCCAGGCTGGCACCGCCGTGTGGCGGGTGAACACCCGTGGCTTCCTCCCCCCAGGACCGTGGCGGCCACGAACATGAATGAGACCAGCAGCCGCTCCCACGCCGTCTTCAACATCATCTTCACCCAGAAGCGCCACGATGCGGAGACCGACATCACCACGGAGAAGGTGAGCGCGACCTTGGCGGGGGGACACTGGGCAGGAGGAAGGTCCAGGCCACGCACTGGCCCGCGAGGCACGGGGCACCGGGCGCTGGCCACCCCCAGCCCAGCGTAGGCCTCGGTGACAGGTGGCCAGGCCAGCGAGGCTGCCTCATCGGGCGTTTGGTGCCACGGGTGTGGGAGGGGCTTGGGGTGGACGGGCCGTGGACCCTCGCGGAGACGGGCTGAGGAGGGTGGGCTGCACCACGCACGGCCCCACGAGCCCAGGGTGCCTGGGCAGCCTCGGGGGCAGCAGCGAAGGCCAGGTCTCAGCCTGAGTGAGTGCCAGTCACAGGGCTGGCTGGGCACCGGCATCTGTGAGCACAATGACGAGGCTGTGCTGCCTGCAGTCCCAGATGCCTTTCCCACGCACCTTGGCATTCTCCGTGGCCCCGGGCAGGGGTGTCCTCTCCCGGGGCCTTCAACCCGACTCGCAGTCTGTGGGCTGTGGGGAGGGGCAGCAGGGCGGGCGCCCAGCCTGTTCACGTCCACCAGCAGCTCTGACCTACAATGCCCTCTCCCCACCCCCACCCCATGTCTGGGCCTTCTCCCAGGGCATCTCCGCCCACTCCTGGGGGGCCAGGCTCTCTCAGGCAGCACCCCGGAATCTGCAGAGGGGCCAGGGAAGACAGTGCCACTGAGTCCTGATGGTGCTGGGCACCTTGGCCTGGTACCGTCCTCCCGGAGGCTCACGACGGCCGAGCAGGGAACTGGGTCAGCCTGGGTCAGGCTGCCTGCTGTCTGTCCCTCCGCCCCGACCGGCTCGGGGCACAGAGAGGGTCCCACTGATGTCCGTGCCTGTCGACGTGTGGGAGAGCCGCCCACGGAGGCCACAGCTCAGGAGGGTCTGGGCCTCCTCAGGATGCACGTAGCCCAGGCCACAGTGTTGATTGGGGCACTGGCGTGGGTTCAACCCAGCACAGGCACGGTCCCCTCTGGAAATGGGTGACAGCGACGGGGTGCATCTCTGGGCACCTGGGGAGCCCATGTGCAAACGGGTGGAGAGCACCCCGTGGGCAGAGGACACCGGTGGGCAGAGACGCCGACCTCGGACCCCGGTGGGCCCCAGGCGGTGCCCAGAGGAGGTGGGTGCCCTTCGTGGCCCGTGGCCCGTGGCATCTTCCGCAGCCGACACACGGGCCTTTGCAGGTGAGCAAGATCAGCCTGGTGGACTTGGCCGGGAGCGAGCGGGCCGACTCCACGGGGGCGAAGGGCACGCGTCTCAAGGTAGGGGCCTGACCGCCACGCCGTGGGGAGCAGGGGCCCCTGCCCTCGGCTCTCAGGCGGGGTTTGTCTTCAGCCTGTGTTCCAGGGTGGGCCAGGCAGGAGGGCTGGGGAGAGGTCCTGGGGCCGCCCCCACGGGGAGCCTGGGTGGGTGGGGGCTCAGTGAGGAGGTGGGAGAAGGCCAGCAGGCAGATGACCCTGGCAGCAGAGCTGGGCCCCCTCAGGTCCCCACAGCACCTGGAGGCAGCTCTGCACTGGCTGCCCCGCCCTGAGGGGACACCTGGCCAAGCAGCCTTGGTGTCGGGAAGGATTATTATTTCCCTGAGTCCCCTTGGTCCCGCTGTTATCTGATGGGCGGGAAGCGGCTCTGGACATCGTACCAGATGGGCAGGTGTCAGGTGTCAGGGCTCCGAGGAAGCCAGGGAGAACGCCGGGCAAACCGCACTCCCCACCCGGCCAGGGGGCCTCTGGCTGGCATCCTGCCGGAGGCTCCCATCCCCCCTAAAGGGTCGACAGCAGGGCGGGGCGGTCTCGGCCCCAGGCCCAGGGATCACGCTGAAGCGGGAGGCTCCCTAACGCCCTGACCGTCTTCTCTGCCCAGGAGGGAGCCAACATCAACAAGTCCCTGACCACGCTGGGGAAGGTCATCTCCGCGCTGGCTGAGATGGTGAGCTGACCTCGGGTCTCTAGAACTAGACTGAGGATGGACCATGGAGGACCGGGGTCCAAGGGAAAGCCCAGAGATGTGGGTGGGCTTTCATAAGGCTACAGATGTCCTGACGCCTCAGTCTCCCCACCTGGAAAGTGGGGATGAGCCATGTTCCTCCAGGGCCCTTCGGAGAGACACCGTGAGCTTTGGTGAGCTTGCTGGCTGATGTCCTGGGAGGGCTGCGGTCAGAGGGGTCCCATGGCCCTTGGAAGGGAGGGGCCGATGGGCCCGGGGACAGGCAGTGTTGCCCACTCACCAAGACCCCCAGACCTTCACCGGGGATGGGCCGACCTCAGGAGACCCCGCCCACCTCTAAAGGTGGGGGGAAGAGCGATGGGCGATTGTCGGCCTGACTCGCAGGCCCAGCGCGGGGCGGCCAGTGCCAGCTGGGTGGCGAGTGACGGAAGCCTGGCAGGTGCCCGGGCCTTGCCCACTCCTTCGCCCTCTGGAGGGAGCAGCTGCCCTCTCCTCGCACACCCTGGGGTCCCGGCTGCGCTCCGGGTCCTCAGCCTCTGTCTTTTCTTTTTCAGGACTCTGGGCCCAACAAGGTGAGCAGTCGGCGTCACTTCCAGGGAGGGGGCTGGACGCATGGCGCCCTCAGCTCCAGCGCCCCGAGAGGGTCTCGGCAGTGCACCCCAGTGTGTGCCCTTAGCCAGCAGACGGGCGCCCAGCTCTGAGCCAGGCTGGGTGAAGGGCACAGGCCTGCCGGCCGCGGTGCAGGAGCAGGAAAGGAAACAGGAAAGAAGGGAGGCCAGGGAGGCTCCCAGAGCCGAGGGCCGAGACCCAGGAGGCGGGGCGGCAGCTGTTCACGGGGCCAGAGAGCCCAGTGGGCGGCGCTGGTGGTGGAAAAGGCGAGGAACTGTGGGCAGAGATGGGACAAGCTCTGTGGGGACCAGTGAGGACTGGGGGGGCTGTGTGGGGGGGCTGTGGGGGGCTGTGTAGGGGGCTGTGGGGACATGTGCGGGGCTGTGTACTGGCTGTGATAGGAGCTGTGCAAGGAGCCAGTGAGGCAGTTTTGGGGAGCTGGTTGAGGAACAGTGTCTGGAGCAGGGAGCACAGGCACCTGGAGATGAGGCCGGAGATGGGCAGGCGCCTGGTCTGAGGTCCCTCGTCCACTGTCAGAAGCTGGTTGACTGGGTTGAGTGGGATGCGGTGGGCGATTTTCAGCAGAGCTGACCACGTCCGATGGAGTCCAGACCGTGGCCCTGGCTTCTACGTGAAGAGCAGCCTGGAGGTGGGGGGGGGCTGTGTGGCCATCAGCAGAATGCACGGCTGGTGCTGGCCGTCCAGGAGGAGGAGGAGGAGGAGGAGGCCGATGGCCGTCCAGGTGGAGGAGGAGGAGGAGGAGGCCGATGGCCGTCCAGGTGGAGGAGGAGGAGGAGGAGGCCGATGGCCGTCCAGGTGGAGGTGGAGGAGGAGGCCGATGGCCGTCCAGGTGGAGGTGGAGGAGGAGGAGGAGGCCGATGGCCGTCCAGGTGGAGGAGGAGGAGGAGGAGGCCGATGGCCGTCCAGGTGGAGGAGGAGGAGGAGGAGGCCGATGGCCGTCCAGGTGGAGGTGGAGGAGGAGGAGGAGGAGGAGGCCGACGGCCGTCCAGGTGAGAAGCAGGCGCCCTAAGACTGATGGCACAGACACTCGAGCCCTGTGCCCAGGCGGCCAGCGGCCCTGATACCCCCTGGACGGCGCGTCCCGAGCTTCACATTCTGTCCCGAGAGCTAGCGTGGCTCCTCTGGGATTGTCTGGAAAACCATGACCAACGTGTTGGCCCAGAGCAGTGGCCCAGCCTGGCGGTGGCACCTGTGGGGGCCAGGCCATGTGTGCTGGCCACGTCGGGGGCCCCCAAACACTTCTTCAGCAACTGTGCACGCAGAGCAGCTGCCGTCAGAGGGATGAATGTCCGTGACGCGCAGCGTCGCCGAGTCCGGCGCCGGTGGCCGCAGCAGCGGTTTGGCAGCCCTTCTGTGGGCTGTGGTCCGGATTTCGAGGGGATTTGTCTCAACAGGAGTAGAAGAGCCGCTGGAGCGGAGAGCGTGGAGGGCGCTGGGTTCACAGGGAGGGTGGGGACGGGAGCACAGGTGTTGCAGCAGGTGTTGTGAGCTGCCTTCTGAAGGGCCGTAGGAAGTTTGATGGGGCTGGAGGGGAGCTCTGGGTGACGGCAGAGCCGAGAGTGGGTGCCGGCGGAGGCCTGGGTGACAGTGAGCAGTGGGACCTTTTCTTAGTTGTCAGCCCTGCTGGGGGTTGGGGCGGTGGCTCGGTGGGTCCTTCTGACAGAGGAGGGCGTTGCACCGGCCGTGATCCCAGCACGCCTGGGCTCCGCCACCGGTGTGGCCCAGACACGTGGAGGAACCCCAGGGATGTGCTTGCAGGGCTGGGACTCCGGCCGAGGGTGGAGGCGCCTGGGGGTGGCGCTGGGCTTCAGGGAGCCTTGAGAGCGGCCGAGCCCCGCCCCCTGCAGTCGCCTCGGCTTTGGGGACCACACGTGCCTGCCCCTGCCCCTGGTGAGTCCAGGGCTGACCTTGAATGTTCCCTCCCCCACAGAACAAGAAAAAGAAGAAGACGGACTTCATCCCGTACCGAGACTCCGTGCTGACCTGGCTTCTCAGGGAGAACCTAGGTGAGGGCCGCGGGCTCGTCCAGCCCCAGGGAGACCCCCGCCCGGCGCCACTGCCCCCCTCCTGCCTGGACAGGGTGCCACCCCCCGAGGCCTGTCACCCTTTCTGGGCTGACTCAGGTGAACGGGGGGGTCCTTTCAGAGGACTTGGGGGCAGGGGTCATAAAGTTACTGACAGCAAGTGTGGGAACTGGGGTGATCCATGGGGGCGCAGAGCACCCCCACCCGTGTCAGTGCCCCTGGTTCAGGTCTGACACCCAGGCCAAGCACCCACTCCTGTCTGGACCTCGGCTTCCCCATCTATAACGGGGGCCCCAGACTCCATGATGCTGGGGACCCTGCTTGCCTGCTGGGTTTTGGAGGTCTGCCGTAAGTCACCCCTTTTCCTCCCTGCCTGCATTCTGACCCAGCAGAGACAGACGGGGAGATAGCGACCGAAATGCCTCCCACCCAAAGAACTCCCCGGGGGTTCTCCCCAGCTGGGGAGGCCGATGCCCAGAGGGGTAAACTGAGTCTCAGGCTGGCCTGGAGAACGTAGACAATCGGGGATTCCGGGCCTTTCTCAGCTGCGTGGCTGACACTGTCCTAGGCCCCTCTGGGTTCACCCGTCTGGGCGTCAGCCTCCCCGGCTGTAACGTAGGAGGGGTGGTGGGGAGAAATGGTAGCGGGCTGACCTTCTCCGTGGCCTGGGCTTCTTCCCCCAGGGGGGAACTCGAGGACGGCGATGGTGGCGGCCCTCAGCCCCGCAGACATCAACTATGACGAGACCCTGAGCACGCTGAGGTGAGTTCTCGGGGAGCCAGGCCCCGTGTCCCCAGGCCCAGGTGGGCGTGCCCCCCCCCCCCCCGCCCGAGACAGGACCACTGGTGGGAGGGGAGCTTCTCGGGGAGGTCATCCCACCTGGGACTCCTGGACCTTGTGGCTGTCGGCTGCCGGGGTCTTCATGGGCCCGATCCTTTCCCACCACCCTTTGGGGTGCACTTGGGAGCGGCCCGGGGCCCCTGGCGCGAGATGGGGAGAACTGTGCTCATGGGCTGGGCAGCTCGCACCCGGCCAGGGCGTCACCGGGCCTTTGATTAGCAGACGGGTGTGTCCTCAAGGCCCCCTGGCTGCGGGCGGCCCGGTCCCGGCCCTGCTGGAGGCTGCCTAGCGGCTGGGCCAGCATCTCCGGCCCTGTGGCCTGAGCGCCACGCAGGAGAACAAGGACGTGGGTCCCCATGTGGGGGCGCTCCCACCTGTGCCCACCATGCATTTGCCCTGTGGGATGCGGGTTTGGACACGCCAACACAGGGCTCCCTCCACCCTGCAGCCGTGGTCCGGGTGCCAAGGCCTCTCTGTCGGGAGAAGCCACCCCATCCCTCTCCCCCCGGGGCCTGGGTTTCCCCAAGCGGGTGACCTGGGGCAGGTTGGCCCTGCTGTAGGCCTCCGGCAAATGGCTCAATGACGCCCAGTGGGGTGACTCCTTGCTCTGCCAAAGCCCCGGCCCCACTTGCTGAGACCCCCAGCCCTTGGGCCTGGCGGCACGGGCACAACCCACAGCTCCCTCTGCTGCCCAGGTACGCCGACCGGGCTAAGCAGATCCGCTGTAACGCTGTCATCAACGAGGACCCCAACAACAAGCTGATCCGCGAGCTGAAGGATGAGGTCACGCGGCTGCGGGACCTGCTGTACGCCCAGGGTCTCGGGGACATCACCGACAGTGAGTGTCTGGGCAGGGCGGCCGGGCTGCGGGTGCCCAGGGGCCTCTGGGGCCAGCCTGGCCTCCTGCTGGGACCCCCCCCCCCCGGGCTGGGGCAGGCCAGGTGGGCCAGGTGGCCGTCACGGCCCCTGCCGTGTTCCTGGGCAGATTCCCTGGGTGGGAGGCCGGGGTTCTGGCCTCGGCCTGGTGGACTGCATGGTTGGGGTTTGGTGCTGGCCCAAGCAGGCCAGAGACGGTGCCCCGGGAAGCCACGTTGGCACGCCACAGGTGCTGGGGTGCCCGGGTCCCCACAGAAGACCACAGCTGCCTGCCTGATGCCCGGCCTGCAACAGGCGAGCACCGGACCCTCCAGAGACAAACCTGCTCTTCTGTTTCTCTGTCTCTCCTCCCTCCCCCACGCCTCCCCTCCCCCTTAGCCAACACTGTGCCCGGAGGACCCAAATGTGTGTATCCCCTCGCTGCCCTTGCACCCCTGCTTCGCCCCCCTCCGGTGTAGGCCAGCCTAGCGGGAGGGGCGAGGCCCAGGGCCAGCGGGAGGGCTGGACACGGCCCTCACTCACAGGCACCCCCGGTAGACGTGGTCTTGCACCCCCGTCTCTGTGGGGAACTGAGGCACAGGCGAGGCCGGAGCTGCCACGGCCTCCTCAGGCTGAGTGGCTGGGCTCCGGCTCTCTGACCCCAGGCGCCTGCAGAGGCCTGGAAAACGCCAGGCCCGTCCCTGACGCTGGCCCCACACAGCCTGAGACCCTTCCCCCTGGAAATGCCAGGGGTCTGACTGCCGCCAGGTCCTCCCAGCCTGTGACCCTGCTGGCCTTGGGCCTGCAGCCCCAGCAAGGGGCCCAGTTCAGGGTGTCCCGACCCCGGGGGTGGGGCCTTGGCTTCCCCGGTGCCTGTGCCGTGCCCTGCTCTGCCTCTGCTTCTGCTGGGGGGGGGGGGGGGCTGGCACCTCCCACCCCAGGGGCTGGCACCTTCCCAGCTGCCAGGGTGCTCCCTGGGTGCCCAGTGCTGGGAGATCCGAGCTCAGAGCAGCCTCTCGGGGGCGGAGGTTAGGGCTTCCTGAAGGGCCCCCCAGTTCCCCTCTCCTCCAGGTGCTTCTTGGGGTGGACAGGCAGCCTGACCCGCAGCTCGGGGTGCCTGTGGGCCAGGCGAGGGGCGGGCACGGGGCTGGGGCCACAGCAGAAGGGACGAGCAGGAGCCTCAGGGCCGGGGCACACCTGGGTGGTGAGGGTCAGGGGCAGTGGACGGGGCGGAGAGGCTGTGGGGCAGCCTGGGTGGCACAGGTCTGAGGAGCAGGTGCAGGGAAAGGGAGAGTCCTGGGCCCAGACAGGCGGGGCCAGGGGTGCGGACGGTGCTGGTGGGGCTGCGCGGCTGCCCGGCGGGCTGGGGCCGGGGCATCGTAGGGGTGGCAGCTGGCCCTGCATGCTGCCCGGCGCCTGGCGGCTGTGCCTCCCTGGCCGTCTGTTCTGCCTCTGCTCACCCACCTCGCGCCGTCTCCCAACCCCCGTCTCTCTTCTCTCCCTCCCGTCTGTGCCCCTCCCGTAGACCCGTGCGACCTTGACAGCAGCAACCGTAACGGTGGCTGGGCGGCGTTGAGTCCAGCCCCTGACAATCTCTCCACAGTGACCAACGCCCTGGTGGGCATGAGCCCCTCGTCCTCGCTCTCGGGCCTGTCCAGCCGCGCGGCCTCGGTGTCCAGCCTGCACGAGCGCCTGCTGTTTGCTCCGGGCAGTGAGGAGGCCATCGAAAGACTGAAGGTGAGGGCGGGGCCTGGGAGCCCCCCCCTGGGCCTGGGCCCAGCCCTCTTGCTAACGGCAGGAAGTGGGGCTGGTGGAGGCACAGGTGGAGTCCCGGAGCCCCTCACCTGCCTGCTCCCCCCCAGCTGACAGTGATCACTGCCCTCTGTCCCCTGTGCCCACAGTCACACCCTCACCCCTAGTGACAGGCCAGGCTGGTTTGAAGTTTTCTGTTCTGTTTTCCTGGGGTGCAGGGAGGACCCAGACCTCACAGCCTGAAAGGTTTAGGGTTCAAAAGCACAAAGGCCAGATCGAGGCTGCTGCAGGGCCCCAGGGTTGAGGGCTGGATGTGAACAGGAAGGGCCCACCCCTCTGTGCATCAGAACCTGCCCGCGTCCCTCCCTCCCGGTGGCTTTGCTTTCTCCGCCCTCTGGGCGCGTCCACAGGCGAGGGCGCGGTTCGGGGCACAGCCACCCCTCAGCCCTGGATCCTCCCGACATCGTGCCCAGGACGGGCCGGGCGTGGGGTCTGGTGCCCTGCAGACCTGCTGTCTCTCCCCGGCCCGAGCTCACCTGCTCTCTGTCGCCCCCAGGAGACAGAGAAGATCATAGCCGAGCTCAACGAGACCTGGGAGGAGAAGCTGCGGAGAACAGAGGCCATCCGGATGGAGAGGTGAGCGGGGGACCCCGGGACCCCATCTCCTGTCCCTGTGGGTCTGTTGACCTGGTCCCTCCAAGCAGACGCCTGAACTCGCTGACTGAAGGGGTCACTGCTCAGGCGCAGCTGGGGGTCAGTTGGAGGTGAGGCAGGTGCCGTGGCCCCTTGGGGCTTGAGCTGACCCCCTCTTCCCCTCAGGGAAGCCCTGCTGGCTGAGATGGGCGTGGCCATGAGAGAGGATGGCGGCACCTTGGGAGTGTTCTCTCCCAAAAAGGTAGGAGCAGACCCCGGTTCCCTGGGGCCGTCCTGACCGAACATGGTTGGGTCCCTGCAGCCCACCCAGGGGTCTCCGCTCCTCTGGGGGCACAGCCGGGGTCCAGGCACCCGGGGACCACACTCCTCACGGCGGGCATCCCGGTGGTCTCGGAACAGGGCCTGGGGGCTGCTCAAGGTCAGGGAGCCACATTGAGCTGGAGCCCTGAGCCCCATGTGGCTGGAGCCTGCCCGGAGCCTGCGCCGCCCACAGGCTGCCCCAGCGGGGACCCCTCTTCTCCCACCCAGGCCTGGCGTGTGCACCAGACCTGGCCCTAGGCAGGGTCTCGGGGGTCTGTCAACTGGGGGCCCTCCAATGGAGCAGAGACCCCTCCACTCAGTAGCTGAGATGGAGCATTTGGGGAAACTCTCTGGTGGTTCTGGGACCAGACACCACCCAGTCCACAGATTGCCGGATCCTTCGAGCCTTAGGAATCGAGCTCCAAGCCAGGAAGCCTCCCTGGAGGCAGCGGTCGTGGCTCTCCCGGCCCTGCCCCCGCCACGTTGTTGGTGAGGAGGCACTTAGCCTCCTCCCACAGAGCACCCCCGGTGGCCGGCTTGTCACCCTAGCTTTGTTTGGGGCAAATGGATTCTGTGTCTGCCTGTCTCTGGGGCCAGAACGTGGAGGCCCTGCTGAGCCATGGGGGGCCCAGCAGAAGAGGAGCCCAGGGTGCTGGTGTGGGGGTCTCCCTGGGAACAGGGCAGGCTCCTTGGGCTTCTGCCCCCACACACTCCAGGCTGGGGGGCAGTGCGTGCTGAGGCCCCGAGACAGGAGGGAGGGTGTGGGGGGCACCTGGGCAGTGTGGGGAGCAGGCCCTGACAGGGTCTTACTTCACATCCCTCTGGAGATGCCTTGGTTTCATCTGGAGGGTGGTTCTGGGCTGTTTCGGACCCTGCCCCTTCCTGGGGGTGGCACCCCGGCTGGCGTGGGGAGCTGGGGGTGCGGGTGCCTCAGGATGCTGGGTGCCCTCAGTTCTTTGGCTTCATTGGTGGCTCTGGGTCTGGCGTGGCCCAGAAGTGGGGGATGGCCCTGGGGACCGCTGCAGGCACCTCCTCCCGAGGACCATAGGGCTCCAGGGACGCTGGGTCCCCTCGCTCAGCCCAGCCCAGCCCAGCCCTTCCCCACACTCCTGCTCCAGCCATGTGGCCAGGAGTGATGTGTCCTGGAGTCTGGTGACCAGGTCCTCATGGCTCAGCTCAGCGTGTGGGTGGGGTGTCGAGGGACTTGCCCCAGGGTGTCAGGGGGAAACTAAGGCAGCAACATCAGCCTCTGCCTTACCCAGGACACGGCTCCTGAGCTGAGGGACCCGGGCGGGAGCACCAGAGGAAACGGAGAAGGGCGTCCGGGCCCCAGGGTGGGGGGAGCCTGCAGGTCTGCCCTGGGGACAGGGTGGGACAGGGAGCCCAGGGCAGTACTTAGGGGCCACCGTGGGAGGTGGTCACCTTGGCCTTGAGCCTCGATTTGCTAGACTGTGGATAGGACGGGGGGGGCGGTGCGCGGTTCAGAACTGGGTGGGGACTTTCACAGTCTCTCTGCTCCCGGCCCCCGGGGCCCAAGGCCTCCTTGGCCAGACTTGTCATCCTTGGTTCGACGACCCACTGGAACCCTCACTCCTGGGTGTCCAGGACCTCGTGGGACGGGGTCCAGGGCCAGTGCTGGAGCCCAGCCTGTGCCCGGCCCATGCAAAGGCCCACCACAGTGCCAAGCGTCCCCTCAGTCCTGAGAGCTGGGCTCCTAGTCACCCCGAAGCCCAGCTCCCTCGAGTCCCGAGGCCGAGCCCCACCCAGCCTGTGACTGGCTGTCCCCTCCGAGGCTCTGGGGTCCCCGTCACAGTCTCTTCTTCAGGGAGCCCTTTCCTGCCAGGCTGGAAGGACACTGTCCCCACAGTGCCAGGCCCAGAGCTGGTGGTGGTCTGGCGCCCGGGGACAGAGGTCAGGTGGGCGGCCAGTGCTGGTCTCCTGCTCCCTGCAAGACAGGTGACCCTCCTCTCTCCCCAGACGCCGCATCTTGTCAACCTGAATGAGGACCCACTGATGTCTGAGTGTCTCCTCTACTATATCAAGGACGGGCTCACCAGGTGGGGCAGACTCCCCAGGTGGGGGGCTCTCAGGTGGGGGGGCTCCCCAGGTGGGGCGGGCTCACAGGTGGGGCGGGCTATCAGGTGGGGTGGGCTGACAGGTGGGGGGCTCTCAGGTGGGGTGGGCTGACAGGTGGGGGGCTCTCAGGTGAGGTAGGCTGACAGGTGGGGGGCTCTCAGGTGGGGTGGGCTGACAGGTGGGGGGCTCTCAGGTGGGGGGGCTCTCAGGTGGGGGGCTCTCAGGTGGGGTGGGCTCACAGGTGGGGCGGCAGTGGGGTGAGGGCCCAGCTTCCTGGAGGTGATGCTTCTGGCTACTGGGCCACGTGGCTCTCCCAGGACTGGCTGCGTTTGGGGGTGTTCTCTGTGCCTAAGAACCCAGCCAGGTGTCCCTGGAGGCTGTAGGGGAAGTGGAAAGGGGGCCAGCAGGCGGCATTCCGGGCACCCTGGTCTGGTGGTCACTTGCCCCTGCCCCCGCGCAGAGTGGGCCGGGAGGACGGGGAGCGGCGGCAGGACATCGTTCTGAGCGGACACTTCATCAAGGAGGAGCACTGTGTGTTCCGCAGCGACTCCAGAGGGGGCAGCGAAGGTATTGCCACCGTCGACCCCCCAGGTGCTGCGAGCTCCGAGTGGGGAGCCTGAGGGGCTTGCCGGTCAGCCCGGGCCAGCGGGTCACCTCCCAGCTCCGTAGTCTGCCCTGAGACCCTCCGTCAGAAAGGCACTTTGCAGCTGGGCTGGGGCCCTGGGCTCCCTCTCCCAGGCCGGGACGTTTTGGGGTGTTCCCGGGCCGGAGGACGCGGCCGTGAGGCATGAGCCAGGTGGAGGCTGGAGAATTATTTTCGGGCCACACGCTCCCACTGTGTATGGAGTGGCCATCGGTGCGCTTCTCGCCTGTCCGCGGCCCGGCCCGCGTGGCCTGTCTCGGGGTGATGTCTAGAGCACCCGCTCAGGGCAGGTGTCCGGCCGGCCTCTGGGCTGCAGACCAGCGGCTGAAACCCGCTGTATAACGGGGTCGCCTCAGGGTGGCGGCCTTCAACAGTGTTGGGACGGTTGGCTCTCCCGGGGTTCTCTGTCCCCTAACCCCGCCCTGCCTGCGTGGGTGGACACGGCCACAGGGGCTCTGGGACCCCTGGGGACATGATACCCATTCTCCACCCGTGCCCATCTGGAGACCTTGACAGGTGGACGGTCGGCCCGCACGGCCTGGCCCTCTGATGGGCACGTGTGCCTCTCTCTCGGCACCCCTGTCCGTCTGTTAATCAGGGGACCCCTCTGGCTTCTCTGAGGCCCAAGCAAGGCGCCACCAGTGCTTTGCTGCTAGCAGGGTGGTGGGGCTGGTACGTGGGCCGCCAGGTGAGCAGAGCCCTGCAGGTAGATGGAGGCGTGGCGCCCGCTGACAGCCCTCCTGTGTGCCCCACCTGTCCTGCAGCTGTGGTGACCCTGGAGCCCTGCCAGGGGGCAGACACCTACGTCAATGGCAAGAAAGTCACAGAGCCCAGCATCCTGCGGTCGGGTAAGCCGGGCAGAGGCCCCCGTCCTGCTCTGCTGGGGAGCCAGCCTGCTCCCAGGGCTGTGGGCGTTCGGGGCGCCAGGCAGGAGGAGAGGCTGGCAGGGGGGTGGCGCCATGGAAAGGAGGGGCCGCGGGGAAGGCCCAGGACGGGACTTTGCAGACATCCCTGGCCGCGAAAGGGGGGGTCAAGGGGGTGGATTTGGGGCCAGTGAGGAGCCCAGTGAGGTCCTGGCCACGGGAGGAGTTCCACGGAGCTGAGGACCCTGGGGTGGTCCTGGGGTGGCGATGCGGAGAGCCCCGCTGGAGGAAGGTCCTGCTGCCCTCATCCTCCCGCCGCCATCACCCTGAGGCCCCCAGGGCGGCCCCGTGACCGGCCTCTCCCCCAGGAAACCGCATCATCATGGGGAAGAGCCACGTGTTCCGGTTCAACCACCCCGAGCAGGCGCGGCAGGAGCGGGAGCGCACGCCCTGTGCGGAGACGCCCTCGGAGCCCGTGGACTGGGCCTTCGCGCAGCGCGAGCTGCTGGAGAAGCAGGGCATCGACATGAAGCAGGAGATGGAGCAGAGGTGAGGCCGCCGGGACCCTCCCCGGCCCGCAGCGCCCGCGGCGCCACCCCCGGTCCCCGTGACACCCCGCTCGCCCTCCCGCCCTCGCAGGCTGCAGGAGCTCGAGGACCAGTACCGCAGGGAGAGGGAGGAGGCCACCTACCTACTGGAGCAGCAGAGGCTGGTGAGGCGGCCCCCACCCCAGCCTCCAGGCCCCTCTCCCCCGAGACCCCCAGGCCTCCAGGCCCCCACTTCAGAGGTCCCCAGGCCTCCAGGCCCCTCACCCCCAGGCCTCCAGGCCCCTCACCCCCAAGGCCCCCAGGCCTCCAGGCCCCACACACCCGAGACCCCCAGGCCTCCAGACCCTTCTCCCCCAGACCTCCAGACCCCCACTTCAGAGGTCCCCAGGCCTCCAGGCCCCTCACCCCCAGGTCCTCAGACCTCCAGGGCCCCCTCCCCTGAGGCCCCCAGGCCTCCAGGCCCCTCACCCCCAGGCCCCCAGGCCCCACACCACACCTGGGTGGGGTGAGCTGAGTCCCGGCTTTGCAAACCCCCTCGTCTCAGCTGCCTTGGGCCATTGCTGTGGCCGGGTCCGCACTGGGCAGGCCCAGGGCCCACAGCCCTGCTTCTGTGTTAGGACTACGAGAGCAAGCTGGAGGCCCTGCAGAAGCAGATGGAGTCCAGGTACTTCCCAGAGGTGAACGAAGAGGAGGAGGAGCCGGAGGACGAAGGTGAGGGCAGGGCCTGGGCCTCAGGCTAGGGAGGGGTCTCCTAGAAATGCAGCCCCCAGGCCACTCCCTGGGGTCAGCTGGTTGGCTTCTTTGTCCTGGGGTCCCTTGGGAAGAGGCCTGTCCCTGGGAGGCAGGATTCGGGGAGACTGTGCTGCAACAAGAAAGCAGCCCACAGTCACGCACACGCGTGTGCACACCTGTGGCTCTGGAGGCGGCAGCCTGGCCGTGGGGAGCATGGGCCGGCACCCTGTCCGCTCACCCCTTGTCAGCGGAGGCTGGTGCTCCCCCAGGATGAGGCCACTCGGCTCTGCCCCTTGGGACTCCATTTCTAGTCGTTTACTCGAGGGGCCCGTGAGCTGCCGACACTGCTGTGGGACCGTGGGGCCCAGGGGTGGCCATGGGGTCCACATCCATCTTGGCCTCTGGTCTCTGGGTCTCATGGACCGAAGGAGGACTGAGCCCCGCAGGCCCGGCTCTGGGGGGAGGGGTCACTGGGAGAGGGGTGGAGCCTGGGCGCAGGGCCGGTCCCTGGGGACAGCGTGTGCGCCCGCAGGGAAGGTGTGCAGGGCTGTCCCGCCCCCGCTGGCCCACACGCAGGTGCCGTGACCCTCGGCCTCTCCCCACAGTCCCGTGGACGGAGAGGGAGTGCGAGCTGGCCCTGTGGGCCTTCCGGAAATGGAGGTGGTACCAGTTCACGTCGCTGCGGGACCTGCTCTGGGGCAACGCCATCTTCCTCAAGGAGGCCAACGCCATCAGCGTGGAGCTCAAGAAGAAGGTGGGCCCAGCGGTGGGGAGGTGCCCGCTGCTCACCGCGGCGCCTGACACGGCTCCTGCTCCTGGGGGTGGGGAGGGGTCTGCCCGGCCTGGGCCCCTGGAAGGGGGGCAGCAGGAGGGAGGCCAGCAATGACGGAGGTGGCGCGTGCTCCCTGCTCAGTGGGTGGGCAGGTGGGCAGGCATAGCGCCCCTCCAGGGCAGGCTGGAAGGGTCCCCTGAGCAGCCGGCATCTTGGGAGGTGGGAAGGAAGTCCTTTGGGGGCCCTGGGTCTCATCCACCAAGGGGCTGACGGGGGGTCATCCTGCACCTGCCACAGGTTCAGTTCCAGTTTGTCCTCCTCACGGACACGCTCTACTCCCCCCTGCCGCCGGACCTGCTGCCCCCAGAGGCTGCCAAGGACCGGGAGACACGCCCCTTCCCCCGCACCATCGTGGCTGTGGAGGTGCAGGACCAGAAGAACGGGGCCACCCACTACTGGACGCTGGAGAAGCTCAGGTGTGGCGGGTGGCGCTGAGGAGGGCGCTGGGCGGGGCGCCTCTGAAAGGGAGGGGTGACAGTTCCACGGGGACACCCGTCCATGCAGGTCCTTCTCCTGTCTCCATCTCTTTAAAATCAGAAGCATAAAGTGAATAGGACCCAGCCTCATCCAGGGCCGGTGTTTTCCCTCCACCGGAGCAGTGGGCCGTTCGGTCTGTCTTCCTGCAGGGAGGGGGGCGTAGGGGGGGCCTGAGAGGCGGGGGGGCTGCTGGGCTGCACGGGTCCACCTCCTGCAGCCCTGTACACTCCCTGGGACGGTGCCCAGCCCCCAGTCGATGCAGGTGACTTAGAGACATGACTGGTCAGTGCCACTGAAGGCCGAGCACAGGGCCAGAGGGGAGCTCAGGGCGCGGGTGGGCCAGGAGCGAGGGAGAGGCCGGGCAGGGTGGACGGCTGGGACAGGCCCGTTAGGATAATGGGTGGGCTTTGGGCACAGAGCTGCCTTGGTTGCCTGGTACTGGGGTGATGGAGGGCAGGGGCACTGGCTGGGGGGTGTCAGGTAAGGGGGTGGTTGGCGTGTGTGTGAAACTCACCCCCAAGGTGTTGATGTCTGAAAGTCGGCTGGGCCATGGGAGGGCGTGCCCCCAGCTAGCAAGACCCCAAAGATGTCAGAACATCATGAAACATGAAGAATGAAAACTAGAATTGATACAGCACACAGGCCACCTCACACTCACTCATATTTATACACTCACACACCTTCCTTCCTTGTGTGGTTCATTCACACCCATGCACACACTGATCCCGGTCACACACACACACTGATCCCGGTCACACACACACACACACACACACTGATCCCAGTCACACTCACACACTGATCCTGGTCACACACACACACACACACACTGATCCCCGGTCACACACACACACACACACTGATCCCTGGTCACACACACACACACACACTGATCCCTGGTCACACACACACACACACACACACTGATCCCCGGTCACACACACACACACACACTGATCCCTGGTCACACACACACACACACACTGATCCCTGGTCACACACACACACACACACACACACTGATCCCGGTCACACACACACACACACACTGATCCCTGGTCACACACACACACACACACACACTGATCCCGGTCACACACACACACTGGTCACACATTCACACACACACACACACACACACACACTGATCCCGGTCACACACACACACACACACTGATCCCCGGTCACACACACACACACACACACACACTGATCCCGGTCACACACACACACTGGTCACACATTCACACACACACACACACACACACACACACTGATCCCCGGTCACACACACACACACACACACTGATCCCGGTCACACTCACACACACGCACACGCACACACACACACTGATCCCGGTCATACTCACACACACACTGATCCCAGTCACACACACACACACACACACACACTGATCCCGGTCACACACACACACACACACTGATCCCTGGTCACACATTCACACACACACACACACACACACACGCATACTGATCCCGGTCACACACACACACTCTGATCCTGGTCACACACACACACACACACATACACACTGATCCCGGTCATACTCACACACACACACACACACACACACACACACACTGATCCCGGTCACACACACACACACACACACACACACACTGATCCTGGTCACACACACACACACACACACTGATCCCTGGTCACACACACACACACACACATACACACTGATCCCAGTCACACTCACACACACACACACACTGATCCCTGGTCACACACACACACACACACACACACACTGATCCCGGTCACACACACACACACACTGATCCCACACTCACACACACACACACACACACACACTGATCCCGGTCACACACACACACACACACACACACACTGATCCCTGGTCACACACACACGCATACTGATCCCGGTCACACACACACACACACTGATCCCACACTCACACACACACACACACATACACGCACACTGATCCCAGTCACACACGCACACTGATCCCACACTCACACACACACACACACATACACGCACACTGATCCCGGTCACACTCATACACTCACACACACATACACGCACACTGATCCCGGTCACACTCATGCACACACACTCGCACACACATTCCCGCAGACACACTCACGCCCTCACCTCCTGGGGCTGCTGTCTGGCTTTGGGACCAGTGTCCATTCTTCAGTCGTTCATGTCATCCCTGAGCCCCGGAGGGAAATGATCGCATCTTCTTTCTCCCTCAACTTGTGGGGTTTCTGGGGAAATAATGTTTATTTATTTACTTATTTTGTGTGTGTTTATACTTTAAGGAAAATAATTATTTTTGTTACAGATGTTTCTCCTTTTCCCCCTTTGACCCTCCTCCCCATCACGGCCCCCCCCAAGCAATGTTGTCTGTGTTGGGGAAATAATTTCTAAAGCATCGTTTTCTGCACCCGATCACCAAGTCGCCCCTCGTTCCTGGGGGATCCCGAGCTCCCCATGCTGGCTCCTCCGGAGTTCTTCCCCTTCGCTGCCCCGCTCTGGGCCCCCTCCCGCGGCTGGTCCAGCGTCTTGCTTGAACCACGTGCTGCCTGTCACCTGGCTAGGGTCGGGAGGAGTCAGTGGTGACCTTGTGTGTGTCACTGGAAGTCCTCTGCTCACAGGGACCTGGTTCGGAGGACCAGCTCGGGCCTCAGGACCCTGAGCAGGCAGGGCGGTCCGAGCCTCGCTGTGCCCACTGGGGCCCACGCTGACCTCTGCACCCCTGCAGGCAGCGTCTGGACCTGATGCGGGAGATGTACGACCGGGCGGCCGAGGTGCCCTCCAGCATCATCGAGGACTGTGACAACGTGGTGACTGGCGGAGATCCCTTCTACGACCGGTTTCCCTGGTTCCGGCTGGTGGGCAGGTGGGCGCCTCCCTCCCCCCCGGGCTGAGAGAGAGAGTGCGAGTGAGGGCAGAGGGCAGTGGGCAGGGGCTGGCCCCTCCCCTGGCAGGACCCCACGGGGCCCTGGCCCCACCCGAGGAGCCAGCGAGATGCCTGCTCCTGTCCTGACTTCTCCACCCTCGTCCTTGTGGTCTGACCTCGGGCCTGTCATTTAAGGGACCACAGAGGGTTCTCATCGTTGCCACCACACCCGCCACGGGGCACGGCCACCAGGTCACAGGTGTGCACGTGTGTGAATGTGTGAGGCTTAGTCCGACTTCCTGGGTCACCTGGTGGCCGTGGGATGTGAGTGGGGACACAGAGCCCCCTTTCCCTGGCCTCCTGGTCTGGGGTCTGCGCCCGCCCTGCACCCCAAGGACAGGACATGGTGTCCAGAGGCTTCCGCGTGGCTAAGCCCATGAGGTCTGTACACGACCTCAGCCACGCCAGTCCGGGATCACACCGCAGGTACCTCCAGGACCTTCCGGAACCTTCCACGAACCACACATGCAGCTTCCTTCTGAGCCCGGGACGGGGTGCCCTTCTGGTCGCGTCCTTTAAGGCCGTGTCCGTGGTGGTCTGTGTGTGTGGTTTGGGTTGGACCGGAAGCCCCGCCCGCGCGGCCCGCGTGGGGCTGGTGGTAACTTCTCTCTGTCTTGTCCCACTAACCTCAGCTCAGTCGCCTCTGGCTGCAGCAGCTACCCTCTTCTGAACACGTGCATGAGCACACGCATGGCCGCTCTCACCCCCTCCCCCACCTCCTCGAGCCCCGACTCCAGCGCCACCGAGCCTGCTGAGGAGCAGAGCCTGGGGGAGGAGGAGGAGGAGGAGGACCTGGAGGACGACGTCTTTCCGGAGCGCGCGCTGTGTGACGGCCGGGACCCGTTTTACGACCGGCCCCCCCTGTTCAGTTTAGTAGGAAGGTTGGTGAGGTGGAGGACAGCATGCTGGGAAGGAACCAGCTCTTTTGCTCAGCACTGCTGTGGGCACAATCCGGCCGGCGCCAGGGCGTGGCCCGGGCCAGCGAGCTGAGGGCTGGCCTCCGAGGGCGCTCGGGCTGCTGGCCGCCTGGCCCCGCCGCCCGCTCGGCAGAGGCCCTAGAGCCCGGGAGGGGCCGCGGGGCCCCAGGAAAGTCCTTATGCAGGGCCCCCCACAGGGGACATCTAGAAAACCGGGTCCAGGCCACCCTCAACGTCCCGTGGTCCTGGGGTCAGACTCCCCCTAGTTCAGGCAGCTTTCCATCCTCCACGGTCTTTCTGAAGACGGGGCCTCTGGGGCCAAGGGGCAGAGCTGGAGGAGGCTGTGGCAGGGCAGGGCAGGGCCTCCCTGGGCCCTGGGGCCCTTCCCCCTCTGCCGGGCTCCGTGTGAGGTGGGACTGTCTGTCCTCCTGACCTGGGCCGTCACGGCTGAGATGCGGTGGCCCGGCACCTCCGGGAGGCGGAGTGGAGGCCCCGCGGGTCGTGGCGCATGAGGGTGTTTGTGACCGGGAGGGGAAGCCTGGCGGGTGGAGGACCCAGAAGCCTCCGAGGGAGATGCCGCTGGACTGACCGGTTGAGACCTGAAGCGGGGAGGCCGTTCCCACGGCAGCCGATGCTGGAGTTCGAGACGGGCTAGGCCCCTGGAGGTTTGGGGAGTCTTGGCCTCGAGCGCCAGCGCTGAGGGCTACGGGCCGCGGTGGCCTCGGATAACGGGGTTCACCCTGGGAGTCCCGGGGGCCGATCTTTTCAGAGGGAGGCTGGTTGCCCTGGGCGCATGTCCTGGATTTATTCCTATCGGGGTCCCTGCTGGAGCGAGGTGGGGCCCTCTGGCCCTGAGATGCCCTGAGCCTGTGGCCAGAGAGGGAGCTGGCACCTCAGAAACTCCAGCCACTAGGGCGTCACTCAGGTGACAGGGAGGCTTGGGGAGCGAGGACACCGGAGAAACGGGGTGTGGGTTCTTGCAGTCAGCCAGAAAGAGCTGGGTCCTTCCGACACCCCCGTGGTCTGAGATGAGGAAGCAAGCGCCCGAGCAAAGCCGTGAGGGCGGCCTGCCTGGCGGGCTCTGAGGGGCCTTGGGGCCGTCCTGACCCCCCTGTTTGGCAAGAATCGGCTTCGCCCGCTCAGCAGCCGTGCAGCCCGGGCCCGAGAGGACCCGGCGGGGGTTTCCTCACTCTTTCTGGTAGCTGCTGGCTCTCCAAAGCTTCAGCAAAATTGGGGCTCCCACTCTCGTCTCCCTTCGGAAAGGCTGTCCCGGCCCAGCATGCCTCTCTGCGCCTCACCAACCTCGTGGTCAGCGCTGCCTCCTCCCCCGCCACGGCTCTGGCTCTGTCTGCGCCTCCTCCCCGGGGGGTTCAGCCTGCTTCAAGGTGCGCGCGCCTGCCCGGGCAGGCCCCCGCCTGGGGCCCCTGCGTTTTGAGCCAGGGCTCCTGGCCAGGGTCTGCCCTGGGGGCCTCTCCTGCTGGCAGTCGGGGGTGCTGGGTGAATGGGGGGGCCGACCAGGCAGAGGAAGGGTTTCCCCCTCTAATTCTTTCTGCCCAGACCACCCCTTTCAGGAGTTGGGGGCAGGGGAGCCGCACAGAGGAAGGGGGGCCCGGTGCCCACGGGAAGTGTCCAGGACTCAGTGGGAGAACGCTGACCTGCTCACGTGCACTCTGCTGCCGGGCCGGCGAGGCCAAACCCTCAGCCAGGTGTACTCCGCGTCCCCGGCCTCTCGGTCCAGATCTCTGCTGAGAGGCTGAGAACCACTCCGTGTCTGGGCAGCCCCCCAACCCTGCCCTGCCCTGGAAGGGCCTGGGTGTGCTCTCATCCCTGTGGCCAATGCTAACGTCAGGTCGTTTCTGCGCCGTGGGCCCTGCCCCTCCCTGTCCCGGTGCTATCGGTCAGTGGGGTCAGTGGCTCTGGACGGAGTGAGGTCTTTGACCCCAGCGTGCAGTGGCTCCTGGGCCCCAGGGTCCCTTCTGGCTGGACGTGCCCTTCACCAGGCGGACTGGGCTTAGGAGGAGGGAGGAGCCAGGAAGCACCGTGGCAGCGGATCTGTGGGTCCCGCCCGTAGTGCACCCCTAAGAAAGGAAGATGCAGCCTGAGGTGTGCCACTGGCCATGCCAGCCCGTGCCGATGCTGGGACGTCAAGAATGGGCATCTTAGAACCCAGAGACGCGGGAGCGCCCACCGCCCGGGTGCGTGAAGAGCAAAGGTCCCAGGGCTGGTCCCTGGCGAGCTCAGGCCGCCACGGGGGTGATCCGAGCCCTGGGCCCGATCCTGGTTCTCCCTGGACAGCCCTGACCTAACCCACAGCGGAGTCGTCCACCCTCCCTGAGGGTCCTCATGTGGGTTCCCTACAGAGAAAAGTGTGACCCCTCCTTGTGTGCCAGGGGCCCCGGGGAGTCCCCTCAGGACCTCCCTGCAGTGGCCCTGCCCCGGGGCATTGCCTTGTGGGGGAGGGTGGGGCTGGAAAGCTGGGTGCTGGCGTGGGGGCCCTGCAGCTTGGGGCTGTCCTGCTTGGGCCCCTTAGCTGTCTCCAGTGTGGTGGGGCCCAGCTGGGGAGGGCAGAGTGGGGTGTGCACCTGTGCCCCAGCCTTGTCCCGGGCTCCTCCACTTCCCCTTCCGGGCCTCATGACTCTGCTCATTTCATGGCAGCTCCCCTCACTCACCCCCAGTTTCGAGCAGCTGCCCTTGGCAGGAGCCCTGGTTCTCCAGGTGAAGGCCACCCGCCCCCAGGCCGAGGCAGGTGCCCGCCTCATTCGGCCCCTGCCTGCTAGGTGCCCCAGGGCTCCCACCCTTTGGGCCTCAGTCTCCCCTCCTGACCAGGGCCAGGGATGGACTGAGGGCCCGTGTGGCTGGCATGGGGGCGGGGCAGCCGGGCTGGGGATGCAGTGAGGCGATTGTGCGTCATTGCGGGTGGGGTCTGACCGGCACCCCAAGCCTCCTCGGGCGCTCTGGGGGCCACGGGGGGAGCAGGAGGGTGACGGACCCGCCGAAGGACTCAGAGCCCTGGGAGTGATGGGCTTGACAGACCGGAGCAGCCAGGACTGGCGTTTGGCCTGATGGGGGAGGGCCAGCGGGGGCGGGGAGGTCAGGATTAGGAGCCCCCGTTGAGGGGGGCGCCAGGACCGGAGTCAGGCAGGGCCCAGAGGGGTGTCCTGGATCTCACAGAGAGCAGTTCTGCGTGGGGCCCCCTCCCCACTGTGCCCTGCTCGCCCTTGGCCGTGTGCCCGGGCCCAGCGCCCACTGGCTATCGGGCTCTGACCTTCTCTCCCCCGTCTCGCCCCTCCCACACCCTGTTGCCCCAGCCTTTGTCCCCACCTTCCCCACTGGCCTCCCTCATCTCCCTCCATGCACCTCCTTCCTAAGACCGACCTCCCTCCCTCCCTCCCTCCCTCCTGTGTCCAAATCCTGCCCCTCCCCCAGGAATCCCAGGGGCTCACACGGGGCCTGCCCGTACCAGGGTGCCCCTGAACAGTGGGGAGATTTGCCCCACGTCAGCCTGCCCACCCCACAGGGTCCTGGCTGCCTCTGGCTGCCCACGTGCCCCTGCACATCGATGAGCTCAGGGCCTGTGGCACCACAGGTGATGCCGCCTCTGGCCTGGCACCAGCTGGGCACTGCCAGGGCTCGGTGCTCTGGGTGGCTGGGCGGCTGGCGGGGCACAGCAGGCAGCCCTGTGGGGTGTCTGGGGCACTGGGCTGGGGCTGGTGCCTGCTCTTGGCTGACGCCACGGATCTCCCACCCGCTGTGCCCCAGGAAGGGGCTCAGAAGGACTCGTGAGCCATGTTCCAGCCCCTGGGCCCACAAGCGTCGGGCCACTGGACAGCGGGTGGTGTCGGTGGCCAGCTGGGGCACTGGCGTTGGAGCTCGGTGTGGCTGGGTCCCCAGGTCCTCCTCCTTGAAGCAGGCTGGACCCTCCTCAGCTGCTTTCTTGCCAGTCAGCAGGTGTCGCCCGCACCGTGCGTCCCTGTGCCAGCCCCTGAGCACCCTCCGCTCCCGCACACGCCTCCCTCCGCTGCACCGCCCGCTCTGCCCTGCTGCCAGCTCCCTGCGCTCCTGGCTTCGCGTGTCGTGTGCTGAGCCGCCCGCCGCGGGCCGCGCCGGCCCTGACCCAGCCTGTCTTCCCAGGGCCTTCGTGTACCTGAGCAACCTGCTGTACCCGGTGCCCCTGGTGCACCGCGTGGCCATCGTCAGCGAGAAGGGCGAGGTGAAGGGCTTTCTGCGCGTGGCAGTCCAGGCCACCTCAGGTGCGTGGGCCGCGGCTGCCCCCCTCCAGCTGGAGGCCCAGGGGGGCGGCCTCCTCGGGGTGCACTGGTCCGTGCAGCCAGCCCCCGCCTGCCGGCGCTGTTTCTGTCCTGCCCCTGGCCCCTCGGGGACTCGGCTCAGCTCCTGGCTCTGGTGTCCCGACTCTCCCAGGGTGACGGGCCCTGGGCTCTCTGGGGCCACCTGGCTTGGGACCTCCTTCCCGCTCCCCAGGCAGCCCAGCCAGAGCCTCCCCCAGCTCAGCGCTGCTGTCTCGAGGGCCCGGGACTGGCTGCCCACCTGCCCAGGCAGCCCTCAGCCTCCCTCCGCAGTCACCCCTCTGTCCCCCGCCGTGCACCCTCCCTCCGCGGTCACCCCTCTGTCCCCCGGCCGTGCACCCTCCCTCCGCGGTCACCCCTCTGTCCCCCGGCCGTGCACCCTCCCTCCGTGGTCACCCCCATGTCCCCCGGCAGTGCACCCTCCCTCCGCGGTCACCCCTCTGTGCCCCCGCCGTGCACCCTCCCTCCGCGGTCACCCCTCTCTCCCCCCGGCCATGCACCCTCCCTCCGCGGTCACCCCTCTGTCCCCCCACCGTGCACCCTCCCTCCGCGGTCACCCCTCTGTCCTCCCGCCGTGCACCCTCCCTCCGCGGTCACCCCCATGTCCCCCCGCCATGCACCCTCCCTCCGCGGTCACCCCCATGTCCCCCCGCCGTGCACCCTCCCTCCGCGGTCACCCCCATGTCCCCCGGCCGTGCACCCTCCCTCCACGGTCACCCCCATGTCCCCCCGCCATGCACCCTCCCTCTGCGGTCACCCCTCCGGAGAGCCAGCTGCTCTCACCGCCCCTCCCGGGCCCAGGGCCCCAGCCTTGCTCCCCTGTGGCCAGCTGGGCGGACAGGGGTGGGAAGATCACTCCAGAGGCAGAGGAGAGGCTGCCTGGGCCCAGGGCTGGTGCTCTGCTGTCGGGCCGTCCTCCCTCCCTGCCCGCCCCTCCCTGGACCTCCTCCTCAGGCTCGGCCGCCCCGTCCTACCAGGGTTTGGCCCCACCCCGGGGACTCTGCTGCCCGTAACTCCCAGAAGCTTTTTTTAAATCCTCACCGAAGTACACTTTTGCATTCATCCTCAGATAGAGCAGGAGGAAGAGAGAGAGAGAAACATCGATGTGAGAGAGACACATCGAGTGGCTGCCGCCCACACCACCCCAGCCAGGCTCGGGGACACACTGCAACCGAGGCACGTGCCCGTAGCGGGAACCTAGCCCGGGACACTCTGGCTCATGGGCCGACGCTCTGACCACTGAGCAAAACTGGCCAGGGCACCCCCAGAAGCTCTTTGCAGCCCCTCCCAGCCATGTCACTGAGATGTGAGCCCCCCCGGACCCTGCCGAGAAGGGGGAGCCTGGGGTGGGAGCCAGGACAGCACTGGGGGGGCAGAGGACAGGGGTGCTGGGAGCATCGGTCCACCCTCACCCCTGGGGGGACCCGGTCTCTGCAGTCTGTGGCTCTTCCTCATCCGTCCTGACCACTGTCCCAGCTCAGCGGGGCGCCACTGCACAGGCTGCTTTTCAGGGGACACCGCCTCTATTTGGGCCACACCTGCCAGTCTCTGTGCGGTGGCCACGGAGGAGGAGAAGGAACTTAGAAACAAGCAAACAGGAAGCCCTACCTCAGTGGTCACAGAAGTCACACCTGTCCCACCCCAGCTACAGCGGAGCCCAGCTCCTCGGGTGTCCGCACCGAGCCCTGAGCCCGCTGTGTGCCAGCCCGGGCTGGTCTGGGCAAAGGCAGGACAGAACTGCAGGCCCTCAGGCTGTTAGCACCCCGACAGGCCCCTGAACAGAGGGGCAGAACCCCCAATGTGCAAGTTCTCCCGGGGTGACGTCTCACCAGAGTGGCTGAAGTTGGGGCTCAGGTCCTTCAGGAAAAGAGTTTGGATTCTGTCCCAAGCGCAGCGGGAAACCACGAGCCACTGTGGGAAGGGGGTGTGGGGGTGTGGGGCGCTGTGTCCAGGCAGGTGATTGGTGGCCCTGCAGGGGTGGTGCAGAGGGACGGGTGGATTCCACGGTGAAGCCAGGGGGACCTGGCAGGGCGGGCGCTGCCCTGTGAGGTGGAGGGAAGGCCAGGAACCCGGGTTCTGCTGTGGCGTCGGAGGGGGGCAGGGGGGTGTAAGGCTGTCTTTTCCGGGTGGAGTCGTGTCCCATCAAAGCCGAGCTGATGATGTGCCACCTCTGGGCCTGGGTGGTCAGGCTGGGGTCAGCGTGCCCAGGACAGTGCCCTGGCCGCCTGGCAGCCGTGGCCGTCAGCGCTGGGCTCGGGGTTCAGAGCTGGGCCTGGCTCGTGCCCTCCCCACCAGCAGCTCGGCCTGGCTTGGCGGGGCCCTGACCATCTGCTCCGTCCCGCTGCAGCTGACGAGGAGGCTCCTGACTACGGCTCGGGCGTCCGCCAGTCAGGAACGGCCAGGATCTCCTTCGACGACCAGCATTTTGAGAAGGTACTGGGCAGGTGGCTCCTCTCCTCGGTCTGTCCCACCCCCTGCACCGGCCGCCCATCTTCCCGTCCGACCCCCCATGCCCCTGCACTGGCCGCCCATCTTCCTGTCCGACCCCCCGTCTTCCTGTCCGACCCCCCGTCTTCCCGTCCGACCCCCCGTCTTCCCGTCCGACCCCCCATGCCCAGCACCTTGAGCCTGGGCAGTGTGCCTGCCCCACAGTCCCCCTCTCAGAAGGTTTGCCAATGTTGGGGGCGCACAGGAGGGGCAAAGGGCAAAGGTGAAGGCATGGGGCGGAGGGGCACTGGGAGGCTGGTGGTGTCCTGAGGGCCCAGCAGAGAGCTTCCTGCATCCTGCCGTGGGGACGAGGGGCTGAAGGGGACCCTGGACGAGGCAGCACTGAGGCCTTTCCTCTGGGGTCAGCGTGGCCAGGCCAGCCTGAGAACAGGCTGAGGGAGGGGGCACTTGCCCGCCAGGGGCGGGTCTGGAGGGGGCCCTGAAGTCACTGCCCGGCTCCAGAAGCTCAGTCCTCCATCCCCTGGGCTGTGGGGGCCTCGCCTGAGCCCGCTGTCTCCGACTCTGGTCCCCGCCCACAGTTCCAGTCGGAGTCCTGCCCCGGGGGGATGTCGCGCTCCGGGACCTCCCAGGAGGAGCTGCGCATCGTGGAGGGCCAGGGCCAGGGCGCTGACGTGGGGCCCTCCGCCGACGAGGTCAACAACAACACCTGCTCAGGTGGGTCACTGGGCTGCCCAGGCCCTGGCCTCATAGTCTGGGGGTCCCTCCACTGCCCACCCTGGCCCAGGGGGTCAGGAGCAGGGCCCCTCATGCCTGGTCCCTGGGGGAGGATGTGCAGACACCAGGCCTGACCCCGGGTCCCGCCATCGGGCTGTCCCTTGGCCCCTGCAGCCCTGCCTCCGGAAGGCCTCCTTCTGGACAGTCCCGAGAAGACCGCCCCCGAGGGGCCCCTGGATGCCGCCCTGGACCACCTGCGCCTGGGCAGCACCTTCACCTTCCGCGTGACCGTCCTGCAGGCGTCCAGCATCTCCGCTGAGTACGCCGACATCTTCTGCCAGTTCAAGTGAGCCTCAGCCCGGCGGGCGGGCGGGCGGGCGGGCGCTGAGCCAGGCCTGGCCCCTGACCCCGTCTCCTCCCTCTTGCAGCTTCATCCATCGCCACGACGAGGCCTTCTCCACTGAGCCCCTGAAGAACACCGGGAGGGGCCCCCCGCTCGGCTTCTACCATGTCCAGAACGTAGGTCCTCCCCCCCACGGTTGCCCCCCTGAAACGCCTTGCCCAGTCTCTGCATGGTCCTTTCTCCTTGCCTGGCCCCAGCGTGTGCTGGACTCGGCCCGGGCAGACGAGTGGACCGCTGCTGGGCTCTGGGCCCTCGGTGGGTTCAAGACGGGGGTGGGGCAGGGAGTCCTGCGAGGTCCCCGAAGGAGCCGGGAGCAGACAGGAACGTGAAGTGTCGGGTGGACGGGCCGTGCTGTGGGGGGGCAGCCGCCTGTGGGGGGGCAGGGTGTGGGGTGCCGGGCACCCCCTAGAGAGCGCCAGGCAGGGGAGCATCCACGCCAGGCTGTCAGGAGAGCGGGGGTTTCCAGGGCGGGCGCAGGGTTAACCAGGCGGTGTGGGGGGCTCCCTGCGGCCCTAAGAGAGCTGCCAGGACTCGAGAGCCAGGCTGGGAGTCGGACCCTGGGCTGCCCGTCTGTGGGCGTGTGGCCGGAGTGGCCACAGAGGCCTGTGATCAGAGGCCCTGCGGACTGGCCCGCCTGACCCTCGAGTGACAGCGTGTGTGAGAGGCCTCTCAGCTGGGAACGTGGGCACCTGGCTGCCCACGGCCTGGACGGCCCTCGGTTGGCACCTCCCAGGTCTGGAGGAGCTCGTGTCAGGGTGTGCGCAGGGCTGTCCTGAGGCCTGTCCGCGGCCATCTGTCCCCGAGGCGAGTGCAAGGCCATCATCTCCCTTGTCCTGGGGGTCTTCCCTCTTCCTGTCCCCCTCCCATGGGGACAAGGGTCCCACGGGGTCAGGGCCACACGCAGGTCCTCACTCTGATCTGATGACCTCCCTGTAGACCCCGTCTCTAGATACAGGTGCTGGGGTTAGGATTTCAACCTGTGAGCAGGGGGCGGGGGTGCAGGGGGGCACAGTTCAACCTGTGCCTCTTGGTGGGTGAGTGAGGGCCCAGAAGGGTCAGGCCAGACCCCAAGGCACCCTGGCCTTGGTCACCTTGTCGAGCCCTGTGTTCTGAAAGGGCAGCCAAACCCTGTGGCCCATCTGTCCTGGGAGACAGGCCAAAGGCCAGCCACCTGGTGGTCTGTGGATCAGGTGGGTGCAGGAGGGGCAGGGTGGGGAGGACCTTGGCGAGGACCTTGGCCCAGGGTGCCCGGCCCTCCCCTGAGGCAGGGCCCCCCTCTGACCGCCCGCCCTGACCCCCAGATCGCGGTGGAGGTGACCAAGTCCTTTGTCGAGTACATCAAGAGCCAGCCCATCGTGTTCGAGGTCTTCGGCCACTACCAGCAGCACCCCTTCCCGCCCCTCTGCAAGGATGTGCTCAGGTGCCGCCTGGTCCCAAGGCCGTGGGCCTCCGGCGGGTCCGCGGGCCTGTGGGGGGAGGGGGCCTCCGTGCTTCAGCGCAAGCCCCTGGGGCGCCAGCCTCACGACGGGGCTCCTCCCTCCACAGCCCCCTGAGACCCTCGCGCCGTCATTTCCCACGTGTCATGCCGCTGTCCAAGCCAGGTAGGCCGGCTCCTGGAAGTCCGCCCTCAGGTGCCCGCGTGGTCAGGCCCTCATGCTGCATCATTGCCCCCAGGCCAGGCCACTCTGCACCCACAGCCTCACAGGTCCCCACGCAGGGAGGGCTCCGTCCTGGGCACCCTCCCCTCTCAGCAGGCACAGAGCAGCCGGGTGGCGTTGGGGGTGCTTCCCCGTGCCCTGGGGCTCCTGGAGCAGACAGCAGGGGTGTGGGGGCAGAGGGGCCTGGGGGCCATCTGAGCCTCTGTCAGGAGCTGGGCATGAGCAGACGGCCCGAGGGCCTGAGGGCAGGACTGGTCTGTGCTGGAGCGAGGTGCCTGGACAGGCATCGCAGGCTGAGGCCAGCGGGTGGTGGAGCAGGGGTCCCCGGGGCCGGGGGCCTTGGGCAAGCGTGGCTCCCGCTGCTGCTGTTTCGTGGCATCTCAGGCCACCAGCCTCCCTTCCAGGGTCCGGGCTGTGCGGTCACATCTGATCTTGAGCCAGGGGGTGGCTGCTGAGGCCGGACTGTGCCCAGACTGGGTGGGTCCTGAGACACGGTGTTGGGGGCACCGGTGGTTTTCTTGGAGCGAGGTGCCCTCGCTGCCTCTGAGGCGCCCCCACCCTGGCGCCCTCCTGGAGCAAGGCCCAGCGTGGCGGGCCCGGCTCCCATCCGCGTGTGCCTCTCCTGTCCCGCCCAGTGCCCGCCACCAAGCTCAGCACGTTGACGCGGTCCTGCCCCGGGCCCCGGCACTGCAAGTACGACCTGCTGGTGCACTTCGCCATCTGCGAGCTGGAGGCCGACGGCGAGTGCGTCCCGGGGGGGGGGGGGGGGTGTCTGCGGGGCTGGGCCTGGGGGGGGGTGGTCCGTGGGGCTGGGGCCGGGGGGGGGGGTCCGCGGGGCTGGGGCCGGGGGGGGGGGGTCCGCGGGGCTGGGGCCCGGGGGGGGGGGTCCGCGGGGCTGGGGCCCGGGGAGGCAGGGGGGCGGGGCTGGGGTTCGGGGGGGCAGGTCCATGGGGCTGGGGTCCCCAGGGCTGGGACAGGTGGAGGTGCACGTGGTGGGCTCCTTGCCCCGATGACTCTGAACCGAGACGCCCATCGGGGAGCTGACTTTTTCCCGGGCTCCCTCCTTCCTCTCCCCGGGCCTGTGACTGCTGTGGGCGGGCGGGGAGGAGGGCAGCCCCCAGCCTCACACCCTCTCCCTCTCCAGCTACATCCCGGCAGTGGTGGACCACCGCGGCGGCATGCCGTGCATGGGGACCTTCCTGCTCCACCAGGTGCGACCCCCTCCCTGCCCAGCCGGCCCGTGCCCCTCCCCTGCCCCCCAGGCCCCTGGCCCCCTGACCCGGTCCTCTCTCCTGGCGCCTGACAGGGCATCCAGAGACGGATAACCGTGACGCTGCTGCATGAGACGGGCAGCCACATCCGCTGGAAGGAAGTGCGCGAGCTGGTCGTGGGTGAGCGAGGCGGGTGGGCTCTGCCTTGCGGGGAAGAACGAGGACCCACCCACCGAGGCCCAGTGCCTGAGCTCTAACCACAGCTCTGCCCTTGTTGCTGCTGTGTGTCCATGGCCAAGTCACTTAACCTCTCTGTGCCTCCATCTCTCACCTAGAAAGGAGAGCGCGGGCCACAGTGATGATTGCAGATGCCTGTCACTGCGCTAGTTTGCTAGGGCTGCCTAACAGGGTGCCACGCACCAGGCAGCTGAACACAACAGGAATCTCTATCTACGGCTCTGAAGGCCAAGTCTGAGACAGAGGGGTCGGCAGGGGGCCATGCTCCCTCTTCTGCTGGCCCCTTGTCGGTTCCAGTGGTTTGTGGGGAGCCCTTGGTGCTCTGTGGCTCGTGGCCCCAGTGTTCCAGCCCTCCGACTTCACGTGGCCTCTTCTTAGAAGAACACAGTGGGTTACATCTGGGCCGTACTCCCACATCACTGCCCCTCGACTGATTACAGCTGCCAGAGAGGGTCTCTGCTTCCAGGAGGGTCACGCCCCGCGTGCTGGGGGCGGGAGCGCAGCATACGCTTTGGGGCACCGCTCAGTTCCTCCAGGGTCTTGGCCGGGTGTCTCCCGTGACGTCACCCTGTGAACTCTGTCCACCAGGGATGTTTCCTTTGCTGACCTGTAAAGACCATGTCTTTCCGGTTTTCATGCCAGGACACAGACTGCCCACCCGGGGGACTGCCCACCCGTATGTGCTCAGCGGGAGGCTCCCCTGGGAGCCCCGCCCTGGGCGTGTCTGGCTGTGTCCCTGGGGCGTGCGGAGGGTACGGCAGCGGGGATGGGACGTCCTCGAAGAAGCAGAGGGGTCCGTTTCCTGGTCACTGCCAGAGCGGGAGGGGACCCGCCTCTGGGCCCGGCACCTGCTACAGACGGGGCCCACCCGAGTGCCCGCGGGGACAGCGTAGGGGGCTCCAGGAGCATTGATGGCTCTGTCTGGGTCCTTCCCTTCATTCTTAACGTAACGAGACGAGGGAACATTGTGTCCTTCTCATCTTGCTACAGTTTGCTGCTCTGACAGGTGGGAAGGCCTGTGTTTTCGGGTTGAGTGACAGGAATCTGTTGGGGGGGCGGGGCTCAGAACTTGGGCTTCGGGAGGAAAGCCGGCAGGACCGTGCCTTGACCTGTGGCGGCACCGGTGCAGACCTGCTCGGCCGCCCTGCCCACCACAGGTGCTCTGGCGGCCACACGGGGCTGGTTCCCCGGCAGCCCTCAGTCCAGGAGCTCCGGCCCACGCAGAGGCGTGAGCAGCTGCCCAGCGTCCCCACCGCCCTTTTGGGAGTGACTCGGGCCTGTCGCCTTCCCCTTAGGTCGCATCCGAAACACTCCCGAGACAGACGAGTCCCTGATCGACCCCAACATCTTGTCTCTCAACATCCTCTCGTCGGGGTACATCCACCCGGCCCAGGATGACCGGTGAGTCCGCTCGGGTGGCAGGCTCTCTATCCCTGAGTCCTTGGAGGTGGGTCCATCTGGCTCGGGACCAGGGGTTCTGATGTCAGTCTGCGATGTCCGGGCCTGAAGCTTCCAGGCACCTTTCTGAAGCCTGAGGGGCAGGAAGGCCGGCTGTGGCCTCAGTCCTTGGTGCACGTGTACTTTGGTTCATCAGTCGCCCGGCAGGGGCCTGTGGAGCAGCTGTGGGAGGAGCTGGGGCCGGTCGTGGGTGGTGGGCAGACAGGCGTCCGTGTTCCCCGACCATGCTGCCCGGGACAGCCCTGTGGCCTGTCGGCCGAGCACCAGCCGGGGCTGGAGGCCGTTCAGGGCACACGGGGCTGGTGGCCCAGCGTCCCAGGTGGAGGTGTGCCCACCGGTCACTCCTCGTCACTGGCGGTTCCTCTCCCAGCCCCCAGGGGGCAGCAGATGTCTCGTAGCCTGAGCAGTCCCAGCATCGGGGGCAAAGCCACTCGCGGGGGTGGGGGTTCACGGCTGACCTCGCCAGCAGCACCCCGGCGCGGTCGGCGGGCTCGGCTGTCTGAGGGGCTGCTGTGCAGGGCTGAGGGGAGATGAGAGGGGCGCTCCGCCCGGGCCCAGCTGCTCCCAAGGGCTCCATCCGCCTGGCTCGGGGTCCAGGCTGCGGCGACCCTGGGTCCTGTGGTGCGCCTGCGGAGAAGGGCCGGACGCTGTGCGTGCCCCCAGGGTGGGCGCCACGTCTGAGGAGAGCCAGAGTCCACGAGCATGGGGTCCAGGAGCCATCGCCTCCTGCTTTTCCGACTCGCGGGTCCAGACACCCCGAGAAGGGGCTGTAAGGGACCATGTCTCAGATAAGCCACTTGGGTGTTGGGGAGCAGAGACCCCAACGGGGGCAACCAAGGTTTGCTTCCAGCCCTGCCCTGGAACTTTCTAGAAGGAACTCACCCTGCACTCATGTCCAGAGGAGGGTGGGACCGTGGGGAGAGTGTTGGGGTGCTCTCATGTGGGGGTGGCAGAAGGTGAGGCCAACGGGTGGGCACGTCCCTGTGGGGACGGGCGGTGAGGCCTGGTGCCCCCCACAAGGCCGCCTGCAGGGAGGTGGACCCCGGGAGGGCATGTGCTGAATGATGCCCTGGACGGGGGACGACCTCAGCCATCCCCCAACCTCTGGCAACTCTCAGACCCTTGGGGCAGGAAGGGAGTCGGGGCAAAGGAAAGGGGTGGAGGGGGCCTCCCAGGCCTCCTGCCGTGCGCTGGGGTGGCTGTGGGTCTTTGGGCTGCTGTGGGCACCCTGGGGGCCTCCGCCCTGGGCTACGTCCCGGGGTGGTTTAGGAGGCTGCAGCTCCTGACTGGGCCTGGAGCCGATGGGGCTCTGGCTGAACAGCATCTTCCGTCCTCAAGGCCCTGACCCATTGCTGACGGGCTTTGGTCCTGCACCTGGGGTCCCAGGGGTGAGGTGGCCCCAGGACAGCTCCGAGGTCCATTAGCCCCGTGCCTGGGTCAGGGCCCTGGTCTGAGGACAGGAAGCGTGGACCGTCGCTGCTCCGGCCCGTGCTTGGCTTTGACCCATGACAGTGTAGGCCGGGGACAGCCCCCCCCCCCCCGAGAAGCCTGGGAGGCCCTCCTCAGCCATGGCCCTGGGCGGGCACCTTTCTGAGGCTTGGCTGGCCAGCAGGCCGGGACCCTGGCTGACGTTCTCGAAGCCCCGTAATGAGCCCAGCTTCTCCGCGGGTGAAGAGGGGGCCCTTCTCCCCACTCCGATGCTGAGGCTCAGCGACCCCAACCTGGCTCAGGCCTCCGGCCTGGGGCTGCCCACCTGCTTCCACACCCTCGGCCTCCCTGCTCGAGGCCCACGCTTCACAGCCTCCGGCTCCGAGGGGCCTGCCAGCCTGGCCGCTCCCCTTACAGCTCGCCCCCCCACCCGCTGCCCGCCTGCTGCCCGCCCCGCCCCGCCCCCCACCACCCCGCCGCCTCACTAACCTGTGACTTTGTGTTTTTCAGGCAGTTTCTTGATTCGGACATGCCTAGGTATCATTTGTGTCCTGGCCCCTCCTTCCGCCTCTCCCTGCCTCCCCACCCGGCCTGGGGTTCAGTCTCCGCTTTCTGGTTCCTTCCACACTTGCTCCCCTCCCCCTCCTGTTCCTCGTCTTCCTCCATCTCCCTGACTTTTAAATCGCTCCTTCGCCCCCTGGCTGAGTCACTTCCTCCCCACTCTGGCTGCTTTGGGAGTCTGCTGCCCTCCCGCGGACACCGGCTCCCTCCGCCCCCGCCCTGCCCACCTGTGCCCACCTGTGCCCACCCTGCCGGAGGGCAGCAGGCATCCTGCATGCGGGCCGGCTGTCCAGGCCCCCCGAAAGGTGACAGAGAGGGGGAGGGAGGGAGGGGCAGAAGGAGCCACCCCGCCAGGCGGCCTGAGTGTGCCCCTCCCTGGCTGTGGCCACCACACCCATAGGAAGTAGGTGGACAGTGAAGCTGGGAGGGGCCAGGACGTCTCTGGACTCGCTTGGGTGGTCCCAGGTCCAAACCCCGGGAGGCACAGGTTCCTGAGCTGGGGACCCCAGCTCCCTGCTGACCCCATCGAGGCCCTCGGGGGTGGACAGCCTCAGTCCCTAATTCAGACTGTGTCCATGAGATTCGAGTCCGTTCCAAGGGGAGGGTCAAGGTTGTCACCTTCATGGCCCCTGTGGATGTAGCCAGAGCTCCACGTGGTGGTCCGGGGGTCCCCTGTGGGTAACAGGAAGGCTGCCAGCTTGAAGGTTTGGGCCTGTAAGCTACACGAGGTGGTGGTGGGGGGGTGCGACAGAACTGTCTGAGGCTGTGTCCTTGTCAGGTCCTGGCTGCGGTGGGTTATTGTGACTGGTTACCGCTGTGTGTCTCCGAGGGCTTGTCAGGCCCTCCCTGGGGACCCAGCGGGGTGAGGCAGGGACCTGCAGTGGTGGTGGCCGCCCTGAGGAGGGGCACAGCCCTGCAGGGCCTGGAGCAGGGGCCTGCCTCCCCGGGCAGTCAGGAGGGCTTGCTGGAGGAGGTGGCCTCCTGGCTGGTCCTGGAGGTGGGCCAGGCTGGCTGAGGCAGCTGCACCTGCCAGCAGCCTCCCGGTCCTCAGAAGGCACCGGGCAGGGCCGTCAGCTCCAGCTCAGCCCTGGCAGGGACCCAACATCGGGGCTGTTCTGTTGATGCGCGAAAGCTTCTGGGCCGTCAGTGTGACTGCCCGGGTGTGCGTGGATCTTCCGTGTAAGTTTGCGTCTCCGCGACCAGCTCCAGTGGTAGAGGGTGCTCAGGCTGGCCCCAGACTCCCTCTCAAGCATGGAGGTGCCCAGGAAGGATGGGGCGAGGTGCAAACAGCACCCTGGGGTCCGGAGGAGACCTGGCACCTGGGGCGGGGGGAGTCAGCTATCCTTGTCAGTAGGCCCTTCATCCCCCGAAGTCATGGCCTCACCCCTGCCCTCAAGCAGGGAGCCCGTCTCCAATTCCAGGGTACTGGGAGGAAAAGGGGGTCCTCAAGATCGGGCTTGAACCTTCGTCGCAGGCCAGAGTCGCAGGGCTGGGTGGCCCTGGGGACGAGCAGGCGGTGGGAATAGTGGAGGGAGGGTCCCGTCCCGGACACCTGGAGCGGTGCCCTTGGCTGCTGTGGCAGTGTGGACACACAGCAGAACCTTCTGGAACCCTGCGTTCCTCCCCCTCAGGATGGGTTGCTGTCAGCGCCTCCCGGGGTTGTGAGGTTAAGTGACACAGGTCTCTGCTCGGGGACCTGTGCATGGACTGTAACTAAACCTCATGACTGCCCAAGGTACCCAGTCAGTGTTTAATTACAGACACTCTTTAGAACATATAGCCTCTGAGCAAAAGGCACATTTTTATTTTCATTGATATTTTAGAGAGGGGAGAAGGAGAAGGAAAGAGAGAAACACCAATGAGAGAGAAACATCGATCGGCCGCCTCCTGCACGCCCCCTACTGGGGATCGAGCCTGCAACCCGGGCATGTGCCCTGACGGGAATCGAACCGGGACCTCTCAGTCCCTGGGACGATGCTCAGCCCACTGAGCCGCACCAGCTGGGCACCTTTTCCCCACCAGCTGCTCCCTGTTGCTGGAGGGGCCGCACTGGGATGCCGGGGGGCGGGGGGGGGGCTTCTCCGCGACACTTTGTTCAAGGTCTCCCCTCTCCTTCCCCTGACCCAGGGCCCGAGCTCCCTCCCGGAGCAGAAGGGTCCGCAGGACCCTGTAAAGTGCTTCGATATTGACCCCTCCCCGTCCCACCAGGTGCAGGATCCGAGTTCCCCAAACCAGCGGCCCCGTCTGGTGCCCCGAGGCTGCGTCAGCCCCCTGGGAAGGGCCCCAGTGCCTTGGATCCCCCGTCTGGGTGTGGGGAGAGGGTCCCCGCTGGTCTGGGCCAGGCCCGGGCATCCGCATCTCTAACAAGTTCCCACGAGGTACTGATCCGCAGGCCTGGGACCCCGTGGCTGGACCACACCTTCCTTCTGACCACTGCGTCTGAGGGGTCGGCTTCTGTCATGTGGGGCAGAGCAAGGGGCGCCGTGTGGAACGGGGCGCAGAGCGGTCCTGAGGGGACCCTGTGCTGCTCATCGGGAGGGTCCTGGCATGACCGCCTCGGCCTCCCAGCCACATCCTCTAGGCCCCTCTGGGTCTCCGTTCCTGCGGCGTGACTGAGGGGCACCTGGCGTGATTCCCATGCTGCACCCTGCAATCTGGGGCGCCCGCGTGGCTGCCACCCTCCCGTCCTGGGCACACCCACCGCCGCTGCTGACTCTGTGGGTCTGGGTGAGACGCTCTCTGCAGAGGCCTCAGGGGCAGGGGGCAGGACTGGTGTCCAGAACCCTCCCTGCCCGTGCTCCAGGGGCTGGTATGCGTGGTCCTTGAAGGCGCTGTGGCCACAGGCCGAGGCTGGTCTGCAGGGGCAGCACCCTGGCTGTGCCAGGTCGGGCCCTGGTCTGCTTGCACCTGGGTGTCAGGCAGTGAAAAGGCCAGGGGGGCCCACCTGCTATGAGACCCACCAGTCAGGTTTTGGGAGACACGTTAGGTGACTAGCGTCCAGTCAGGACAAAGCCACATTCTAGGCCCTGACTGAGGGCCTCTCCCCAGGAGCCTGTCCGAGGGGCCTGGGGCGCAGGTGGGCTTGCCCCTCACAGTGCCAGGCCCGGGCTGCAGCACAGTCCACCCATCCAGCCTCCGGGGCGGGCCCTTGGGCAGGCCTCCCCACTGCGTCTCGGCCTCCTGGGGGGCCTGGTAATTACCGTGGCAAAGGCGACACGAACGTGTGCCCCCCAGGCCCAGCCAGGGCACCGGAGTGGCAGCTCCCGTAACCCAGGGCTTCCCCTGCAGCCAGGGCACAGGTCTGTGGACGGGCCGAGGGCACGTGGCCATGACGTGGCGCTTGGAGCTGGGTGTTCCGGGGCCGCAGGCCTGGCCCCCAGGATGGATGGTGTCCCTCTAGGTCTTGGGCACAGCTCCAGGGGTGCGGCTGGTCCTGCTGGGGACAGACCCCGGCTCTCCCTGCAGACACTGGGCGGGGCTCGGAGTGGCGTGTCAGCCCGGGTCAGCTTGGCTGGGCAGGTGGCGGTGCTTGTTCTGACACACGAATCTCTTCTGTGTGTGTCTGTGTGTCTTGCCTGCCTCGTCTTTTAGCGGTGCATTCGGAAATGACACTAGGTACAGCTCCCGTCTCTTCCGCACTCGCTTGTCCTCCCTCTTCTGCTTTCCAACTTCCTTTCTCCTCCAGCGTCCCCCCGCCACCTGCCCCCGCTGTCCTCACTCTCCTTCCTCTGGGTCTTTGTCCTCAAGGACGTGTGTCTGACATGTGGCCCCGTCCCACTGCCCGGGGCCTTGGGCTGTGCCGCAGAGGAGGGCAGCCGAGACGCTGTCCGTGCCCTTGGGTCCTGGCTCCCTGGGCCCCTCCGCACCCCTGGGCCCCTCCGCACCCCTGGGCTTCCTCTGCACCCCTGGGCCCCTCCACACCCCTGGGCCCCTGCACACCCCTGGGCTTCCTCCACACCCCTGGGCCCCCTCCGTACCCCTGGGCCCCTCCGCACCCCTGGGCCCCTCCACACCCCTGGCCCCCTCCACACCCCTGGCCCCCTCCACACCCCTGGACCCCTCCGTACCCCTGGGCTTCCTCCACACCCCTGGGCTTCCTCCACACCCCTGGGCCCCTCCCTGGGCCCCTCCGCACCCCTGGGCTTCCTCCACACCCCTGGGCTTCCTCCGCACCCCTGGCCCCTCCGTACCCCTGGCCCCTCCATACCCCTGGGCCCCTCCACACCCCTGGGCCCCTCCGCACCCCTGGGCCCGGCTGCTGTGTTGATGTTTCTCAGCTGTGTCTCTGTGAAGATGCTTGGATGGAAACCGGGGAGGCAGGGGCCGCAAACCTCTGCCCAGGGCCCACAGGGGGCCACAGGGGCCTGGGGGGGCTGAGGCACACTCCCCACCTCCTCAATGCAGGTCACGTGCAGGAGCTCTGCGTCCGTGGCCCCAGCTGCCCCCACTGGGGAGGGGTCTGCCGGCCTCTGGCCCCTGCTCTGCTCGTGTGTCCCTGGGGTGGGGGTGGGGCTGAGAGGGGAGACCAGCCTGCGCTGCCCGCGTGGGGAGCCGGCGCCGTGGGCGGTGGAGCCGTCTGCAGTTGGCCTCCCGGTTTCCACACCCAGCATCCTCCCCGAGGGCCTTCCTCCCCGAGGGCGAGCGGGTGATGAAGGAGATGGGTCCAGGAGAGACCACGTCGCCTCCTTACTCAGGCTGGGGCGCCTCCCTCTCTGCGTGAGAGCTGTGGGCTGCCACGTGCCCCGTTGGTCCACTGCGGGGGGCAGCCGGGCTCTCCCTGCCGGTGGCACCCAGAGCCCCAGTCCTGGGTAAGGAGGGGTCTGCCTCTCCTGGACACCCACCCGGCCTCCAGACCTGTGACCCCAGCAAACTCCCTGCGGGTCGCCCACGTGTCTGTCTGTCCATCCGCATGCGCCCAGCCCAGCCAGCGTGGCCACGCTGTCATCGCACCTCCTCGCTCCCTCCAGGACCTTCTACCAGTTCGAGGCCGCGTGGGACAGTTCCATGCACAACTCTCTGCTGCTGAACCGGGTCACCCCGTACCGAGAGAAGATCTACATGACCCTCTCTGCTTACATCGAGGCAAGACACCTGCCCAGGGCACCCCACCGAAATCACCTGTCCCCTGAGCCCGAGGTGCTTGCCCAGGGCAGGAGGGCGCAGTGAGCCCTGGACGAGCTGGCGACCCTGCTGTGTTCCCAAGTTCTCACCACACCCTGCACCTTGAATGGCAGTCACTCCACTGCCTTACCGTGGGGGCCTGTTCTCCGCGTGGCAAGGTGGCTGCAACCCCACCAGACATTGCATCTGCGTTCCAGGCAGTGTGGAAACATCAGCCTCCTCCCCATCCCCTGGGTCTGACGCACAGCAGCAGGCTGGGCACGTGGGTGTCTCTAGTGGGTACAGCAGCCAGGAGTCTGGAGGTCTGGGGCATCACCGGCCCTCAGAGCCCAGTTACTGCGCAGACAAGCCCCCAGCACCCCCCTGCTGTCAGAGCTATGGGTGAGCTGCAGCTAAACAGACACCACGCCCGTCACCGCAGCGTGGTCTGAGCTGTCAGACACACAGCAGGGTGCAGTCCCACAGATGTTCTGTGCAGCGTGTCACTGGCTTTATGGTGAGGCAGCTGAGGCCCGAGGTGGTGAGGCTTATGTCTGGGGCCTCGGGGTCCCCTGCACGGAGCCCGGCCCTCGGCGGCCCTGGGAGGCAGGGTCAGGAGGGGGCTCCAGGGGGAGCGGACTTTCTCCCACCTGGCTCTGGGGCCCAGGAAGGCCTGGGCTGCAGTCAGGGGGGGTGTCCTGTGCCTGAGCCCCTGCTTCCATGTCCCTGCAGATGGAGAACTGCGCCCAGCCGGCCGTCATCACCAAGGACTTCTGCATGGTCTTCTACTCCCGGGACGCCAAGCTGCCCGCCTCCCGCTCCATCCGCAACCTGTTCGGCAGCGGGAGCCTGCGGGCCTCGGAGAGGTGAGCTGCCCGGGTGGGCGGGGCGCCTGGGCACGGAAGGACCAGACCAGGCTCTACTCGGAGTGCCCGGGCAGACTGGCCTGGATGAGGGCCGCGCTTGCCCGCTCCTGGCCCCTGCTCTCAGCCCTTCCCACCCGCCCTGAGGGTGGGGTTGTTGGAGGTCACAGGGCACATGGGGGGATACCAGTGGCATATTGGGGAGCCACTCTGCACCCCCAAGTGACCTTCCTCCTCGGGGGCCGTGGGGATCTGTGCCATCAGGGCCGCGCACAGGGGAGAGCTGGGTAAATGTGGGGGCCGGGCTGGGAGGGGATGCTGGACGGAGGCCGGCAGTACCCGAGGGTCGGACGTCAGGCACCAGGGCTGGCCATGCTCTGACACCCCCACCGCCCCTTCCGCTCTGGGGAGCGACGTCAGGGCAGCGAGGCTCCCCGCTCCGTCTCATGGACCCCAGTGTCCAGGCCACTCCGGGCGCAGCGGGGAGGAAGGGGTGTGGGGTCAGGACCGTGGCCTTGGGCTGGCCACGACCGGTCCTCCGAGAGGTCCATGAGAGGGTGGGTGGGGACTGTCCGGGTAGGGCCTCAGCGCGAGGGCCTGACACCCGGCTGCCCCGCGAGGCCACCACACTGCTCAGGGTGCCCAGCTGACAGCTGGGGATCTGGTCCTGGCATCACTGTGCCCCCTGCTCCCCACAGCAACCGGGTGACAGGCGTGTATGACCTCAGCCTGTGCCACGTGGCGGACGCTGGCAGCCCAGGTAGGCACCTGCCCCCACCCTCTGGGGCTGCCTGGGGTTCTCCGGGTCCCTCCAGGTGACCTCAGCTAAGCTGTCATCGGGGGTCCCTTCCCTGTGACATGTGTGCCTTGGGGCTGTTCTGAGGGCTGGGGGACGGCAAGCGGAGCCCACGAGCAGAGCGGGCAGAAGGGCGCAGCCGTGACCGCAGACGCAGAGCTGGACAGCTGCCGTGGGCAGCCCGTGGGGCCCTGCGGCCGGTGGGCCGAGGGTGGGCGGGGTTGGGAAGGGGCACTGCCCCGGGGCCGCCGCCTGTGCCCACGGGCAGCGACGTGGTCGGACGTCCCTGCAGGCATGCAGCGGCGGCGCCGGCGGGTGCTGGACACGTCCGTCGCCTACGTGCGGGGGGAGGAGAACCTGGCGGGCTGGAGGCCTCGCAGCGACAGCCTCATCCTGGACCACCAGTGGGAGCTGGAGAAGCTGAGCCTCCTGCAGGAGGTGAGTCTGCCAGCGCCTCGGGCCAGGCCACCCAGGACCGAGCCGGACTCTCACTGCCGTCAGGGACCAAACAGGTCCACTCCCGACCTAACGCCGCGGGTGTCAGCTTGCAGGCAGGGACCAGAAGGAAATCAGGGTGGGCAAGGCCCTCTGTTGCTTAAGTCGGGACCAGTGTCCAGCAGCGTGGACGGCGTGGCACGGAGGCCAAGGGAGGGCGGGCAGCGGGTGGGCCTCAGGGCTCAGGTGGGGCTGACCCTAGCAGCAAGGTGGGCTCAGGCTCTTCACTGTCCCAGGTCTGACCTGCGGCCTGGGCCCAGCGGGACCCCTCGCAGCCTCCGAACCCCAGCACAGCAGTGAGGCCTCGCTCCGGCTCTCCCGCGGGGTGGGGGGCCTCGCTCCGGCTCTCCCGCGGGGTGGGGGGGCTCGCTCAGCTCTCCCCCACGGTGGGGGGCCTCGGTCCGGCTCTCCCGCGCGGTGGGGGGCCTCGCTCCGGCTCTCCCGCACAGGTGGGGGGCCTCGCTCGGGCTCTCCTGCGCAGGTGGGGGGCCTCGCTCGGCTCTCCCGCGCGGTGGGGGGCCTCGCTCCCACTCTCCCGCGCGGTGGGGGGCCTCGCTCCGGCTCTCCCAGGCGGTGGGGGGCCTCACTTCGGCTCCCGCGCAGGTGGAGAAGACCAGGCACTACCTGCTTCTGCGTGAGAAGCTGGAGACCACCCAGCGGCTTGTCACCGACACGCTGTCCCCGGCCTCCAGCGAGGCCTCCGAGTCCCACAGCTTGTCCAGCGCCTCCTCCCCGCTCTCGGCCGATGGCCGACCATCTCCCCTGGAGGCTCCCAACGAGAGGCAGCGGGAGCTGGCCGTCAAGGTAATGGCGGGTGGGCGCATGGCCATGACCAGACCCCTGCAGGGCGCCGGTGGCCTGGCCTGGCCCTGCCCCTGTTGGCTCCTGTCAGGGCCGGGAGAAGGAAGGTCTACAGAGTCCCCTTGCCCGCCGCACCCACCGCACCCACTGCACCCACTGGAGTTTGGGAACCTTTTTCAATCTCCTCCCCAAGCAGTGTCATGTTCTCTCTTGAATACCTACATTGACGGGGAGCTTACCACCCCTGTCCCATGCCTTTCTGTGGCTGGGGGCCCACCGGGAAGGCCTTCTCCAGCCTCGAGCCTACCCTGGGAGGCTTCCCCACCTTGCCCATCTCCTGGAGGCCTGGAGGTGCTGCCCACCTCGTTATTGGGGCCTGAGCCCTGGACCCACAGGTCCTGGGAGGCTCCTGACCAGCGTCCGCTGTCCCGCAGTGTCTGCGTCTGCTCACGCACACGTTCAACAGGGAGTATGCGCACAGCCACGTCTGCGTCAGCGCCAGCGAGAGCAAGGTAGGCGCCCAGCCCCCCCTCCCCCCCCCAGCCCTCGGGCTGCACATCCTGCAGGCAGGGCTCAGCCCCTGCAGGGGTCCCCCCACGAGGCCCAGGACCGTCCCCTCCCTGTGTCCCCTGCAAAAGACTCTCCTCCGCAGCTCTCTGAGATGTCGGTCACCCTGCTTCGGGACACGCCCACGTCCCCCCTGGGCGCGGCCACACTCACGCCCTCCTCCACCTGCCCCTCTCTGGTCGAAGGGCGGTACGGAGCCGCCGACCTGAGGTGAGTAAGCTCCAGGCCCCCGAACAGCTTCCGGCTCTGCCAGCCGGCCAGCGGCAAAGGCCGCGTCCCGGGCACAGAGTGCGGGGAAGGTGGCCAAGGGGACAGCCACACACACCCAGGGCGGCCTGGCGGCCCGGGGCTGCGGGCGTCGTCCCCGATCTGCCCTGTGCCCGCCCGCCGCCCCTCGCGAGCGGGTGTCCTGGCCTTTCTGAGGCCGTTTCTGAAGCATACGTTCCAAACCGGTCGTGAGTAACAGCAGGAATGGGTCAAACGCGTGCAAAACAAGAAGCCCCTTCACGGGGCAGCACTCGTAACACTCAGCAGACGCGTGGCCAGACGCGGAGAACCCCGGAGCTCACGGCGGCAAACGAGGTCGCGCATCCTCGGAGCCGTGCTGGGGAGAGCCCCCCACGCTGCTGATTCCACTGTGTCCGACCATCTCGTTTAGATTCCTCCGCGTTTCCCAATGTTCTTAAAAACAAAAACCGGCGTTGAGCCCTCTGGCCCTCTCCAGAGACAGGACTCCTTGGCCCCCAGGTTGTCACTCAGCCTGGCGGGGGCCGGGGCCAGTCGCCTCTCTGCACAGACGGACCCCGAGAGCGCTGTGTCCACGTCAGCTCAGTTTTGGGGGTGACGAGTTGCTGCAGCCCCTTTTACGGGAGTGACGGGGAGGGGCAGAGGTGACGGGAGAGGGGTGCTGAGCCCTCCCACGCCGCCCCGTGATCCTGAAATCAGGCGGGCGGGCCAGACTGTGGGTGCGGCGGGCAGGTGGCTAGAGGTGCCCACGGTGGCCCTGGGCGCAGCGCTCCGCCGGGGGGCGGGGGGAGCCCTGGGTGGCTCCGGGCCGCGGAGGCCTCTGGAGCACGGCTGGAGCCTCCACCTTTCTCAGGACCTTGCAGCCCCACTCCCGGCCGGCCAGCCCGGAGCCGGAGCCCCTGCCGGAGGCGGAGGCGGAGGCCAAGAAGACGCCCTCTCCCGCCCGGGCCGCGGAAGCAGACAAGGAGCCGCAGCGCCTGCTGGTCCCCGACATCCAGGAGGTCCGGGTCAGGTGCGCAGCCTGTGCCTGGCCTGGGGCAGGGGCGGGGCAGGCAGGACAGGGCTCTGCGAAGGTGGTTGTCATGTGTCTGCAGAGGACCAGCTGGGCCACTCATGTGCCAGCCCTGGCGGCCCTGAGCGCCGCCGTCGGTGGGTGTGGCCGTGGACACGGGGACAGGGCAGGGCGGCTTCAGCATCTCTAGTTTTTCCCATTTTACAGCTGGGGACTGGGGCGCAGAGGTGGGGTGGGGTCCTGCCAGGTCCCTGGGGTGCCTCGGCCCTGGCGGCCCCTCTGGGAAGCCTACTTTCTGGCCCGTGCTGTGGCAGCGTGGCGGGAGGCCCCGAGTGGGGCCCCCGCTGGCTCCAGGAGGGCTGGAGTAAGCGGATGTCCTGTCCCCGCAGCCCCATTGTGTCCAAGAAGGGCTACCTGCACTTCCTGGAGCCGCACACGGCCGGCTGGGCCAAGCGTTTCGTGGTGGTGCGGCGGCCCTACGCCTACATGTACAACAACGACAAGGACGCCGTGGAGAGGTTTGTGCTGAACCTGTCCACCGCCCAGGTGGAGTACAGTGAGGACCAGCAGGCCATGCTCAAGGTGCGCCACAGACTGGCTGGCCGGGCGCGGAGTCCCAGGCAGGGCCAGGGGAGGGCGTCCCAGGGTCTCTGTCCCCGGGGCTCGTAGTCCTGGTGCCACCAGTGGTGATGAGGGCCAACAACGCAGTCCCACCCCCGCGGATGCCCACGGTGGGGGCTGAGCCACTCGGGGCTGTGGGCCCGGAGTCCAGCCCCCGGGCCCCGCGTTGCCCTGCCCCGAAGCACAGCCCTGGGTGTGAGTGTCAGGAGCCCTGGCTCCTTCCTTGGCCACTACACTGGCCTCTAGTGATTCCTGACCCCCTGGGGTAGGGGTGGGAGCGCAACCCACGAGAGGCCCAGGCTTGGGAGGAGGGGCTGCCAGGATGGACGGGCCCTGTGGACACATCTGGACCACAGCTGGGCCAGGGTCCCAGGGAATAGGGACACGGAGCAGCGGCCCTGGGCGTGGGAACGGACCGGGTGTCCTGACTGCAGAACCTTCCAGAAGGGAGCACAGTTCATTGAGTGGGGACTGGCCTTGCGCACTGTGGAGTTTGCACAGCCCCCCTGCCGTGGGCACCCTCCTGCCCCCAGACCCTCCCCTCCCCGTGCGGACCCCCGAGGCGTGGCGCCTCCTCACCTCCTCACCGCGGTGCCTTGCAGACGCCCCACACCTTCGCCGTGTGCACGGAGCACCGCGGCGTCCTGCTGCAGGCCAGCAGCGACAAGGACATGCACGACTGGCTGTACGCGTTCAACCCCCTGCTGGCCGGGACCATCCGGTACGCACCCCACCGGGCGGGCGCCCCCTCCCCCTCCGCTGGGCGAGGGGCGGGCACGGGCTTGTCCATGCTTCTGTTCGTGCCATTGCTGCTACGTGTATAAAAACCCCGAGGTTTTCCACATCACGTGCGACCCGGGCAGACCTTCCTGTAGGGAAAATGCCTCTGTGTGGGGAATAGTCAGCCCCACCCCGCACCCGTGACTCAGGCGTCTCCGTGACAGGGAACAGAGGTCGCGTCTCGGGCCGCGAGGGAACCAGAGGGGCCCCGGGCCATCGAGCTGCTGTGGCCTCCCTCTGCCACCTCCGGCCGCCCCCGCCACCCTGACCTCTGCTCCCTTCCGCCCTCCCACAGGTCCAAGCTCTCCAGAAGGAGGTCTGCCCAGATGAGGGTCTGAGCGAAGACCCCCCTCCAGATAGCCAGCAGGCCCAGGCTGCTGCCTCCACCGTCCGTCTGTCTTTGCCGCCCAGCCTTTCCCCCAGACAGCGGGCCCCTCGTCCTGGGGACGCCGCTGGGCCCGCGAGCCCACCTCCGGCCGGGGACCTGCACCACACGACCTGTCCGCCCAGCGGAGGCCGCATGTCGTGCTCCTTCTTCGAGAACGTGCCCTGGGGGGAAGAGCTGGGAGCCGCTGAGAGACCGAGCACCGGTCAGGGGGCATCGCTGACGTTCTAATATTTTTTTAAGCATAGACAGACTTATAATTAATATACGGTAGTTAGCAACATGGAAACAGCCCACTCAGAAATTAACTATAAGACTGTGTTCTATTTATAAGTATTTATTTCTAACGACCTGTAGGATTCAGAGGGATCCTGTCCCTGCTTGTTCCCACATGACCCTCCCCAGCCTCTTAGGGACAGACAGGGCGGCCGCCGCCTTGGAGGACCACAGTGAGGGTGGCCCCTCGGGACACCCGCCCGGGCCCGAGGCCTCTCCAGCTGCATTTGAGGCCGGCCCTTGCCCTGGGTGCGTGCCTGTGTCAGGGGGACCTCGTGCCGAAGTCCGAGCAGCACAGAAAGGGGTGTGTGCCCGCGCTAGCGTAGGCATGGGCACACCTCGCTGCGCAGCAGCCGCCCGAGACGAGACTCCTGGCAAAGCTCAGCCGCTCCGGGAGCGCGTGGGGGGCGAGGGAGGGGTGGGGCTAGAGAGAAGGGGCCGGGTCCCACGCTGGTGTCACGTGTCCAGGCGGGCAGGGCGCGGGTGGCGGGGTTAGAGGTCGTCCAGGGTGTGGTCCAGCTTCTGTGAGACCCGGGGGGGTGGGGGGTGAGTTTAAGGTTGCTCCAGGGAGGAAAGCCAGAAACTTTCCCTCTTTGCCCCAAGAGAAGAGCATCCCTGTGAGTGCCAGGTGGTCAGGTGAGGGTGCTGGGGTCAGCCACCGTCCAGGCCTCCCCCTTCTGCATCGGGGTGCCCCCATTTCCTGTTCTGGCCTCGTGACAATGTCCACCGGTCTCCTCTGCAGACACCCCGCCCGAGGGTGGCCCGGAGCAGGACAGGAGTCAGTCCAGGCTGACCGTCCGGCCCAGCGTCCTGTCCAGGCCGTGAACCCATCATGGAGATCATGGGGCCTGAGGGGGTCTTCTGTGACCTGTTCCCACACCCGGGGCACGGTTGGCCTCTTTGTAGCATAAGAACGAAACTGCAAAATTGTCCCCACCATGGCCTGCCCAGCGGGTTTCATTCAGCCCGAGGCCCGCGGTCACCTTGCTGGGTCCACTGAACTCCCTGGCACCCTCCACCCCCCCAGCCAGCCCTGTCGGTGCCAGTCACTGACACCTGACTTCGCTTGGCTTGGAGGACCCGAGCGCCCCCTGAAATCAGCGGTTCTGAGACTCCCCCCTCTGCCTGCGCTGTCCCCGCGCAGGGCTGACGTGGCACACGGGCGTCTCACACCCGGGGCGCTGAGACCAGAAGCGCTCCCCGAACTTCCTCTGGGGACCTTGTGTTGGCTCTCCTCCGACTGACAGCTTCTGGTGAGGTTTTCCTTTGGGAAAGTTGTTCAGGCCCTTACACTTCGCCTCAGACGAGGGGTGCAGGAGGGTGGGCCCTGGGACAGCCACGCGCCCGCCAACCTGTACAAGGCTGCTTTCCGAGCCTGGCTCCCCGCTGCCTCCTGGTGTCCGGATGGCCCCTCTCAGGGAGGAGCCATCAGTATGATGGCCCAGGGCCAGGTCTGTGAAGCGCAGGGCTCAGCAGCTGCCCCTGGAGGTCCCCGGAGAGGGTCACCCCTGGGCTGACCTCAGCGTTGTCCAGAAGGGGCCCGTGCTCGCCTCACAGGTGTCCCGCAGGTGGGGGCGGCAGGGCAGACAGCAGTCCGGGCCCAGTGTGCGTCTGGCCTTTATGACGTCCGTGGGCTGGGAGGAGAAGCAGGGAGGGGTGAGTTCTAAGATGAGTCAGGTTCCTGGGAGCCCAGCGGCCACCCACTCAGGTCAGCCAGCCTGAGACGTGGCCTCAGGAGGGTCTGATGCCGCTGCCCCTGGGACAGGTGTCTGAGGCCAGCCAACCTGCAGAGCACCTGTTCCGTGGGCAGGGCCAAGGGAAGGGGCTCACTCAAGGGTTTCTGGGGATCACCCCAAATTCAGGAGCCTCCTCAGCCATGGAGGCTCCCGGGGACTGTCCCATTTGGCCTGGACCATCTTGGCCGTGCCCAGGAACCCGGTGTAGCCCTCCTGCTGTCCCCTGCCAGCCTGCTTGAGTCCAGACACCCAGAGTCGCTGGACAGGAAACCCGTGTGGAGTCAGGAAGCCTGGTTTCCCCCCGCCCCCCGCCCGAAACTCCCCAGCGCCCTGTATCTGCGGCCGGCTGTTTAACAACTGGGACTCCGTTTTTGCATACGTGACAAGCGAGGCTGACCCAGAGACCCCTCGGGGCCCTCACCCTGTGGGGTGCAGAGAGCAAAGTCAGGTCTGGCTGCGGCTGCTGTGCCCACTGAGTGGGGACAGGGAGAAAGATCCCGCAGGCCATCCTGGTGGTTCTTGTCTGAATGCTGGGTGCCTCTCGGAGGGGGAGCTTCTTCCTGTGGCCCCAGGGAGGGGGGTGCTGGGCTCAGGCCAGACACCCGGCTCCCATGACCCACCTGGCGCCCGGGGGTGTGGAGATGCAAGCCCCCCCGCTGTGGTAACCAACTGCTCCTAAGGCGGCAAGGTCTCGCCCCCTGACCGCGCGCACCCAGCGGCTGCAGTGAGGCGGTCCCTCCGCACCTCCAGGGGGTGCGGCAGCACCCGGGGGCTGTGAGCGGGGCTGCCATCTGGTCCTCCAAACAACGGCTGTGGCTCCTTCCAGGGCCGTGCTTCCTGTCCCCGAGGCCCCCTGTGGCTTGTACATATGTAGTTGTGTGCACACCCGGCCCCGCTCCGTAACCGCCATCCTGACGTAACGACTAGTCCCCGACGTTCTGAACCTGAGCGCTCGGTTCTGTCCTGTGTGTGCGCCCAAGGCCCTGTCCAGTTCCGAAATAAACGTGCTCCTGACGCAGACCTGCTGTCCTCTGCTGTGCGTGATTTCTGCGTCGGGTCTGAACCTGGTCGGGAAGGCTCAGCATCGCCCCGGGACAGCGCCCGGCTTCCCGGTGGCAGCGCGGGTCAGGGAGGGAGCCCCGGTGCAGGGACAGCTCAGGACCTGGCTGCAGCCCCCAGGTCTTCTGACAGGTGAGCGCTTCCACAGTCTGGCCCATCTGGCCATGGAAAGCGACTGGTCACAAGGGATGAGTGTGGATGGACGCAGAGATGGGGTGATTTCAATGGCATTTCGCTGAGCGGAAGAACAGCTCTCCCTGCCCTGACCAGTGTGGCTCAGCGTCAGAGCATCAGCCTGTGGACCGAAGGGCTTGGCTTTGATTCCTGGCCAAGGGCACCTACCTGGGTGGCAGGTTTGATCCCCAACTCCAACCAGGGCCTTGTGGGAGGCAACCAATTGATGTGTCTCTTTCACATTGATGTTTCTGTCTCTCCCACTCTATCTAAAAATCAATGGAACCCTGGCCAGTTTGGCTCATCAGTTAGAGCATCAGCCTGCGGTCCACAGAGACCCAGGTTCAGTTCCCGCTAAGGGCATGTACCTTGGCTGCAGTTTGTCCCCGGCCCTGGTTGGTCATGTGGTAGCAGCCACTCGATGTGTCCCTTTCACGTCAATGTTTCTCTCTCTCTCTCTTCCTCTCTCTCCCTCCTGCTCTATCTGAATAAAAAATGGAAAAATGTCCTTGGGTGAGGATAAAAAGATACATACATACATAAAATATCAATGGAAAAAAGGTGGTGTCCCGTGGGACCCTTTTGTACAGTGTTGTCAGAGAGACACGGGTCTCAATGAAGAGCACATTAGTGGTCTCCGGGGGTCACGGCTGGGGAGAGTTTTTGGGTGATGGAAATGCTTGGTACCCTAATAAGAGTGGTAGTGACATAAACCTAAAGAAGTCACAGGACTGCACATGGACAGAAAAAATAAAAAATAAATCATTATCACTTCTTGATAATTTTTTTAATGGATGGTTATTTTAAGAAGCAATTCAATGAAGAAAGGGCAGTCTTTTTTTTTAATGGTGTTGGAACATCTATATGGAAAAATAAACCTTGGCTCATACTCAACATGAACTCAGACTAGATCGCAGATGTAAGTATAAGTTCAAAGGCTATGAAACTTCTCAGAGAAACGCTCTATGACCTTGAGGCAGACAAAGAGTTTGTAGATATGAAACAAAACTGTGATCCATAAAAGACAAAAAAAGAAAAAGAAAAGAAAAGAAAGTAGACTTCACCAAAATGAAAACTTTCTAGTGTTCAGCAGACACTTGAGACGAAAAGACAGGACGCAGGCTGGTTAAACGTAGCTGCAAGGGACCCGAGTACAGAGCATGTCAAGTTCTCAAAAACCCAGCAACAAGCCAGAGGACAACCCAATTGAAAATTGGGGTGAGGGGGAAGCGGATTTGAAGAAATTAAAAGACCTCTTATGAATTCTGACTTTCCTAAAAGGTTAAAAACCTTAGGTGGTCACCTCGGACCTGTAGAGACCTTGGCCGTCATGACTCCCGTCCTACCAAGAAAAGGCGGAATACACAAAGTCGAGGCATTCCCTTGCACCCATCCGAGAATCAAGGTCACAGGGCAGGCCGCCACCCGCACCCCTGGAGGGACCAGCACAGAGTCACAGCTGGGACCTGCTGCTGGGGCCGAGGGCTGGCTATGGGGACACATGGCTGGGGGCCGTGTGCTGGACAGTGAGAAACTCCTGGGACCCTCACTTGTTTGCGAGTTTTCCCACCAGGAGCCCCACCAATCTCTCTTGGTGAAGAGCAGAGATAAACCCCCTGTTGTTTCTGTTGGGGAGAAGAATTATTAGGGTGTGAGCCTAGAGCTTTCTCCATAACAAAGTCCTCTGGGGTAGAGGGCAAATTCGAAATTGAGGGAACTTCCTCTTCTTGGTAAAGAAATCTACAAAAATCCTACAGCGGACGTCATACTTAATGGCTAAAAACTGAAGGGTTCCCCCCCTCAGACTGAGAACAAGGCAAGGGTGCCCCCTCGTACCCGTCCTGGTCGACACTGTACTGGGAATTCCAAGGGCAACGAGACAAGGAAAGGAGAGGGGGCCTGTGGATCGGGAAGGAAGAAATTAAACTGTGGATGACAGCTTGCCTACAAAGAAAATCCCAAAGAAAGGACAGACAGACAAACAAACCTGGAACTATCCCATTATTATAGCAAGGTCACGGGATACAGAGTTCCTATACCAAAGTCCATCGCTTTCCTATATCCCAGCCATAAGCAACTGGAATTTGAAATTTTTAAAAACACCATTTTCAGTAGCACCCAAAAAACCCTGATCCCCAGTGTGGGGGGCATGCAGGAGGCGGCCAATCGATGTTCTCTCTCATCGACGTTTCTATCTCTTTCTCCCTCTCCCTTCCTCTCTCTCTCTAAAGTCAATAAAGGAAAAAAGAAAATTACAAGACTCGATGAAAGGAATCAAAGATCTAAATAAGTGGAGAGACCTCTGTTCATGGACCAGAAGATTCAATGCTGTTGAGACGTGAGCTCTTCCCGTCGGATCTATAGATTCAATGCAATTCCCATCAGAATCCTGGCAAACCAATCAGGGATTAACACACTGAGTCCAAAGCTTACAGGGAAAGAAAACAGACCCAGCACAGCCAACACGACATTGATGGAGAAGAACAAGTGGGCCTCACCCAACTTCGTCTGACACAAGCTTTTGAAACTCAGGACAGTGTGGCCTCGGCTGAAGAACAGGCCACAGAGCAACGGGACAGGAGAGGGAGCCCACACACTGTCGACCCGTCTTGACAAAGGAGCCAAGTCAGCTCCGTGGAGAGTGGCCGTCCTTCTCATAGTGCACCCGGAGCCGTGGGAAGCCTACGTGCAAAAGAGAAAAGGAAAAAAGAATCTGGTTACAGCTCTTACACTTCTCACAAAAGCTGAGAAGTCAAGTCACAATAGATCTTAGACCTAAATGTAAAACACGGCCCTGGCTGGTTTGGCTCAGTAGTTAGAGCAGCGGCCTGCGGGCCAGAGATTCTCAGGTTCGGTTCCCACTAAGGGCATGTACCCCAGTTGTGGTTGGTCCCCTCCACGGTTGGGGTCATGTGGGTGGCAACCAGTTGATGCCTCTCTCTCACATCAATGTTTCTCTCTCACTCTCTCTCGTTCTCTCTCTCTCCCTCCCCCTCTATCTGAAGATAAATAGAAAAATATCCTCGGGTAAGGATTTAAAAAAAAAAAGAAAATGACCAGGAACTGGAAGAAAATATTTTCAAAAGAATGCTAGGACAGAGGACTTGTATCCAGAATGCGTAAGAATAGAGAGAGACACATTGTAACGCAACACTAAAAAGATACACACTTACTAAGAAAGTGAGCGAGTAGTATTTGAGCGACCAGTGAGCTCAAGGCCGTGTCTAGCCCCTCTCTCGTTCCCACGCAAGGGGCAGTGACTCTGGGCAGGACAGAGAATGTGTGTGAATCAGCACCGAGGGCCTCAAAGCCGTACCTGGGACACGTCCCGCTGCGAGGCTGACACAGGCCGGGGCCAGGCTGACAGACTGTTAGTTCACGCACCCACCTGCCCCGTGACCTGGAGTTCACCAGAAAGAGGAACACTTGTTACAGAGACTCCTACAGAAGTGCTTAGAGCAGCTCTATCTGTACTGGGCACAAACCCTAAATGTTCACCTTCTGAGAAATGGACGCGCAAACTGCGGCTCTTCCTTAAATGGGATTCCGTTCAGAGATGAAAAGGGACAAAGCCCTGGTCAGTGCCCCCCAGACAGACCCCGAGAACGGGGGGCGGCACCAGGGAGGAGGGCGAGAGGCCCCGGGGGACGAGAATGTCCCCTTTCTTGGTAATGACCTGCTTCATGCGTCTGTCACGGGGGTGGATGCTTCTCGGAAGGCTAACGAGCTTCGCTTTGAGTTTTATCTAAAAATCAAGCAGTGCTTGAAGATAAAAGCCGAATGGACATCGCTGGCGTGACTAGCTGGGCCCCGGGGGGAGCTGGCTGCTCAGGGCCGCGGTCTGGCAGCCCTCCCGTGTGTTCTGCTGTGGACACGTGGAGCCCACGGGCCAGGGCCCGGCGGGGGAATGTGGGGACGGAACGGGAGGCCCCGCACGGACTCCCGCTCCACGCGGTCCCTGAGGGAACCTGGGCTGGCCTGGGTCCAGTCTCCAGGCCCTGCGGCTTCCAGAATGTCCCCCCTCTCCTGAGGGGGCGGGCCCGGTGTGTCCACCGCCCAGGGTGTGGTCTGGCAGGGGCGGCGGGTGGGTTTCCTACGGGGCTGCCAAGGTGGAGTTCCTGTTGGGGTAGCCTCACCCTCTCTGGGAAAGCCGGGGACCCCAAAACGCTGCTGGGAGCACGAGCAAAGAAAGGCAGCTCCTCGTCTTCCGCGCAGCAGGTCCCCCTCCTGGGTCGCAGTCCCCCTTCTGAAGGGGCGTCCGGCAGGCGCAGATGTCGAACTGGAAACATAGAGGGCGGGGGGGGGGGATCGTGGGCAGGACACGGCGCCCTCTGTGCCCGGAAACGGGATCTGGTGGGGTGAACGCAAGCTGCCTCAATGCCCGGGAGGCCATCCCCAAGCTGGGGCCTCGCGCGGGCACAGGACTGCCGGGGTCCACGGGGACTGGGGCGCAGCCCCGTGCTCAGCTGGGAAAGGCAGTGACCCCGGCTCCCTGGTCCCTCTGGGCTGGAGCACCATGCCCGGCCACATGCCCTCAGGGAGGGGCCCATCCCACACACAGGGTGGGGGCGTTCACAGGTGATCCCCACTTGCCAAGGGTGCGGGCTTCTCCTCCAAGGTCATCACATCCTGGGGTCTGGATGAAGACCCAGCCGCGGCTTTGCTTTCTTAGAAAAGCAGTTTATTTGCCGATGTTTCCAGGCGGGACACTTACTGAATTCGGTGAGCTGGGCCTTTGTGCCGGCTCAGCTTCTTGGGGCGCCCAGAGTTGCCTCAGCGGGGCCCCCATGGCTTCCCTGTGGGGAAGACCCGGCCCCACAGATGGCTGCCTTCGCGGAGGGAACTGGTGGCCATGACGCAGAGCACAGGAGAGCCAGGGACCCTTGCCCCGTGGGGACGCAGCCCAGGCGCAGGGAGCTGACCGGCTGCGGAGCCAGGAGCCGGGACGAGTCGTGGAGACTGAGGACCGTGGCCTGTCTGCACGCAGGCCTACCAAGTGGGGTGAGCGACCGGTGTGTCCTGCCCCGGGGAAGAGGCCTGGCTGCGGCAGGTCCGCTGTGGGCGTTCCTGGCTGTGCTCAGGATGGAGGTGTGCGCACAGGTGTGGCGTTCCCAGGGGCACCTGCCCAGGTGCGAGCTTCCGGGGCTCCCCTGCCCGTGGGGCCCGGGATGGGTCCGTCCCTGACACGTCAGCTCAGGTTCCCTGCTCAGTCTGGCTCCCGGCGGAGCCCCCGGGCCGATGGCCGGTCTGAACGTGTCCCTCTCGTTCTTCTTGGCCACCATCGCCCTCTGCCAGGCGGCCAGGAGGGCGTCCAGGGCCCTGCTCCCCGCGGGCGCCTGCGTCAGCTTCGCCCTGGAGGCGGCGGGCGCGGCCCAGCTGGGGGCCTGCTGCCTGGAGCTGCGGGTGCTGGCGGAGTTGGGCCCCTGGGCCGGGGGCTTCGGGCCCGACCTGCTGCTGACCCTGCTGTTCCTGATCTTCCTGGTGCACGGGGCCACCTTCGACGGCGCCTCGGCCAACCCCACCTGGTCCCTGCAGGAGCTGCTCCTGGCCGAGGCCTCCCTGCCCAGCACCCTGCTGAAGCTGGCGGCCCAGGGGCTGGGCATGCAGGCGGCCCGCGGCCTGACCCGGCTCTACTGGGCCTGGGAGCTGAGCGACCTGCACGTCCTGCAGAACCTCATGGTGGAGCACTGCAGCTCGGCCCTGCGCACCACCGTGGCCCACGGCACGCTGGTGGAGGGCGCCTGCGCCTTCCTCTTCCACCTGACCCTCCTCCGCCTGCGGCGCAGCCTTCCCGTCTGCCGGGTGCTGGCTGTGGCCCTCCTGGTCACCGGCATGGCCTACGCAGGTGAGCCCGGTGTCTCCGCTGGGTCCCATCGGAACCTCTGCCTTGGTGGCCGCTAAGCCGCCGGCACCGTGGGCACCGGGAGCGGGGCTGCCGGCCGAGGGGCACGGACACCGGGGCCATTGCCCAAGAAGCTGGTGGTGCGATGGCCAGCCGGGCTGGACCGTGCGGTGGTGGGACCCCGCCCCTGTCAGGGCCATCCTTCCTGGCTGGGCCATTCCAACTCGGAGCTCACACCTGGGGCAGGTGGGTGGTGGCGCAGTCCCCAGGGCCCCGCCCGGGCTCTGGCCAGCAAGCCCCTGCCCATCCCCACTCCCCGGGGTGCCCTTCTTCCTCCCTGTCCCCCCACCCTCCTGAAGTGGCAGCAGGTGCCCCACCCCCTCTCTGGGGTCACTCCTCGACCCCAGCAAGCCTCCTGACCAAATTCCCATGGGGTCCCTCAGCCCCTGTGGGAGCTGCCCCGAGCCTCCAGCCGTGGCCACGCCAGCACCCCACTCTGCATTCGGCCTTCAGATGGAGGTCACCTGTCCTGAGTCCCCTACTGGGCGTGCCCCAAAGTGACAGGGGCACCTTTCCCACCTTTGTGGAGAAGCAGAGAGCCATTGACCACTGACCGCACGTTCCAGCTGCCCCTGGTTTGGGGACAGAGCTGGGCCAGGACGTGGAGGAGCCAGGCCAGGGCCCCTAGGAGGGTCCTTCCGGCTTGCACCCTCCCTCTGCCCCGGGCACGGGGGACGGGTCGGGTAGGACGACGGGGCCTTCAGGGCAGGTGGCCGGGGTGCCCTGTGCGGGGTGTGGACATGAGCCCCGCACTTGTCAGGCTCCCTGGGAAAGCCCCTGGGACCATGGCCGCGGAGCAGTCAGCCGGCGGCCGGGGGCTCCAGGCTCGGGACACAGCCGGAAGGGGCCGAGGCCGAGCTCTCCCAGGTCCCATTCAGGGGGCTCAGTGAGGGCAGATCTGGCACCGGGGGCTCCCTGCCCATGGCGCTGACCCTGCCCAGCACCCAGCACACTGGGAGACCCAGGCTGTCAAGGGCCCGGAAGCTGCCGCTGGAGCCGCACACAGGTGGGGAGGTCGAGGCACACCTGAGCAGCTTGCCAGGGGCAGGGCGCTGTGGGCAGACTGCCTGGACCCCACCCTGGGGTGACACCCAGGACCTGCTGTCTGCACAGGAGCCCCAGGGTGTTTCCCGCAGAGTCCGTGGGCCTGGCCTCCGCCTGCCCGCGTCGGGCTCGTGTCCCCAAGGCCTGGACCTGTCCAGGGAGGTGCCCGCTCACAGGGTGGTCTGCCTGGCCTGGGGCTCAGGGACGGCGGCCTGGCTCTGGCTGCTTCGTCCTCTCTGTGATCTGTCTGTCTCTCTCTCTGTTTCTTGTTCTGTCTTTATCAGTTTCCCTGTCTTTCTGTCTCGGTCTCCCTACCTCTCCATGTCGGTCTCTCCCTCAAAGAGGCTCCCTCAGGCGGGACGTGCTGGAGAAGGGGGCATGAGTCCATCCCCGGGGAGAGAGGTCAGGGCCTGTCTGTGCTTCCTCCTCAGCTGGGCCCTTCACGTCCGCCTTCTTCAACCCCGCCCTGGCCGCCTCAGTCACCTTCCACTGCCCGGGGAACACCTTCCTGGAGTATGCCCAGGTGTACTGGCTGGGCCCTCTGGCAGGTGAGAGCCCGTGGGGCCGCCGAGGCAGCGCCCCCTGGTGATCAGGAGCGGGAAGTGGGGGGCCGCTGGGGGGCTGGGAGGCCCTGGGCAAGTCACTTCACCTCCCGGCCTGTCCCTCTGCAGCAGGAGTGGTAGCACCTACCTCGAGGGTTGAAGGGGGTGCATGCAGCACCCTGTGGGCACCCTGTGGGCCCAGGGGCCATCCTCCAGGATTACGGCTGCTGGGGGCATCCATGGAGACCAGTCCGGCCAGGGCCTGACCTCTGTGGGGTTGGGCAAGAGCTACCAGGGGGCCCACACACCACAGATTAAACCCTCACGGGGTTCACACCACATTTAAAGAGAACGTGTCCTCCTCTCCGCCTTCCCAGGGCCTGGACAGCCAGGTGGGAGTGTTGGTCCTGGCGTCTGGGCAGAGCCTGGGTGGGGAGCAGGACTGGCCCTGCCCTGCCCCTCAGCCCCTGCTCTTCCCAGGCCCACACTGAGGCAGGAAGCAGCCTGGTCAGAAGGTGGCCGGACGGGCTCCCCCAGTGGCTCTGGGCCAGGTCACAAAGCATCGTCCACAAGACTAAGCAGATCCTGGTGGCTTGTCCCCATCTCGAAGGGGCAGGTGTCCTGGAGGATGGACATGGCTGGGAAAGCCAGATCAGGGTCCAGGAAAGGGTCTCCCAGCCCAGGTCTTCAGCCTGCCCCCAACCCCAGCCCAGGTCTGCAACCCCCACCCCAGCCCAGGTCTGCAGCCTGCCTCCACCCGGGTCTGCAACCCCCACCCCAGCTCAGGTCTGCAGGGTCCCCCGTCCCAGGGAGGGTCCGGTGGGTGAGTCTCTATGTTGTCGGGTTGCAAGGGCCCGAGAGCCCTGGTCTGAGCCTTGGTCTCCTCCAGGAATGGTGCTGGCTGTCCTGCTGTTCCACGGCCGCCTTCCCCGCCTTTTCCAGAGGAAACTGCTGTACAGTCAGAAAAACAAGTACCGAACCCCCAAAGGGAAGCTGGCCCCAGGACCTGAAGACACCCAGATACCCACAGAGAGGAACAGAGGCCAGGAACCTGGGCGGAGGCGGGTGGGACAGCAGCTGCCAGGTGCCCTGTGAGCTCCATGAGGGGCCAGGTCTCTGGCTGGGCCCTGGGACCCCCCCTGGCGGAGGGGGGCGCAAACCCAGCCCCACTTTTCCCCTAGAAAGCACTCGTCAATAAAGCATCCTCAGACCGGCCTGTCTCCCCGCCTGGCAGAGCTTCTGCTGGTGGGGGCTGGTCTGAGACCCCATCTTCCTACAAGGCCTGTCCCGCCTCTTCTTTATAGAATCAGAACCACAGGGAAGACCCGGAGGGAAGGCCAGAGTCCAGGGGGCAGCCTGGTCCTGAGAAGACCCAAAGGGAGAGAGTTCTGTGCAGGACTCCTGGCTGCCCCGGACATACGCCAGCACCCACAGCCCAGGGGGGCCTGAGTGCCTATGACACCCTGAAACCTGCCGGGGTGTGTGGATGGCGGTTGGAGCCCGAGGCTGCAGGGGAGTGGGCCAGACACAGGGTCCCCAACCCCCCATTCGCCACCAGACCCACAGGCCCTCAAAGCCAGGCAAACCCTGCCAATCACAGGGCCTTCAGCGCAGACCCCGGGCCCCCCCAGGCTGGAGGAGACTCACGTTTCCTCCCCAGAGACCAGAGGACAAAGGCCCCACAGCTGGGGTTCCCGGAGCCCCACCCAGCCTGAGGCCCCACGCTATCTTCCCACCAAAGACAGGAGGGAGAACCAAGGCGAGTCCTGGCTGACCTTTCCCTGGGATGCCACGCAGAGGCCCAGGAGAGAAAGAAGAACCCCCGCCCCACTCGCTGTGGCCCCCACCCACCCCAGCCTGCAGTGTGTGCTCTGTCTGAGCCCCGGCCTCCTCCCGCCCTAGAGTGGCCTTCTGGGAAGGAGTGAGCAGGGGACACCCTGCATCAGGCCTGAGGGCCAGCCCTGTGTCTCCCAGAGGACCTGGCAGGCTGGGCAGAGGCTTCTAGAGCGAGAGCCGGGAGCGCACAGGGGCGGTGGTGGGATGGGGGTCTGTGTGGGTCACCGCAGCAGCCGCACACAGAGCGGAGGTTGTGACTCCTGGAGGAACGAGGGGCTCCTGAGGGGCAGCACGGGCCAAGGCGGGGGCGGCAGGCGCGTCTGCCCCCAGACGAGGTCCCTTGGGTCCCTGCACGGCTGTTCCCGGGGCAGAAGCCGCTGCCCCTCCGGCGGTAAACTGTACCAGTCCGCTGGCACCAGAAACACAGACGCATCGCACAGCAGTCAGCAAACTGGGAGAATGATCTGAGGGGTTAGAATCCCTGTTGCAGATTTCAACCCTGGAAAGCGAAGTCCATTCCACTGAAGGAACTGCATCGAGGGACAGGGACACGGTTTTCAGAAGGCTTTCACGAGGCCGTTACTAACACGGAAGACAACGTAAACATTACGCTTCCCATACAGCTGAAGGTGCAGCGATAAACTGTCCAAACAAGTGTTTCCAGTGATCGTCACGCATCAGATTCTTCTGCTACAAGTCACAAGAAGTGTCAGAGGGAACATCGGAACGGCACCGCGTGGGGTTGCATCTCGAGTTAATTTAAACGTGCACAAGACCGATTTGTACAGAGGACTGGATACGTGCGTGTCAATGGCTCTGTGAGAGTCTGCAGCTCTAAATGCACTAAAACTTACGTCGCAGAATGATTCCTTAGAGAGGCTCACGGGACATGTCCCATTACAGGAGCCTTTTATCGGCGGTAAACAAGATCAAACTGATTTGTAATCTTGCGTTTGCCGGGAGTGGCCGGTGTGGCTCCCAGCGAGGCCACTGAAAACGATGTTGCTGAAAATGACGTTACTGAAAATGACGTTACTGAAAATGACGTGGTGAAAGCTTACAATCTGGCGACCTAATTACCGGAGCTGCAGGAAGGGAGCCAGGAAGGCCGCCGGATCGGCTCATGGAGGGCTCTCATGAGGCCGGTGTCTCCCGGTGTCCTCTGCATAAGCCACGTGGACGTCTATGCTGTTCCTCAGGTACCCTGACCCCTGCTCGGGTGGGTCAGCCATCAGGTGTTTCCCGGGTGGGGCCATCGTGGCCCCTCCCTCCTGCGAAAGGGCCGCATTCTCATTTGCACTGAGCCCTGCAGCACATTCGGGCTCTGCTGCCCAGGGGGTGGCCCAGGGCCCTTCTCCTGCCGGGTGAAGGGGGCCGGGGGTGGCAGGTGTGCCTGGGGGCCGGGCCTGGACACAGCTGGAAGCTGGAATCCTGGTGGCCAAATCGCTGCCTCCCGTCCAGGAGGCGGGACGCAGCCCGGATCAAGGTGAAGTGAGTGTCCGGTGCCCAGCTGAGGGTCCCAGGCCCAGCGTCGCCCGGCCCTGGCAGGCTCTAGCCCCTGGGCCCTCTGCTGGGACACAGCCCTCACCTCCACTCGGAAAGGGCCCCTGGATGGAGTTCCCAGGTCAAACTGCCCCTCCTCAGCCAGGCCTGCCCCAGGCCAGTTATGGAGGGGACAACAGCTGCCCAGGACTCCCCACTACCCTCCCCTGCTCACGGGTAGAAAGAGCCTCTGACGCAAACTGTCACCCCTCACCCCCAGGGACAGTTGGAACTGTAACTGTGGGCAGTTGAGAACTCGGCAGCGGGCCCTGAGACCCTGCGGGCTGGGGGCCTGCCTGCGCCTGACCTGGGCTCCCCGGCTCCCCGCTGCCACAGATGTGAGCCCAAGCATGGGCACTCAGCGCCCTTCTTTCTCGGGGCACCGACAGGACGCGCCAGCACACCACCGGGAGGACGGCGGTCCCCTTCCCACGACCCTGAGTAATCCTGTGAGGGTAGCCGCTGGGAACAGGGCAGCACAGGCCCACCCACGGGAACCTGAGGTGTGAGTGCCCGCCAGGGCTGAGGAAGCTCTGGGCACAGGCCACGGCACAGGCCACGGCACTGCCCCGTAACCGTCCACGTGGGTCACTGAGGTGGTCAGTGGCAGCCCGTTGGCTGAGCTCGGGGGTCGCTCTGAGTGTCCCGCCTGTGACAGGGTGTGATGCTGGACTCTGCCTGTGGCCTCCACCCCCCGAGAGACTAGACACTTGCTCCTGAGCCCAGGGTGGCCCCTTCACTCCTGGGCCCGAGCTGCGCCGGCCGGTCAGGACTCAGGTGCCTCCTGCTGTGACGGTGGTTTGTCGTCAGGCTCGGTCTCTTGTCCTGGGCTTCTGGACTCACCGCTGGCTTCTGCCCAGCAGGAGCGTCCCTGCCGGCGGGCCCTCCTGGGAGAAGAGCTGCCGTGGCGGCGTCCAGGGGGCGCTGGCGAAGCCCCCCACCTCCCAGAGCGGCCACGATGCCCGAAGCGCAGGATGTGGACGAGGTCTTTGGGCACTCAGGGCCTGGAAGCGTGGGGTCTCGGGGACCCTCCCCACCCCTGAGGGTGCAGCCAGGCCTTGCGGCTAGAGTGGGCAGCAGAGGGCGCCCTCTGACCCCACGCCCTCCCCGGTTTCACCCCGCAGCTCCTCTGCCCCTGTGGGCGGACCAGCCTTTTCAAAGACGAGCAGGAGATCACGAGACCCCGCTGCTCAAAGCCTCGTGCTGTCAGACACTCGGGTCCGGACGCCCTCCCTGCTTGGCTGTCCCCGCGAGGACGGGAGCTGCCAAGGCTCATCCATCGGCTCCTCCCCAGCGCAGTCACTACTGTCTGTGGGGTCCACCTGTCGGCCCGCAGAGGACAGGCCGGGAGCCCCCTTTCCCGTCACTGACCCTGCTCTGACTGTCCTGCGACCCGCGGACAAGCACGTAACCGCTGTTCCTTTGAACACTTCACAAGGTGGGCTTCCTTCCCTGGGTCCCCGTCGCACTCAAACTTCCCTAAATGAACCGACCACTTGTAGCGCAGTCCACAGACCCGCTCGCGGGACAGCGAGATCCGGGGGCGCTGTGCCCTAGGTTCTGGAGCAGCCTCATGGGACAGAACAGGCCTGAACGTCACGCCTGTGCCCCGCCCTGCCGCCCACAGTCGTCCTGAAACCCCCGGCCCAGTGTTTGGACAAACAGGGAGCTCAGCCTCCTCTTAGTTCTGAGGGGGACCCTGCACTACAGCAAAGCGAGGGTCAGGGGTCGAATGAGGGTGACAGAAGGAGACTAGAGCTCAGGTGGGGGCGCCCGCTAGAGGGCACGAGGCCGGGCTTCCCGAACACCTGCAATGAATAAAATGTTATTAGCCAGTGTTACCCCAATACACTCAAGTTTAAAACAAAGAGCTGGTGCTGGCCCGTGGTCATTGCTGCTGCCCAGGGCCCAGCCCACGAGAGGGCAGCTTAGCCCGGTGCCCAGCAGAGGGTCAGCTGCCACTTCCTGTGGGTTGTTCTGCTTTCTGCCGCCGCCGGCTGCTCCCAGGCCCCGTGCCGGTGCTGACAGCTGAGGGGACCGGACACCTGGGCTCCGGCTCTTCACAGACGCCCGCTGCCCGCTGCTCAGGAGCGGGGTACCTGGTCCCTAAGAACTGCCTGTGCTGCGCCCGAGGGCCGGCGGCCTCAGGATCGTGTGTCCCCGTCTGCTCCCCGCCTGTGGCCGGAAGGAGCACTCCGTGCCTCCGCACCTCCGTCGGGGTCCCAGCTGTCGGGGTCCCTGCTGTCGGGGTCCCCGTGGCTCCAAGCAGCCTCACAGAAAGCCAGCCTTGGAGTAGACACCCCTGTGCCTGTGATGAGACAGGGAAAGTGTGACCTCCATCGGCCCGAGTGCCCGGCCAAGTCTGGTCCATTTGCAGGCGGGTGGCTTCACCCCACCATCTCCCCACCAGAGCAAACGCCCCAACTCACTCCCCACGGCCCCGATCCCACAGCGAGGCCTCCGCCGCTGCTACTGAGAGGCTGCTGGAGGCCCAGCGTTTTCCTGGGCCGTGGCCCCACCCCGCCCGGCTCATCTCGGACCCAACGCCGCTGGGCTGCTGACGCTGCCTTCCTCAGGAATTTGGGCTGCAGACTGGACAAAGGGGATGTTTTAGCAAAGCCCTTGCCACTCTAGGTCGCGCAGGGGACATTGATCCCACTTCCTCATCTCCAGAGGCTGCACCGCAAGACTCTCTGAGAATCAGCAAGTATTTGGGGCCAGAAGAGGCCTCTTGGACTGACCGCGGTCACAGACGGAGGGACCAGGCCTGCGGTGCTCGGGCCAGCGGCCTCCAGGCGAGTCCAGTTTCTCAGGGTCCCTCAGAGGCAGGGTGGCAGGCAGGGTGGGCCTCTGTTCCCCGCGAGACGAGGCGTCGCTTCTAGTCTTGAAGGAAGATTTCCGTCCGGGCACCACGCACAGCAAAGCCAGCCAGCGTCTATTGGCCGCAGCTAAAGCGCTCCGATGGGACATTTGTTAAAGTTGGGGCGGTGAACCAAGGTAGGGCTGAGAAGAAGCAACAGGAGACCTAGGCAGGGCTGGTTTGGCTCGCTGGGGATTCAGAGGAAAGGGGACCTTGGGGACCGATTCAGGGGGTAAGCCTGCCGCTGCCCATTGCTCCCCTGGTTGCGAGTCTCCCGGGTCCCTTCAGGCCTGCCTGTGGGGGAGGGGAGGCAAGGGGAAGGTGTGCGCCTTCGGGGTCGCGGTCTCCACGGGTGGGAGCCGGGGGGTCACAGTCAAGGAGGCCGGTCCTGAGGTCAGCCCTGGGGCTGCCTGTCTGGTTTCGCTGCCTTTCTGGGCCTAGGTGTCATCTTCAGGGAGGAAAGGTCAGGGGTCTGGACCCCTGAGCAGAGCTGTGCTTGGGGAGGAAGGGTCGGCTTGAGGCCGAGACCTTTGTTTTCCCAGCGTTGCCCCTGGCTGGGCACCTGGGCTGCCGGCCCCAGTGACCTTCTCTCCCAGCCCATCGTCCTTGCTCTGCTCCTGTCTGTCTGACTGCCTGTCACACTGTGTCCTCTGCTGCTGGAGGGCGCCCTACAAATGCTGCGACGGAAGAGGGGTGCTTGATGAAGTGCCCCCCTCGGTGCCCATCACCCCTGGCCCAGGAGTCGCCCCAGGAGTCCCAGCAAAGGGTGCCACGGCCTCTCGGCCTCCGGGCTCCCTGTGACCTGCAGACTCTCTGGGCGTGGGTGTCAGTTTTAAACGCTTGGACGTGTGCGGGGTGTCTGCCGGAGTCTGTCTGGAGCCCCACCCACGGGAGACTGACCTCCTGGAGGTCCCAGGACGCAGACGGGCTGAGAGGAAACAGCCTGTGAGCGAGTCACCTGAATTCGCTCTCAGGGAGCTGGGCTGGTCCTGACCTGGACCCCTGCAGGGCTACTGTGTGAGCAGACTCAGGGTCTGCCCCCCCGCGCTCTGGGGTCCCCACAGAGGCCGCAGTGCTCAGGCGGAGGGTGGAGCCGCCGGGGACCGAGTTCTCATGAGCGCGATTAGTGCCCTGATAAAGGGACAACTGAGTCCCTGACCGCTCCCACCAGGCCAGGTCCCGGGAGAAGGCAGCTACGAGCCGGGAGCAGCCCCCACAGAACCCGGCCACGCTGTCCCTCCCGCACCGGCGCCCCATGCCCTGCGTCCCGCCTCCGTGTTGTGCAAAATAAACACTTGTTTCTAAGCCACCAGCCTGTCGTGTTTCATCAGCAGGAGTGGACGGAGACCGTCCCGGAACTGGGAGTCGAGGGCGGAAGTTCACCCCAGACCCTTGTTCTGCCATTAGTGGAATTGGAGGGACGCTGGGCTGCCGCTGGCGTGCGCCTCTCGGTGGGCGCGCCCCGCCGCCCGCCTGCGCGTTGGCTGCGTTTCTGTTGAACGTGCTACTTCTATGAAGTTGATTTCGGTCACAATTCAAGTTCCTATTCCCTTCATAAGTGACCTAACACTTGAATCACAGCCGGACACAGCTGCGTGGGGGAGGCAGGTGTGTGTGGGCCTCCCTGCCCCCTTGCCCCAGCACCGGACACCCCCACTCTTTTGTGACCCAAAGTCCTCTTTGGTGAGAAAAAGGGTTGGGTCAGTGAACCCCAGCCCCACAGAGTGCACAACATTGGAGGGAGATGTGCCACGTTTCGACCCTTCCAGACCCTCTCGGCCAAGGAACGGAGTCTGGAGCCCAGGGGGTGCGGCAGCTGGCGCCCCTGGCCAGGTCTGTCCAGCCCTTCTCTGCCGGGTGCTGGACGCAGGCCTGGGAACAAGACGGGCAGCACTGAGGACAGCGACCCGAGCCTTTGGTCCAGGGAACCAGTGCCCAGCCCAGGACGGGCCTCCTCCCTGCAGGGATCCGGTCTGGCTGCCCTCAGGGGAGCCGCTGTGACCCAGCATGACCTCCAGGCGGGGAGACGGGGCTGAGCCCACGCTCCCCTCACCGGTTTGCCAGCAGCCTGGGCCTTTGCGGGGGGGCTGTCCCTGAGTAGCCCCCACAGCTTCCTGGAGCCAGGCCTGGCTTCTGCGGAGGACACCTCCCGGGGGGTGGGGGGCTGCCTCCGGGCGCCAGGGCCACCTTCTCCACCACCCTGAGCACAGGTGGACGGGGAGAGGTGGAGGGTCTGGTCGCTGGCAGCAGTGACACGGGGGTGCCCCCTCCAGGGCCAGGTGAGGGGCCTGCACCCCCCATGGCGTCTGTGTGTGGGGAGCGGGGAGACGCAGGGCTGGCCCCTCACCTCTCATCCAACAGCGCCACTCTGGCGGCCCCAGGAGGACAGAGGGACGGGGCCGAGCCCACGCTGTGGGCACCCCGGGAAGCCCCACACTTGGGCCAAGGGCGGGATGGCGTCTCGACCGCAGCAGTGGCCAGGGCGGTGATGTCATGTCAGCGTCCGAGAGGCTGATGCCGTGGGGGTGGGCAGAGGAGCTGCTGGCCGAGGTCAGTGCACCAGGCCCCCAGGTGAGCTCCCTGCACACAGCGGCTCTGACCGCCAGGCCACCGCCCCCGCGCGGATCCGGGGCCCTGTGGCTTTGCTGAGCTCCAGGCTGGTGGTTCTGCAGAAAGGCAGCCTTGGCGGGGCCTTCCCCTACCTGAGGGCCCTGCCCTCATCCTGCCCGAACAAACCTTCCTGTGTCGCTGGGGAGGCTGAGCAGGGCCTCCGACCGCCTGCAGGGCCGGCCCGTGTGGATTCTGTGGGCAGGTCCCAGGGGTGGGTGAGGCAGGGGGTCAGGACAAGGGAGAGAGATGGAGCATGAGGAAGGGGGGGTCTGGGTCCCATCATCCCTCCTGTCACCTAAGGCTGTCAGGAGCACCCACCTCTGCCTCCCCAGCCCCAGGTTGGGGTCTCGGGGCTTCTCAGAGGAGGTTTTGGTGCTGAGCCCGTAATTCAGTTGTGGCCCAGGTGGGGTGGACACACCCTGAGATCCACCAGGTCGTGGGGACAGGCAGGGTCCCCAGGGCTTCCTCGCAGCATCAGGCCTGGGGGTCACACCCTGCCCAAGCCTGCAGGGGGGGACAGAGAGGGGCTGTGCAGAGGGGACAGGGCGGGTGGGGCTGGGAGCTGAAGTGGGGGGAAAGGGGCCTTACCCCAGAGGTAAGGAAGGAGATCTCTCCGACGCTCTTCAAGAATCCGAGTTAAAACTTTATTTATTTTAATCCTCACCCGAGGACATTTTTCCATTTTTTGTTCAGGTAGAGTGGGAGGGAGAGAGAGAGAGAGAAAAGCATCAACGTGAAAGGGACACATCGAGTGGCTGCCACCCACACCACCAACCAGGGCCGGGGACAAACTGCAGCCGAGGTACGTTCCTTAGCGGGAACCGAACCCGGGTCTCTCTGGACCGCAGGCCGACGCTCTAATCACTGAGGCAAACTGGCCAGGGCGTAAACCTTTTTTAAAAAAATTTTTTAAACTCATTTGGTGGCTGCGTCTCTTTAAACGTGACTCTGTGGGGAGACAGATGGGGCCCTGCAGCCCGGGGACCTATCCGGGTTACATTACTGTGCTGTCAAAGGCTCGCGGACGGGCCTGAACTTCAGTGAACTTTGGTGTCTTATCGAGATCTTGGGGTGACAGAGAAATGACGCCTTGCTTCTCCGTCACACCCTCCCCAGGACATCTGGTGCTCGGAGGGTGGGGGGTGGGGGTCGTCCTGCACCGAGGAGCTGGAGAGCTGGACCACGGACTCAGCCCCCGAGAGGCTGGGCTTTGAGGGGAAGGTCTGTGGGTGGCAGCCCTTGAACTTTCTGGTTAAGTTCTTCCTGCAGAGGGAGCATCTCTGACCCCGACCCCTGATCCTGAAAAGGCACCGGTCACACCGTGTCAGGGAGGCTGACTCTTGCGGACTCCGTGGTGGCAGGAAGCCAGGGGCGGCGGGAGGGCCGGGGACGCCGGGGGCTGGGGGCCGCGTGGGGGCCGCCCCCTGTGCTGCTCTCCTGGATGCCCGGGCTGAGGTGCACACACGCAGGAGCCCGCGGCACCCTTCCCCGGGAAGCCCAGGGCCTGGTGAGCACAGCGCCCACCTCCTCCTGGAACTCGGTGGCCACGAAATAGTAGCAGATGGCGTCCAGGCAGCAGTTGGCGTTGGCGATGCGGGAGGCCACCTGCACGGCGGCGGCTGCCCTCTGGACGGCGGGACAGGCCGCCCCCGTCCACTGGGCCACCAGCTTGGCCAGCAAGGCCACGTGCAGCGGCAGGAAGCAGAGCACGAAGGTGGCCAGGTTGGCGGTCACCACGCAGAGGGCCTTGAGGATGCGGCCGGCGGCCGGGGGCTGGGCCCGAGCCCACTCGCGGAGGAGGCGCCGGAGCACCTGGCCGGAGCAGACGCTCAGCACCAGCAGCGGCAGGAAGAAGAGGAGCAGCGAGAAGACCAGGGCCCTGGGGCCCCGGGTGCGGCCCCGGCCGAAGCAGAAGCTCTCCCCCGGGCGCAGCCAGGCCGCGGGCAGGGCCACCGCCCCCCCGACCAGCAGCCAGAGGGCCGCGCAGGTGAGGGCAGCCTGGCGGGGGCCGCGCCAGCCCCGGGCCCGCAGCGGGAAGTGCAGGGCCAGGTAGCGGTCGGCCGCGATGGCCGCGAGGAGCCACATGCTCATGTAGGTGCTCGCGTAGTAGCAGCTCTGCAGGACCCTGCACAGGGCACCCTCCGGGGCCGCCGCCTGGCGCAGCGTGTGGAGCACCCCCGGCAGGCTCAGCAGCAGCAGGCTGTCGGCTGCCACCAGGTTGACCATGTACACGCGGGTCTCCGTCCACCGGCGCAGGCGGCAGCAGAACACCCAGAGCGCCAGCCCGTTGAGCAGCAGGCCCAGCCCCAGGATGAGGCAGATGGAGATGCTGGTCGCGGCCTGAGACAGGACGCTCCTGTCTGTGCTGCAGCTGTTGGAGCTGTTCCCAGGGCCGGTGGCCACAGACAGCATGGCCGGCAGCCTGCGGGGCGGGGGGCGGGCTTCAGCCAGGCCCAGCTTCTCCTGGGAGGAAGGGAGATGCTGCAACCTCGCGCTCCCCTCCCCTCCCTGCCCCTCCAGCTTTCCCTCCCTCGCCCACTTCCGGTGCCAGTCCCAGGGCTCCCACACAACCTGGACCAGGGTACCCCCTCTCCTAGCCCCAGGGGCTCCACCAAGGCCCCTCCAGTTGTGAGCAGCCGCCGGCCCCGCCCCACCCCCTGGCATCCTGCCAGGCAGAGGGCTCTGTGGGGGCTGCTCTCTGGGCCTCTTACCGGAGGCTTCAGCTCCACCTAGGACTTTGCTGACCTGGGCCTCTGGGCAGCCCGGGCCACGTGGGCCTGTCCAAGCCCATTCTGCCATGGCCCCAGCCGTGGGCCCAGACTCGGGGAGGCAGCGCTGGCCCAGGTCCTTCCTCCGGCACTGAGGGCCCAGCCTGGGACTGACAAGGCCGCGCGAGGGCCAGTGACACCCCAGGGCCAGTGACACCCCGCGCCTGGGGGCCCCTGTGGCAGCCAGCAGGCTGAGGGCGTGACTTGGGGGGACTCACCAATCTGGGACCGCCAGGGCCTCGAGGATTGGGGTCGGAGCCACTCTGCACACCGCCAGGCTGCTGGGCCCGGGCTGTGGTCACTCCCTCACCCTCCCCCAGGGGTGGGGCCAGGCCGCTGAGGCCTGAGGCGGGCGGCGGCTCTCCCAGAGCCCCTCCTGGTCCCTGCTGCGGTGTGGCACCCTGCACCCTTCCTTCCTGGCCAGGCCCTGCTTTCCCGGGGCAGCGCCCCTCCCCCCGGCTCCGGTGATTGGCACGGGCGAGGGCCCCACACAGGGAGGCCCTGTGGCTTAGGGCTGGCAGGCTCAGCCCAGGCAGGAGGGCCCAGAGTCCCCTGGCCAGCGCCCCCTTCGCGGCCTCGGGCCTGAGCCTGGGGAGGGGCGGCCGCGGCTGCACTGTTACCACGGGAAGGAGCGGTGGCGCCCCGACTGCTGCCTGGGGATCCCCTTCACAACAGGGGTGCACACTGCATGCTGGCCACGGCCCCGGGCCCCTCTGGAAGCCCGTCAGAGGCCGCACATCCAACGGCCGGCCCAGGGTGTCAGCTCAGGGCGCCCCAGGGTCACGACCGCCGCCCCTCTGCCCGTCCAGGTGGGGCTGAGGAGACGGCTCAGGAAAACTGCTTGCCAACCTCCATGCCAGGGGTCTCCGGCCCGGACCCGAGTATCCCGCTGAGCGGGCGGCGCCTGGCCCTCAGCACCCCCGCGTGGCAGCCCAGGGCCCAGCACTGAGTCAGCGCAGGGCTGGGGCAGGTGCCTGGAGGTCTGGTCGAGGTGACAGTGAGGCCTGGCCCGCAGGGGGAAAGGGGCAGAGGCCAGGGGCCGCCGGAGGAGAGCAGGCAGGAGCGGGAGCACCCTCGGCGAACTGCGCGAGGTGGGTGGCTCCCAGCTGGCGGTGCCCAGCGGGTGCCCGGGCGGCACGAGGAACAGCCTGTGCACAGACCTGAGCCGGGGTTGAGCGTGGGGCGCTGTGGGCGGGCCATGTGGGTGGCCGAGCGCAGAGAGCCGGGCAGTGGCACCTCTGTGGAAGGTGTGTGCCAGGGGCCTCTCTCCACGGCATTTCCCAGTGGCTGGGGCTGGAGGACACCCTGGCCCCCAGAGGACAGGGTGCCGGCCGAGCTGCGCATGGCATGGGAGGCTGACACCCCTCTCCGTGTGTGGTTTCCCGTGTGGGCAGACTCCCCGTGTCGTTATCTGGGTGGTTACGTTGAGGACACGTGTGGCAGTTTCCTGAAGTTGGTTAGACCCTGCACACGCCCCCCCCGGTGTAACACACTCATCTGGAGCTGGCCTGCACTGGCCTCTGACACCCTCTCCTTAGTTTACGACCCCGGGGCGGGACTTGGGGTGTGCGCTGGAGCCGAGTCCCAGGCCCGACTCTGCCTGTTCTGATCCCCGACCCTGGCCAAGGACAGGACTAGACATCTATGCTCAGCCCAGAGAGCCCGTCAGCACCGGCCACCCAGGCGAAAGCGTTCTGTGGACCCCGGGTTCCTTGGGAAACAAACCCTCGAGGGTTGGGGTGGTGGGAGTCAGGGACTGGAAACTGTCCTCGGAAGGGCAGGGCGGTGACGATGGCAGATAAGGTTTGGGAGCGCTGGAGGAACAGGATGAGGTGCAGACACGTGAGGAGACTGGCTGGGGTGAGAGTGTGGGAGTTTAGGGATCACTGGACGGGGTCTGTGTGGACCCCGGAGGCAGAGGCCCGTGGCCTGCGGCCCCTCACACCCAGGCGGCCGGCCCGGCCAGGACGTGGCCAGCATTCTCGCCCCACCGCAGAGTGGGAGACGGGCACGGAGGCTGCTGGGTGCCAAGAACACGGAGGAGGGACGGCAGCGCCCACCAGACCAGCAGCCTTGGAAAGCTCTGGTCTTTCCCACCTGAGTCTGGAGGCCAGGGAGGTGCGAGCCCACCTGGCCGGGCACCCAGCCCTCGCCTCCACCGGGCAGGGCTCGGCTTCCCTGAGTGAAGCACAGGCGTGTGTCCCCTTGACAGACCCTGGCCAGCACCTCGTGGCCCACCCATCACATCTGGGCAGCCCTACGAGGGCCCAGGGGTCAGGCCTGCTCCGGCGGGGGGACACCTGGCCGCACACACCTGCCAGACTTCAGATGGGTGGGCAGCGGACTGGGGGGCCCTGGAGAGTCACCTGGGAACATGCCCTGACCCTCCCACCCCCACCATGCAAGCTTGGGCAGCACACACGCCCGTCAGGATCGGCCCTAGCGGGCAGCTTTATTCGGGCCCCAGTAAGGTGGCAGGACCCAGCAGACACCCCCACCCTGCCCAGGTGCACCAGGCTCGCGACACAGCAGGTGCACAGCCCCACCCCATGGTCAGGCCTCTTCTCCGGCCCCTGTCCATCTTCCACCCCAAGGTGGGGTGGTCACCTTCCCAGGCCCCCGGCCTGGGCCTCCCTGCCCAGCAGGCTTCTTGGAGAGTGTCCGCACCACGGTGAGCTCAGGTCCCCTCCTGGTCACAGGCCCCCCAGCAGGCAGCGGGGCCTGGTCCCCACTCCTGTGCTGGTCTCCTAGGGCAGAGTCACACAGATGGAGTCTTGGCTCTTGTGGGCCTTGACAGCGGGGGGCCTGGCCAGGGCAGACGCCTCCTGGAACTCCTTGGTTATGTAGTAGTAGCAGATGGCATCCAGGCAGCAGTTGGCATCCGAGATCCTGCTAGTGACGGAGAGGGCACCCCGCAGGGCACAGGTGCTCAGGCCCATGGCCAAACGCCACGTCAGCACCACGTGCAAGGGCAGGAAGCAGACCACGAACACGACCACGTTCGCCCAGACCATGCGGACGGCCTTCTGGGTGGCCTCGACCTGGCCCGTGTCGGCAGCCGGCCTCCGGCCCAGGGCGGTCACCACCTGCAGAGAGCAGAAGGCCAGCACGGCCAGTGGCAGGTAGAAGCCCAGCAGGGAGAAGGTCACAGTTTGGGGGTTCTGCCGGGAGGGATTCCCAAAGCAGAAGCCACCCTCCTGCTCCCGCAGGACCCAGCGGAGCACCAGGGAGCTGACCACCAGCACCCAGAGCGCCGCGCACACGGCCCCAGCCTTCCGGGGGGAGCGCAGCCCCCGGGAGCACAGCGGGTGCCGCACGGCCAGGTAGCGGTCCAGGGCAATGGCCGTGATCAGGCTGATGCTCATGTACCTGTTGACCAGGTAGATGCCCTGGGAGAGCTGGCAGAACACCGTGTCGCCGGAGTCGTCCTGATTCAGGGAGAACAGCATGAAGGGCAGGGCACAGAGCAGGCAGAGGTCGGCCGCGGCCAGGTTGACCATGTACACGTGGGTCTCCGTCCACTGGCGCAGGCGGCAGCAGAACACCCAGAGCGCCAGCCCGTTGAGCAGCAGACCCAGCACCAGCAGCCCGCCCAGGTAGGTGTAGCAGATGAGCCTGACCGGCGGGGACCAGGTGAAGGCACAGGTGCTGTTGTTCATGGTCCTGGGGCTGCAGGAGGGGGGCAGGGGGAGAACCGGCAGGCAGAGATTCAGGGAAAGGCCCCGCAGGAAGGGAGACCCCCACGTCCAGGGCCCAGGACTCACCTTCCCAGAGAAGTCCCAGAAACCACAGGAGTCTGCGGCCCCCCAGACCAGACCCCGGCCCGTGGGCGGGAACACCAGACACTGGTGGTACTGCCCTCCCTGGACCCCGCCCCCCGTGGCCTCCAGTCCTGACAACGCAGCTCTCGGGACAGGGAGCCCGGAAAGGGGGACCCCTAGATGGGCCCAGGATAACGCCCAGGAGGCCTGCTGCTCCCCCTTCCCAGACCTGGCTGCAGACGTCAGCATCTACCCCACCTGGCCATTCCCAACAGCAGGGGTCCAGGACAGCTCCCCAGAAAACCCCAGAACCCCGATCGTCCTCCTCCCCTCCGTAGGCCCACGCAGCGCAGGAGGGCTGGGCTAGCCAGGGCCAAGGACTCGGTCAGGGGGCTGGCCTCCAGGTGACTGCCCCTGAGGCTGAGCCGGATTCTGGGTTCACCCTGAGCTGAGCCAACCTTGGACCCCTCGTCAGGGGCTGTAATGGCCGGTGTCCCTGCGGCGGGACCGTGGAGTTCGCTGAGCATGAGCCACAGGGCCCGCCATGCCCCTCCCTGCCCTCCACCTGGGGTCCTCTGGCCTCCCCTCCCCTCCCAACACAGGCCCTCTGGGGGCTCCCTACCCTTTAGGTGGGGGGTGAAGAGGGTCCGTCCACTGGGGGAAGGCCCAGGGCCAGGCTGGGCGGGTTCTCCCCTGCGCCCCACCCCTGCGGGGAGGGGAGAAATATCCAGAGCCCAGTCATTTAGGTGCATTAGCGCTGGGCTGGGGCCTCGGGGGACCCCAGACAAAGGCCATTAGAGAGGAAAGAGCAGTTTTCCTCCAGAAACAGGGACATTCCACCAAATATGCCCGTCTCTTTGGAATTTTAAAACAGCACATTCACCAGCAATTAAAATTTCATGACCCCTTTCCCGTATGTAAACACCCTACACCCCTCATGAGCTTGCGCCTCGTTTTCGAAGGCTTCTGTTTGTTCTTGCTGGGTTTGAGGTCCTGAGGACCGGGAGCCAGGCCAGGTCTGCGGACACCCTGAGAACCCACTGCTGGGGTGCCCCCTTCCTGCCTGCCCCACCCTCCCAGCTAACTCTCACCCAGAAACACCGGTGACCTGCCAGGCCCGCTCTGTGAGGTGCCCCCAGCCCAGAACCTCATGGGACTACTGCTCCAGGTCCCTCGTCTCTGTCCTCTGGGGTGCCTCCCAGGAAAGCTTGGGGAGTCGAGGCCGGGGCCCTGCCCAAACGGTCACTGTGTATCCCTGCCTGTCCACAGCCCCAGCCCCTGACGTCTGTCCAGGACAGGGACCCCAGCTGGCCTCCTGCCCAGACAGCAGGACCGTCCCCGACAACAGACACTGTTCTGTGGCTGCCCTGGGAAAGCTGGGGGCCCCCCCAGAAGTCAGAGCTCTGGCGCTTCTGGCTGGGGGGCCGCCCTGGGAAAGCGGAGCGGAGGCTGCTCCCTCCGTCTGCTTCTGGGCACACCCTTTGACCTCTCCGAGATACCTGTGTTGTCACCTGCAGAGCCGCCTGTGAGCCCGGGAACCCAGCCCCTCTGTCTGCGGCCCTGAGCGGACTCTGAGGCTGACTTGCGGCCGGGGCCGCGGAGGCCTCTGGACCTGGGTCCCTACCTGAGGAGCACCCTAGGATCCAGGGCTGGGGTACGGGTGAGGCAGAAGTTTCACAGAGCGAGGCGAGGGTGTGGAGAAAAGAGAAGCATGTGCACGGAGTGGAATGGACACTCTGACACCCGGTGGAGGGTTCCTCAAACAGTAATACTAGAACTGTCCTGTGCGTCAGCAATTCCTCTTCTGAGAATCTGCCCGAGAACGAGGAAGCGCTCCTACAGGCACGGACCCTCGTGTTCCCTAAGCACTGTTCTGGTGGCCAGGCCACGGGAGACACCTGTGACCATCGGTGGGTGTGGATAAGAACAGATGCATCTGGCCCTGGCCGGTGGGCTCAGTGGTTGAGCGTCGACCCTGCACCAAGAGGTCGCCGGTTCAATTCCCGGTCAGGGCACATGCCCAGGTTGTGGGCCCGATCCCCAGTGGGGGGCATGCAGGAGGCGGCCAATCGGTGTTCTCTCTCATCGATGTTTCCATCTCTCTCTCCCTCTCCTTTCCTCCTTCTCTAGAATAAATAAAGGGAAAAAATATTTTTTCAAAAAGAACAGGTGCATCTATACAATAGAATAGGACTCAGCCATCAGAAAGGATGGGGTGTTACCACCGACGACCACGCGGCTGGATCTTGAGCGCATCGTGCTAACTGAAATAAGTCAGACAGAAAAGGACAAAAACCATGATTTCATTCATCTGCGAATAGAAAACAAAAAGCAACAAAACAAACAGGAACAGACTCAGACCGTCACCACCACGGTGGTCTCCGGAGGGGTGGGGGAGAAGCGGGGAAAACAAGCAGACACACGAAGAAAGGAGACGAGACCCCGGCAAGGAGCAGGCAACACATACACAGAAGTCCAATTATAATTTGTACCCCTGAAAATTACGGAATGTTACCACCAGTGCTACCCCAATACATTGTTTCTAATGGTTTCACAAAGCGGAGCTCCCTGGCCTGGGAATACAGATTGAGATAGTTTCTACTCTAGTTTTCAAAATGCTGGTCACAGCCCTGGCCGGTGTGGCTCAGCGGTTAGAGCGTCAGCCCACGGACCAGAGAGGCCCGGGTTCGGTTCCCGCTAAGGGCACCTACCTCGGTTGCAGTTTGTCCCCGGCCCAGGTTGGGGTCGTGTGGGTGGCAACCACTTGAGGTGTCTCTCTCACATGGATGTTTCCCTCTCTCTTCCTCCTTCTCCCCCTCCCCCCATCTGAAGATAAATGCAAAAATGTCCTCAGGCAAGGATAAAAAAATAAATAAATACTAGTCAAAGCCCACAAGGCAGATTTTAGGGTCTCGCATGACATGGGAGTCCAGGGCCTGGAGAAGCCCAGCTCCTCTGAGTAGCAGCCCACACTCATGGGGGAGGCCCCCTCCCCAGACCATCACCCCCTCAGAGCTCCGCCATTAGGGCATCCCTTGAGGGTCCAAACCCCCATCGCAGCCCGGGCCTCGCTCTGAGATGCCCCATCGCAGCCCTGCCCGGCTCCCTGCCCAGGTCTGAGACCCCCCATCGCAGCCCTGCCCGGCTCTGAGACCCCCCATCGCAGCCCTGCCCGGCTCTGAGACCCCCCATCGCAGCCCTGCCCGGCTCTGAGACCCCCCATCGCAGCCCTGCCCGGCTCTGAGACCCCCCATCGCAGCCCTGCCCGGCTCTGAGACCCCCCCATCGCAGCCCTGCCCGGCTCCCTGCCCGGCTCTGAGACCCCCCATCGCAGCCCGGCCCAGCTCTGAGATCCCCCATCGCAGCCCTGCCCGGCTCTGAGACCCCCCATCGCAGCCCGGCCCAGCTCTGAGATCCCCCATCGCAGCCCTGCCCGGCTCTGAGACCCCCCATCGCAGCCCGGGCCTCGCTCTGAGATGCCCCATCGCAGCCCTGCCCGGCTCCCTGCCTGGCTCTGAGACCCCCCATCGCAGCCCTGCCCGGCTCTGAGACCCCCCATCGCAGCCCTGCCCGGCTCCCTGCCCGGCTCTGAGATCCCCCATCGCAGCCCTGCCCGGCTCTGAGACCCCCCATCGCAGCCCTGCCCGGCTCCCTGCCCGGCTCTGAGGCCTCAGGCCCCAAGCCCAGCACTGACCTGCGGTCAGCCTTGGTTCCCCGGGCTGAGCACGCTCCTCGGGCTGCCTGACTGTCCCCCTGAAGGCGGGCAGGCAGTGGGCAGGCTGAGGGCAGCAGGGCCCGCCTCCGCCTCCGCCCCAGCCCAGGGTGCCAGGAAAGGAAGTGGGAGCGGGCAGTGCCTCACCTCTGCCACAATCTGCAGCAGTGCCAGTCCGCCCGCCTGCATGGGCGTGGCCCCTGCCTGGCTCCTCGGGAAGCCCAGCACCTCCAGCGCCCTGCTGGCTCACTGCGCGGCACCCCAGCACAGCCACGCCCTGTGACCCCCACCACCGGCGGGCACACAGCTGCTCACGGCCCACCTGCCCCCGATCCTCCAGGCCTTCCTGGGTGTGCTCCCTGCAGGCCTCTGCCCCGAGCCCACCGTGGGAGCAGCCCTTTCTGTGGACCTCACTCCGTCCCCTGAGCCCTGAGGGCAGGGCTCTGTCCCCTCAGCTTCCCCACATGTGCCTGACCGCAGCCTCTCTGTGCAGATGCCGGGAGCCCCCCACACCACCCTTCCCTTTACAGCGAGCGGGTGGGAAGGGTGCCCTGGCCTCCTGACCCCAGAGCAGTGCTTCCGGCCCAGGCCCCTGCGGAGGGCCGTCCCCCTCTCCTCCGAACTCCCCCAGGCTCACCCCCCAGACCCAGGCCCCATGGGGTCTCTCCGTGGGCTCCTCCTGCCTTCCCCGCCCCTGTGTGGCCTCCTCCCCCCATCTCTGGCACCCTCTCCATCTGTTTTCTTCATACAACCTCCCTGCTGTACAGTTGACCCTTGAAAAATTTGGGGGGTAGAGGTGCCACCCCTACACAGTTGAAAATACACCTGTAACTTGACTCACCCCCAAACTTAACTACTAGTAGGCTATGGACCAGAAGCCCTATTGATCCTGTAAAGTCGATTAACACGTGCTGTGTTATACGCATCAACTCTATGTTCTCACCATAAAGTAAGCTGGAGAAAAGCGTCTCATTAAGAAAACCACAGGGAAGAGAAAGCCACTCACGTGCTCATGGAAAGAAATCCACGTGTAGATGGCCAGTGCCGGGGTTGGCTGCACTTCGCTCTTGCTTGTGGCTTGGGGAGCCCATCTCAGACGGCACCGAGCACAGAGTAGCGCCTCAATAAAGCCCGTTCACCAGCCTGTGGCCCTGACAGTGTGAAGGATTTGGCCAACGACGGTGCCACGGACCGAGCGGGGTTCGTGGCTCCCAGCGATGCCCCCTGAACACTGGTGTCCACAGGCCCAGAGCTGTCTACCTGGGGGGAGGGGTACCTGCCCCAAGCCCTTTCTCCCAAGCTGGCTCCCTCCCAGTGGCGAGCCAGGGCTGACCCCGGGTCCGAGAGGCCCGGCCACTCTGGGCAGGCTTCAGGTGCTAGACCAGGCCCATTCCCTCACTCCTGGGCTGTCTCCAAACCCCAGCAAAGACCCTCTGCTGAGGAGGGAGGCCAGGGCCCAACATGGATGCAGCTGCCAGCACCCGCCGCGGTGCCCCTGGGGGCCCCCACCGAGCCTCCGCAGGGGCTCCGCCGACCCCTGTGTTGGAGGCCTCCCCCTGCCCTCCCCCCGTCACCCCTGCTACGGTCCTGGAGCCTGCCCCGCTCCGCACCTGCTGGGCCGGGGAGGTCCAGGGCGCCGGTCTGGGGGTCTTCCTGCCCTTCCCTCCGAATCCGTGGGGTGAGGAGAGCAGGGGCTTCTGGGCCGACAGTCCTGACCCTCACATCTGCCCCGAGCCTAGCTGAGCCCTGGAGGGAAGTGCCCTGCGGACCCCCGGGGCCCCCAGCCCTGCCCTCGCAGCGGCCACTCTCTCCCTTGAAAACCTGCCCCCACGGAGGGGCTCCCGCCTGCCTGTCCCCCGACACAGAAGCTGTGTGCGGCCCCTGAGACCCCACGCTGATCGCTCACCATTCATTCGCTCAGGGAACGCGGCTGAGCACGGACAGGTACCCCTGAGGCCGAGAGTGGGGCCGGAAGGGCCACCCTCAGAGCCTGCTTGCGCCTGAGGTTCCACGGGTCATGAGGGGTCATGAAGAGGTCATGTGGGGGGGCTGAGAGCAGAGGGGCCCAGACCCCCATCCACTCCCACAGAGTCACAGACAGGCCCAGGACCGAGCTCCCATGGCCCCGCCCATCCTCGGACCCCCTTCAGCAGCAACCTGAGCACCTGTCACCCCAGACTGCACAGTCGCAGACGGTGGATGTACCCCATCAGCTGGCCCTCCCCCACTGGGCGGCCACTGTGCAGACCACAGCCCGTGGCTGAAGGCAGAGGAGGCTCTGCTGGGCGCTGACCCCGAGTCCTGCCGCCCCCGGTCGGCTCACTCACCGGACAGCTTCTCTCCTTTCCTGCCAGCCAGCTCTGCTCCGGGCTCTGCTCTGCGGCCGGCGGAGCCCCCGGGGACCCTTCCCGGGAGTGGCCGCCGGGGCCTGGAGGCTGCTTCAGCGGCAGGTCCCTGACTCCTCCCAGCGCAGAGCCGTCCTGCCCTGTGGTGTCCTCGGCCCAGGCCTCCTTCTCCTTTCTCTGCCTGAGGCTTCTGGCTGGGAGGTGCCGCTGGCCTCACACCAGGCCCTGCTCCTGGACAGGCTGCCCTCCTGCCCGGCCTGGGCATCGGGCTGCCCGGCCTGGACCCTGGACCCTGGCGCCTGCCTGCGAGGTGCCCCACTTGTCGCCCCCATGCTCCCCTTCCAGGTGGTCATGCGCCTGCTCAAGAACCTGCAGGGCTCCCCACCGCTGGACTGGGCTGCCAGGCCCTGCCGTGGCGAGGCCCTCGGGCTGAAGAGGTGATGGGCAGAGCGCCCAGTGTGACTGTCTGCGTCTCACCTCAGCTTGACGTCAGCTGTGGACCCCCAGCAGCTGGACTCAGAGCCCAGGGGCGCCCCCGAGAGGGTTCCCCACCCTTCAAAGGGCCGCAGCCTCCAGCATTGCTGGGTTTGAGCCAGTCTGTCTGGGTGATCCCAAGAAGGGGGAACTTACCCAGCGCCCCAAGAGTCAGGAAGTCCTCCACTGCCCTTGAGAAACACTGCGGCGTGTTCTCACATCCCGCCCCGTCCCTCAGGGCCGCTGGCCCCTGACACCCCGACCCCTGGACGAGATGCCAACCAGCAGGCACGCGGACAGACAGTTCACAGAAAGGGAGGCGCAAAGGCCCCTGGGTGATACGAAAAGCCCTCCACAGACTCGGAGGAAGAGAAATGTCCATCAGAAATGCCTGCGCTGACATTTCCCGCTGACACGGGCAGACGCCAGCGTCCTGGCAATGTGTGGGGGACACGGCGTTAGACGGCTCCGTGGGCCTCGAGCGCAGCAGCCCCCCAGGGAGGGCTCACTGTGTCCACCACAGCTGGAGGTGCGTGGGGACCCAGGAACCCCGCTCTTAGGAACTATTCTCCAGACAGACAGACAGGAACGGAAATGATGCAGCTGCTCGCTGCTCCGTGGTCGGACAGGCGGAACAGGCATGGCTTCCCGGCTGCGGCCCTGCAGTCCTGAGGGGCGGCCTCGGAGGCACCGTTTCCGTCTGTCTGTCTGAAGAATGGGTCCTAGAGGTGGTGTTCCTGGGTCAAAGGTCACACAGAGGGCGGGGCCCCCACGCCTGGACTGGAGGACAGTGGTGGGCTGTGCAGGCACGGGCGGAGGTGGGGAGACGGCCGGCCAGGTGGGGGATGAGAACAGGGAGAGCGGGGCTGGACGGGGCTGGGGGAGGGGAGATGGGGCTGCATTAGGGGTTGGCTTGCAGCCAGGCCAAGGTTCCTGAAAAGTCATGAGCAAGTCTTGATGTGTGTTCACTTTGAAAACCCGAAGAGTCCGCCCTGGCTCAGCGATTGAGCATCAGCCTGTGGACTAGAAAGCCCCAGGTTTGGTTCCCACTAGGGGCACGTACCACACACAAAAAAAGAAAAGAAAACCTGAAGAGTCCAAAACTCTTTTCCCGAGTCCTGTTTGCTCCTCCCCCGCTGTCCTCTGCTCTCATACCTGTCGTTCTCCCCTGGGCCCCTGAACGGAAGTTCACGGGAGCTCGGCCAGGGACCCTTTCCTTGTCCCCCACACCCCCACCCCCCATTAGCAGACACCCACTCCTGTTGATCCCCTGGTCCCACGCCCCCGCCCTGGCCACCAGCTCCCCCAGGCCTCCGGACCACACACAGAGCTGCCTGCTGGGCATCTTCTCTTGGTGACTTACAAGCCCTCCAAATGCTACGTGTCCAACACTGACCACATCATCGGGGCCTCCGTCACGCCCACACTCAGTCCCCGTCTCAGAGCTTGGTCCCTCTCGTTGTTCAGACAGATGTGTGTCCATCCTGACACCCGGCTCCCCCCTCCCTCTCCCTCCCTCCCACATCCCGTCAGTCACTGACCAGTTCAAGCTTATTCTGAACCCAGTAGCAACCACCGAACAGATCAAACACAGGAGTCTAAGTAGCCAACAGAGGACACACATGGGATACAAAACAAAGTACTCGGTTAATCCAAAAGAGGGAGGAAAAGGTACAAAGTATAGATGAGATATAACAGACGCATAGAAAACAAATAACAAGATGGCAGATTTGCTCTGGCCGCTTTGGCTCAGTGGTTAGAGCGTCAGCCCGTGGACCGAAGGGTTGCAGGTTCGATTCCTGGTCAAGGGCATTTACCTTGGTGGCAGGTTTGGGATCATGCAGGAGGGAGCCAACTCATATGTGTCTCTCACATTAATGTTTCTCTCTCTCTCCCTCCCTCCCTCCCTCCCTCCTTTCCACTCTCTCTAAAAATCAATGGAAATATATTCTCGGGTGGGGATTGAAAAAAAAAAAGATGGTAGATTTAACCCAACCATTTCAATAATTACATCAAATAGAACTGGTCTAAACACTCCAATTAAAAGAAAAACCTTATAAAACTGGATTTAAAAAAGCCAGAATTCACGAGAGAGAACGTGTAAGGTCACGGCAGACTGGAACGACACTAGTCCGCTTGTCCAAGCAGATTGGATAGAGCGGTCACCCACCAACATCAGAACACAGTAAACAGTCTCCAAAGCACGTCTCAATAAAGTTACAAGGATTTCAATGATACAGAGTATTTTCTTTAACTACAACACCATTAAATAAAAAAATCAACAAAAACATATATCTAAAGAATGCCTATTTAAAAATTAAAGAACATAATTATAACTATCTCAAGGGTCAGATAGTAATCAAAGGGAAACTAGAAAATACTTTGATCTAAATGATAATGAAAAGACAACTTAGCAACACAGGTGAGATAAAGTCACTGCAGTGTCTCGAGGAATTTTTGTGGACCATTAAGTGCTCATATTCGGAAAGAGAAAAGGACTAAAACCGCGGAGTCAAGATTCCACTTTGGGAAGCTAGAATAAAAACAATAAAGCAAAGCCAAGTAAGTAGAAGAAAGGAAATAAGACAAAGTGGAAATCGTAGAAAAATAACAATAGAGATCAATAAAATAACATCGGTTCTTTGAAAAGGTCAGTTAAGCCCTGGCCTGTTTGGCTCAACGGTTAGAGCGTTGGCCTGCAGTCTGGAGAGACCCGGGTTCGGTTCCCGCTGAGGGCATGTACCTCGGTTGCAGTTTGTCCCCGGCCCTGGTTGGTCGTGCGGGTGGCAGCCACTGGATGTGTCCCTTTCACATCGATGTTTCTCTCTCTCTCTCTCTCTTCCTCTCTCTCCCTCCCACTCTATCTGTACAAAAAATGAAAAAATGTCCTCGGGTGAGGATAAAGAAAAAGAAAAGAAAAGGTCAGTTAATAAACCTTTGGCTAAACTGATCAAAAAAAATAATGCACAAATGGCTACTATCAGCAATGACAAAGGACGCATCACTTCAGACCTTGCAGACATTAGAAGAAGAAGGCAGAAACATCACTAATAACTTTATATAAATACATTTGACAAGTTAGCTGAAATACTCAAGTTTCTTAAAAATCACACTTGCTAAAATTTGTACCACACACAGAACATTCGAATAGCCTGCATCTCTATTCAAACAGTTGAACTTGTCATTTAAAACCTTTCCACAAAGACAACCCCTGACCCAGATGGCGCCACTGGTGAATTCCATCACGCATTTAAGGACAACATAATGTCAATCTTAAACATTTTCAGAAAATAAAGAAAAAGGAACACTTGGCCATTCACTTTCAAAGGCGAACTTTACGCTCATACCAACGCCAGACGAAGGTGTTACAAGGAAAGATGACGGCAGATCGACATCGTGTGTGAACACAGACACAAGAATTCTTAAAAAAATATTAGCGAATTGAATCCAGCAATATATAAAATAAATAATACACCATGAGCAAGTATCCCAGGAATGAAAGGTTTCTCTTAACCTTAGAACGTCCATCAGTATAATTCGCTGCATGAATAAAGAACATTTATAGCCCTGGCCGGTTTGGCTCAGCGGTTAGAGCGTCGGCCCGCGGACCAGAGAGTCCCAGGTTCGGTTCCCGCTAAGGGCACGTACCTCGGTTGCGGTCTATCCTCGGCCCTGGTTGGGGTCGTGTGGGTGGTGGCCAGTCGATGTGTCTCTCTTGCATCGATGTTTCCTTCTCTCTCTTTCCCCCTCCTGCACTATCTGAAGATAAATGCAAAAAACAAAAGAAAAAAGAAAAAAAAAACACGTTTATATACACCTCTCAATCAATACAAAGAGATCATCTGACAAAATGCCTCACTGGTTTATGATAGAAACTCAGCAGACTAGGGATGGAAGCAAAGTCCCTCCACCTGGCAACAGGCTTCACTGACCGCGGACAGGACATCTCGTACTGTGGGGAGGCTGGAGCTCCCACTCTGCTCGCGAGAGGGACAGCACCCACCACCTCCACTCGACAGCCCTGGATCCCAACCAGGAGAAATGAGGCGAAAAAAAATTGCCTCCGATGGGAAAGGGGGCAGTGAGCCTTTCCAAGGTCACACATGACATAACTGCGCGCACAACAAGGAATTTACCTTAAAACTATGAACTGATAAGTGAAGTAGCAAGGTTATGGGATACAAGATTAATATGCAACAAAAAAAATGTATTTCTAGCCTGGCCAGTGTGGCTCAGTGGTTGAGCGTCGACCCTGCACCAAGAGGTCACCGGTTTGATTCCTGGTCAGGGCACATGCCCAGGCTGTGGGCCAGATCCCCAGTGGGGGGCATGCAGGAGGTGTCCAATTGATGTTCTCTCTCATCAATGTTTCCATCTCCCTCTCACTTTCTCTCTAAAATCAATAAAGGAAAAAAAATATTTTTTAAAAAAGTATTTCTATATACTGGCAACAAACAATTGGAAAAAGGAAACTAAGTATACAGTCTCATTTATAAGTATCAACAAAGTACTTAGGGATAAAGTGAAACAGTACACTCAAAGCTACAAAACACCACTGAGCCAGATGGAGAGGTAGACCATGTTCATGGATTCTCAGACTGACCCATCCAATCAAACCCAGGAAGCCTCGAGCATTACGTTCTTTGGCTTCTACTCCCTGGGTGTACCTGGACACCGACCTCTTCTCTCGGGCTCCAGCACCTGCCGCCTAGCCAGGACACCACCATCTGTCCCTTGGATGTCTGCAACAGACTTCTGACCGTCCCCAAGACCTCAGCCAGAGGGCGATATCAGATATACTCACATCAGACCCTGCTCAAAACCACAGTGGCTCCCCGCTGCCCATCAGAAAAGACTCAAACTCCTTCAGTGGTCTCGAGGCCCTTTCTTTACCTACCTCTCCAGCCTCAGCATCTGCCACGTTCTCTGAGCCCCACCCCCACCCACACAGAAGGCACAGAGAGCTTTTTTCCATGCCCCGAGAGTGCCCAGCTCCTCTGCCAGCCTCTGCCCTGCCCCTAGCTGACCCAAGGCTGGTCAAGGACCACCCACACCATCTGTCACCTCCTTGTCAGGACCCGTGTAGACAGTCATCTAATGTCCTCTCAAGGGCAGGGACACTGGCATCTCGCCACATCCAGAGACAAGCGCATGTGCCACACAGAGGCACCCCGCTGTTCCACCTGCCCAGGCTCCAGGAACCCACAAGGTACTAGGACTGGCCCCCGACACAGTCCAGCTCAGCCAACACCTGCTCCCTGCCCAGCAGCCTCACCTCCTGGTTGACTTGTGAAGGGACCAGGAGTCCCAGGCAGCTGAGCAAACATGGGGCCTGAGACCTGGCCCGTGTCTGGGGAGGTGGTGGGGGACGGGGGACAGGCTTTAGGAAACGACGCATGTGCCCCTGACTGAACCTCCAGGGCCCGTGCTCCAAGGAACCCTGGGCTGTGCCACCTCAGCTCAGACCCAGGCCCCACTGTCTGTGCGGACAGTCCTTGCAGGGAACCAGGGAAGAATGGCCAGAGGGTCCTGGCACGGACTGGGTGGCCGGAGGCTGCAGCCAGATCCTGCTGCCACCATCTGAGCTACCCCGGGAGGGACAGCCCCCCAGGCAGCGGAGTTGAACACTCCAGCCTGCCCCCAGACTCATCCTCAAAACCAGAGAAGACCCTCCGCTGAAGGAACACAGTCATGTTCAAAGACCCCGAGTGTCCCCGTGAGCAGCGTGACACTCCTGTTCATTCCACGGTGCAGCGTGGCTTAAATCTGTCCCGTCAGCGGGGGCGGGATCCAGTGAAACCGATGAAGTGGACATGGGGCAGTGAGCAGGGAAAGGTCACAGCGGAGAGGCAGACAGAGGGGAGTCTGGAGCCCCTGGGACCTCGGCCACAGCCTGACTGGCCCTGTCGGGGGCCCTGGCTCCCTCCTGCCTCCCACCCAGGACGCCCAGCCAGGCGCGCCCTTTCCCTGACCACCTGCCCGCAGGGCACCGGGTCTCAGTACTCACTGCAGAAGCTCTGCCAACCTCAGACTGACCCAGGCCTGGGGGAGGGCGGCCGGCCGAGGACATGAGGGAGAAGGCCCAGAACTGGGTCTGGGCAGGACGCGGCTCCCACGGCCCTGCCAGCAGGAAGTGATAAGGACACACGACCAGGTGAAGTGCGCAAAGTCTGCTGGGAAGGCTGCGGAAGGTGTTCTCACCCACACACACCCACACCTGCCGGCTGCGTCCGCCGGCTGCGGTGCACAGAGGGGGCAGTGTTCACCCCGCACAGAGCCGCTGGGGACCTCGGACAGGCCTGGCTCTGGACACAGCCCCGGGCTTGGCGCTGGCCCCCAGCTTGGCTGGGCGGGCTGCTGCCTCTGGGTCTGCGGAGCCCCAGCTGTGGGGCGGCTCCGTGAGGCCCTCCAGTCTGCGGGCCCCGAGGTGCAGCCCCAGCTCCGCCCGCGGCCCTGCACTGGGCTCTGGACCCGGGTCAGACGTGCGAACACAGGTGAGGCCCTGTGTCTAAGGCACGGGGAGACGGGTCAGGGGGCGGCAGGACGGGGACCTGCCCAGACTCTGGGAGACTCGGGGAGCAGCCCGCGCGTTCTGCTCCTCCTTGGCTGGCTGCCCCCAGCAGGCACTTCGAGGCCTCTGAGGACTCCAGGGCGGGGTGGGGATGGGGGACTCTGTGAGTGTGGACAGAGCCCAGACACGTTTGCGTCAAGGACATGGAAGTCCAGAGACTGGCTGTGCTGGGCAGAACCAGCTGCAGGGTGGCCCCGGGAAGGGTCTCCTTCAGTCCGCTCAGGCTCAGGGCGGGACGGGGCTGGTCGGAGGGGCGTGGGGACCAGGTCCGACAGCATCCAGACCCTCCGCTTCTGCCCCAACCACGCAGGTCCTAGAGGCCGAGGTGGGCACCGCCTTACCACCCCCACAGTGGGGCCCCAGCTGGGCCCCTGCCACCCCAGTCCTTCCCCACCAGCGAGACCAGGACTCCTCCCCAGACCTGGTCACAGCCAGGGCTTCTGGTTGAGTTCCCAGGGGGTGCCTGGGAGGGGAGAGGTCGCGACGCCCTTGGGTCTAGGGAAGGAGCGGGCAGCGCCCGCCCGTCTGCCCTGGAAAGCCTGGCCCTGCCGCCGAGGGTTCTGGCAGGTTCTGGCCCTGAGCCCAGGTGTGATGCGGACAGCGAGCATCTTACTTTTCATGGTCTACCACCCTCCGCCTTCGAAAGGGTGGCACCTTCCCACCCTGCCACACACAGAGGCGCCCTGTTGGGAACTCTGACGAGTGACAAAATGCTTGGCTTCTTCTATTTTCACGTCATCAAACTGCTTCGCAGCAAAGCAAGTGGAGAACAGAGGGAAGCGAGCGGAGAGGCTGATGGATGGAGAAGGAAGCCCAGAGGCACAGGCCGCAGCTCGACGGCGCCCCCTGGAGGCCTCCCTGGCTGGCCCCGCTGGAGCGGCCCCCAGGGCCAGCATCCTGCCGGAGCAGGGGTGCACAGCTGGCTGGACGGATGAGAAGTTCTGTGAAAGGTCCCCCAGGCAGGGCCCCTGGCCGTGGGTGTCCGGACGCTGGGTGGCCTCCTGCCCCAGCCCGTCTCCAGCTGGGCTCACAAGGCCGTGGCGGCCGGGGAGAGCCCAGGTGGGCGGAGACTGTCGGAGGAAGACGTGCCCTCAGAGGACAGCAGCAGCCAGGGCAGCGCCAGCCCCCACTGGCCACACGTCTGTCCGCTCGGGCTGTCTGGCAGGACACCACAGGCCACAGGCGGGAGCTGCAACAGCAGGCCGGCTTCTGGGCTCAGGCTGGAGGTCCAAAGTCCAGGCTCCGGCTGGCGGATGGGTTCCGGCCAGGACCCTCTCCCCAGCCCGCAGGCTCCGCCTCTCACGGCGTCCTCCCTGGGCGCTCTGGGGTCTGACAAGGACACTTCTCCCAGCACCGGGCCCCACCCACGTGGCCTCATCTAACCCTGCACCTCGGAATACCATCCCATGGGGGTAGGGCTTCAACATGCAAATTTGGGGGACACAACTCAGTCCACAGCACTTTCCCTCCCCAGAAGCCACCCAGCATGTCCCAGGGTCCCCCCAGGCTTTCAGACCAAGGCTGAGTTCCCTCACTAGGGTCCCCCCTGAAGATGACAACAGACTGTCTTCATCTGAATGGACACCACTGATCGGGAGGCAGCTGCGGGCCAGCATCCTGAGCAGGAGCTGGGGGGCTGGGCCTGGGCCCCTGCAGGAGCTGAGCCAGGGGCTGTGACGCACACCACGCAGCACCTGGACGCCTCGGGCTCCTGGCTGTGACCGGGCTGCGGGGCCCAGCACCTCCCTGCTCTCCATTCCCCTTGGGCAGCCTGGGCCCGCGCTTGTTCCTGGGTCGGCCTCTGGGGAATCCAGCTCGGTCCCAGGAGAGGGTCCATGCTGGCAGAGGACCTGTCTCTGGTGGCAGGGGGACCACAGCCCAGCCCAGGTGCTGGCCTTGTCCTGCTCGATGGTCTGCTCGTGTTGAGTCACCGGGAGCCAGGGGAGACTGTCTGTGGGCCGTGTGTGCCACAGGTCCGAGACCAGTGGGCGGAAGGGCTCTGAGGGCCACAGGCAGGTGGCTGGGGGCCAGGGAGAGGCCTCTGGCTGGAAAGCAGAGAGCCAGGCCCCACCCACTGACTGAAGAGGTGAGGGGATCCAAGGGGGACCCGCCCCCCCAAGTGTGGATGACAAAGACTCCCCCACACGCCCCACCCTGCTCTCTGGGGTCTCTCCTGGATGGCTGTGTGCTGGGGGGAGAGGGATGCCGGACATTTGAGGGCCACTGGGCACACAGGTCCCGCGTTGACACTGACCCGAGTGTCCGGTCAGAGAGGGACGCACGAGACAGTTGACAATGGTCCTTCCAGGACTGGCCCACCGTGGGCTCCAGGGGTCCCTCCCTGGTCTCTAAGCACATCACTGGGACTCGCCCTGCAGATGACCAACACCGTCAGTGGGCCACCAGGTCCCAGTCGGGAAGGGCGAGGGGAGTAAAACCTTTGCCCCAGATCAAATCAAAACGGTGTTATCGGCAGTGCCCTTCCTGTTCAGGCCTGTTGCTGGCTTCCTGCGATGTCAGGAGAGCAGTTTTCTGAGACGCTCGGAGGATGAGTGATGTGCATTTGTGTGGACTTGAACCCCCGGGTGTCCAAGGTGCCTGTGCCCCTGTCCCACCAAGGAAAGGTCCCATTTTGTCTTCAGCAGAGCGGGGATGGAAGCCGCTGTCCCGAGCCTCCCGTGCAGCATCTAGCCAGCGGGCCGTGTCCCCAGCGGCAGCCCAGGTGTGCGGGGTGCACATGGCTGTGGGCCCCGCGGCTACGGAGGGAGCACAACCCGTGCAAGGAAGGAGCCGAGCAGAGGGCGAGGAGAGAATCCTTGTCTGGGATTCTGTCTTCTCAAGTTTCCAGGGGCCTGCAGGGGCCCCACCCCTCCGGCCAGTAGTCCTCGCTCCCAGGCTAGACTGACAGGCAAGTGTTTCCTTTGGGGCCGGACTCTGCACAGGCCCCCACCCTGCCTTTGTCCAGGCCCCTCCCCAGTGGTCTGCAGGGGGGACGGTGCAGCCTCCCAGTGAAGCCGCCCAGCTGACCGTAAGGTCTGGCCTCCCTGCTGCTTCTTTCCTCTTGGTATTAATAACTAGCTGCTCACAACGGTGACACCGGCACTGTGGGGTCGGACCCGAGAACCACCCTTGGGGCTCTGAGGCTGTGGGGGGAGCAACTCTGTGGGTCTCTGGCTTTCTGAGGGGCAACCCCAGTCCAGATGCCTAGGCCTCAGGCGCAGGGTGCGGCCGTGCTGGGAAGTCAGGAGGCTCAGACGTGTCACCTCGTGGGAACGGGACAAGGGGCTGTCGGTTTTCCCAGGAACCCGTCACAGGACAGGCACTCGGCTGGCTGGACGCCCCGGCTGGTGGTGACAGGATGTGGATGGAGTTGGCGGGCAAGACGGGGCCCGCTGTCGGGAACGGGGAGGGCCCGGGTTGGAGGCTGCGGGCACACCCCCTCCCGAGGGCCAGCACTGAGCGCAGGTGGCACCGCAGGGCAGAGGCACGTAGGCTCAGGTTCTCCGGTGCCCGTCGGTGTCCACATCTGCAAACACCATGACTGGGCGGTGACGGCACCGCTGCCAGGTGGGGAGATGGGCAGAGGTCTGCTTCCTGCCGCTCCCTCCTGACCCCCTGGCCTGTGCCAGGCACCCAACCCCCCTTGATCCTCTGAACCCCAACTCACCGCCCTCCTCCTCCCAGAACCACCTCTGGAAGCTGCGGTTCTCTGGGTCCTCCTGCCTGAAACAGGACACCTGCAAGCCACTCAGCACGCGCGTGTTCAGCCACACCCTAGAGCCACTCAGGACGTGTGTGTTCAGCCACACCCTAGAGCCACTCAGGACGTGTGTACTCAGTCACACCCTAGAGCCGCTCAGCACGCGTGTGTTCAGTCACACCCTAGAACCGCTCAGCACGTGTGTACTCAGTCACACCCAAGCTGCTGCATGCAGGTGTGCGGATACATGTGTATTCAGTCACGCCCAGAGCCGCTGCACACAGATGTGCGGACACGTGTGTATTTAGTCACGCCCAGAGCCGCTGCACACAGGTGTGCGGACACGTGTATTCAGTCACACCTAAGCCGCTACACGCAGGTATGCGGACACACGTGTATTCAGTCACGTCCAGAGCCGCTGCAGACAGGTGTGCGGACACGTGTGTATTCAGTCACGCCCAGAGCCGCTGCAGACAGGTGTGCGGACACGTGTGTATTCAGTCACATCCAGAGCCGCTGCAGACAGGTGTGCGGACACGTGTGTATTCAGTCACGTCCAGAGCCGTTGCAGACAGGTGTGCGGACACGCGTGTGCCAGCTGTAAGGCCTCTCTGGAGCCCGAGGGGAGACGGGCAGGTCTCCGCGGAGCCGTCGTCAGGGTGCGGGGCCAGGACGCTCGCTGGGCTCCTCCTGTCCTCCCTGCGGCACCTGCATGAGCCCAGGCTGCCTCCCTCCAGGACGAGGAACCTTCACCTGGAGCCACAGGCACACGAGCCGCCCAGCTCAGCTCAGGACCTCGCCACAGCACTGAGGCTGGTGGCACTGGGTGAGGGCGCTGCAGGGCGCGGGGAGCCCTGAGGACACGTCCCCAGAGCTGACACAGAGCTGACAAGTGGGGCACCCAGCTAGGTTCTCATCACCGCCATGAAGGAGGCCTGTGAAAGAGACGGCGAGGTGTGGGCAGCGGCTGCCGGGGATGGTGGGGCAGGGACCTCCCTCCTGGACACTGCCGGGGCCGCCTCCCGGGGAAGACACTCTGCACCTTGTGTCTCAGGCACAGCCTAATCTGAAGGGTGGTGCTAGGAAGGGCTGGGGAATGAGGCCCAGGGCACTGGGCAGCCCCCTCTCAGGCCCCCACAGCGCACCAGCAGCCCCCACAGGGCACCGGCAGCCCCAGGCCACGTACCTCTTGGAGGAGCTGCCCCAGCACTTCCTGGCTGTGAACGGAGCGCCTGTGGGGAGAAGCCCTGGGTCAGCCAGCCTCCCCCAGGCTCAGGCCCTTCGACGCCCCCGTGGGCTGGCAGGCGAGGAGGCATGCCCAGGCACTGTGCCAGCCTCTGGGCTCTGCCAGAACAGCTAACTGCTGGGCAGGCGGGGCGGCGGGAAGCACGGCGAAGGCGGGCACCAAGGTGCTGACCACAGCCCACGGCCCACCTGTCTATCCTGGTCGCGATGGTCACAGTGAAGGCGCCCTCCGTGTCGGGCAGGTAGGTGGAGGGCACGACCCTGTAGGCGCCTGCAGAGAGGCGGCAGAGGCGGCTCACCTCCTGGGTGTAGCAGTGCGGCACGCAGCTCAGCACGGGCTTCTGGAGGAGCAGGGAGGGCGCAGCGGGGCCCCCGCCGTCCGCTGGAGCCTGGGGAGGCACACGTGGCGGGAGGCCAGTCAGCCACCTTCATGCCGGGTCCCGGCTGGGACGTCCTGGGTGACAGCGGCCCTGGCTACATCTGCGTGGACCTCCTGGCTTCACGCTGGTCCCCCTCCCACGCCCCTCCGAGGAGGAGCAGCAGCCCCGCAGGGCTGGGCTCACCGCTCCCCGGGGCCCGTCCCCCCGGCCAGGAGGCCCCAGCAGGCGTCAGGTGCCCACACCCAGGAGCCACCGGAATCGCCCCTGCTCAGGCCGAGTCTTCTGATGGCCACTGGCACGTTTTTCGAAGCTCCTGGTGTCTCTGCTCTTGGGAAGGGGTTCTCAGCAGCTCCGCCCGCTCCCCTCAGGCTCAGACCCTCCTCGATCGGATCCTGCTCTCCCCAGGTCACCTGTCCTCCAAGCCATGTGTGCCCCCCTCAGATCCTGGGTCAGGGCTCTGGGCAGCCTCCCAGCCCGTGTCCTCCTGGGGCACCGCCTGTTGCCTGCCCGCCTGGAAGTGGCCCAGGAGCAGTGGCTGGGGAGCCACAGCGGCCACGCACTCCAGGCCTCAACCTCTGCCCCCCCTTCCTGCAGCTACAGGCTCCCTGGGTGTGTACTGCGCGGGGGGGGGGGGAGGGATTGACAGAGGTGCCCTGGGAGGCACTGGTGACTCCTCGGCCCTTCCCTGGCTTCCACATGCCCCCTGGCACTGCTGGGAGCTGCCCGCAAGCCCCCCTGACACTGGGAGGAGCATCCCCTTCGGCAGAGCCCCCCAGGCTCACACCCGTCCAGGTAGAAGGCGGAGACAACACGCTCTCAGCTGAGTTCCTGGAAGCACCCCTTCCCTTGACCGCCCGGGGTCCCGGAGCCCCCGCAGCAGAGCCGCCTGCAGCCCTCACCCCTTCCCTTGACCGCCCGGGGTCCCGGAGCCCTCGCGGCAGAGCCGCCTGCAGCCCTCACCCCTTCCCTTGACCGCCCGGGGTCCCGGAGCCCCCGCGGCGGGGCCGGCTGCAGCCCTCACCTGCACGTCTGGCCCAGAGGCCGGGACCCTGCGAGCTCACCACCGGGCCACGCTGGAAAGGTCCTGGCAGGCCGCCAGGCGCAGAGTGGCAGTCAGTACCCAGACGGTCTTGGCAGCCTGGCCTCCCACCCCCTTTCCGCGGTCCCCACAAGCCCCGTCGGCAGTCACTCCCCCTGCCCAGGGGCCCTGGCACCCCAGGAGCAGCCTGGGTGCTGTGGGCAAGGACGGGGGAGGCTTACAAAGTCCTGGGGCGCTGCAGGTATATGGCCCGTCCCTCCCAGGAGACCGCTGGCCTCCAGGTGGGAGGACTGACCTTTGCACAGTGGTCCTGAGCTAGGGCGGCGAACAGGGACTGGTCGAGCGGACCTGGGACCCCCTGATTACAGGCCTTATGAAACCTAGAAACGAGCCTGTACGTGACCGGCCAGCCCGGCCAATAACCCCAATGGCACGTCCAGGGCTCCACGCCAGGCCCCTCCGAGCGGGCTCGCACCCCCAAGCGGGCTCAGACGCCCGGCCGAGCACAGCGCTTGCCTGGAAGACATGGAAGCCGATGGCGTGGCAGGCGCTGTCCGGGCAGTGCTGGCGCAGAGTGATGCGGACGCAGCGGGGGCCATCGCCCTCGGGCACCGAGAGGGGGAAGCAGGGGTTGCTGGGATAGGAGGCGAAGTTCCTGCTGCCCCCCGCCGTCTGCCCGATCCTCCAGGACCCCCGAAGCTGCACGGTCTCCCACTCCCCTGCCGACAGGGCCTCCCCAGGGTCGGGGCTCTGGGCCACGGTCTTGATGGCACTGCCGGGGAGACAAGCACAGGGGTGGCTGGAGGCGTGGCCCTCGGTCCAGGCAGAGCACGTGGCTCTGAGGACGCCCAGGCCCCGCCCTCTGACCCTCCCGCTGGCCTCACCTGAGGGCGACTCTCCCGCTGGAGAAGACCCGGAGCAGAAACTGCCCTGGCACGTCCTTCAGGAAGGTGCTGGGCACGGCCAGGTAGTAGCCAGGGGTGAGCTCACAGCGCAGGTGGACCTCGCGGTCGTACGCGTGGCACACGGTGCCAGCCACGGGCGGTGTGGACAGGACCCTGGGCAGGCTGACCCGCCGCTTCTCCACCTGCGGGAGGAGGCCTGCGTGGGGACCCCCGAGACCTGCCTGCCCACTCTCGGCATCAGGGCCTCTCCTCCAACAAGCGAGCAGATGCCCGGCCTGTGCCCAGCGAGCCTGCAGCTCTCCTCTAGGAGAACATGGGTGGGCTGTGCCCAGAGGCCCCGGGTCTGGGGAGCAGGCTCGCCAGCAAATGCTCTGCGGGAGAAGAGGGGCGCGATGGAAGCCACCCCACGGAGGGACGGGGACACTGAGTGAGCTCAGACCCGGCAGGACACACAAGGCCGCCACCAGGGGAGTGGGCAACACAGGGGCAGCAGTCCTGCCTGGCCACGCGCCTGTCTCTGGGGGAGGACAGGCCCCTCCGCTGGGTCCAGACAGCTCCTCGGACAATCCCAAGACCAGATGTCACCACCCCCACTTGGCAGGGAGGAGACTGAGGGAGCGGGGTCCATGGAGTGACCTCTTGGGTCCCACAGGAAGCGGCTGAGCTGGGCTCAGACCTCCACAAACACCAGCCCTCGGGACCCCGGTGCCTCTGGGCTCTGGTTCTGGTTTCCTTTGGCCCCAGACCCACCCCGGGCCAGGCCAGGAGCCCAGCCCTGCAGACTCAGATCAATGCTGGGTCCGGGGGCTCCTGCAGGCACATGCCAGGGCAGCCAGGGCAGGGTGGGGAACGCGCGCTCCTGCCAGTCACGTGTTCCAGCAGCACAGCTCCCAGGACTCGACCTCATGGCCTCCCGACCTGGACGCCCCCCGAGTGGGAGCCCAGCAGTTACCTTCCAGAGGTGCAGGCCCACGGCCGGGTAGTCCCTGCCCGGGATGCTGGCCGGGCTCCACGCGGTGCGGTGGTCCCCCTCGGGTGCCCGGGCCCGGCCAGCCCAGTCCACCGTGCGCGTCCTGGGCCTCTGCAGGACAGCAATGTACACCTCGCTCGGCTCTGAGACGCGAAGCCAGAACTTGGGGTTGCTGGGAAAGCCGCTGTTGTTCCGGCAGCCTCCTGCAGACAGCCCCCGGACCCAGGCCCCGGGCAGCTCCTGCGTGTGGCTCAGCAGCTTCTCTAGGGCGAGAGCACACCGCGCGTCAGGCCCCTGCGGGGGCAGCGTGGGGGGGGGTCTCAGGCCTGATCACACAAGGCCACGTCCATCTGGTGGGGGCACGGTGCCCCGAAGGTTGTCCTGGGGACGGTGCTGGTTACCTGAGTAGAGGCTCTGCAGGTGGCCGGCCTCCGTGACCGGGTAGCCAATGGTGACCTCATCAAACTCCCGGAGAAACTCCTCCTCCTCCACCCAGAACTCCCCTTCCTGGAGCTGGGACAGCAGCTCTGAAGAGTCCACTGGGTCCAGCCGGCTCCACCCTTCGCCCCTGGAAGAAAGCACCGGTCAGCACTCATCTGGGAGTGACAGCCCCGGCCATGCAGTGGGGGAAGGGGACCCAGAGGGACAGAGGATGTCCCGAGAGCCCTGTCCCCGCCAGCACCTGGGGTGCAGTTCCACAGCCCCCTTCCCAAGCTCGAGCCGCTATGGGCTGACCCTCCCTCGGGGCCGCTGAGCAAACAGCAGGGGGCGGTGACAGAGGCTGCCTGCTGTCGCCTCAGGAGTGGTCGCCCAGACCCCGGGCCGGATCTGCTCACCACCCTGGCCACCTGGGCCCTGTCCCAGTCCCTCATCATCAGTTACTGGTCTTAAAGCCAAGCCGAGGGTGTGGCGCAGGCGTCCCACAGGTCCCTGTCCCTCAGCCTGGCAGCACCCTCTATTCCTCGGGCACCCTCAGTGCCAAGCACTAAGCCAGCCTCCTGAGACCACCTGGGGCCAAGCACAGGTCCCCGGCCTTGGATCACGCGGGCCTTGCTGGGAACAAAGCGGGCACTGTCCTGACCACAGAACTAGCGGCACGAGCCACAGCACGGGCCCAGGCACCACTGTGCACTGGTCTCAGCTGCCCCTCCTGATGGCAGTGCCCGCCGCACTCACCCCTCTCTCCAGGGCCCCTGCCAGCACCGCCGGCCCCAGGGGTTCTGAATGCGCAGCAGCAGGACGCTCTGCCCGGCCTGATCCCGGAGCTCGCGCAGGTCTGAGACGATAAAGGCGTGAAACTCCCCCAACTCCCTGGCACCTGGGTGAGGAACAGCTCGGTCATGGGCAGGAACCCACCCAGCAGATGCACAGGTCTGTCTCCTCCCCTCAGGGCTGGTCCAGCCCCCCGCTGTGGCCCCACAGACACCCAGATCCCACAGACCACCAGGGCTCCTTTCCTGAGCAGTGGCCTCGGCCAGCACAGAGCCCCCGGGGCCTGGGCCTGGGCTCCGGCTCACCTGGGCCAGACCTGGCAGCTCAACCCCTTCTCTGGGCCTTGGTGCCCGCCTGCATGAATGCGGGACACTGGCAGGCCACATGGCCGTGCAGACACCTGGTACAGGGCCAGGTTTCAAAAGTGCTACCACCGCCGTGGCCGGTTTGGCTCAGCGGTAAGAGCGTCAGCCTGCAGTCTGGAGACCTGGGTTTGGTTCCCGCTAAGGGCAAGTACCTCGGGTGCAGTTTGTCCCCGGCCCTGGTTGGGTCGTGCAGGTGGCAACCACTCAATGTGTCCCTTTCACATCGATGTTTCTCTCTCTCTCTCTCTCTTCCTCCCACTCTCTCTCTATCTGAACAACAAAAAAGTGAAAAAATGTCCTCAGGTGAGAATAAAAATAAATAAATTTAAAAAAAGTGCTACTACCTCCTAGCACTGTCGACAGCCGTGACCACCAGGGGACAAAGGAGCTCCCTCGACAAGGCCAGCTGGGGAGGCCCAAGGAGAGGACAGCACCTGCCCAGAGACCAGGGACAGACGACAGGAGGAGCCCACCAGCATGGGGCGGCCGGAGAGGCGCAGGTGGGCCAGTGCGAGGCGAGGACGCTCCTGGCCGCCTCCAAGCACATCGTTCAGAAGGGACGCCGCAGCCACCACGCTGGTGCCCCACCCCACCCCCTGCCACTTCAGCAGGCTGTAGTGACCTCCAGCGCCCGCGTCCACGAGGCCTCAGGGAGGAGCCCACCCCAGGCCTGTGCCAATCCTCACACACGCGCCAGGGCGTGCAAGTGTCAGCGCGGGTCAGTGTATCTCAGTGTTCACAGTCTGACCACAAGCTCCACGCGGAGACAACCCAGGCGTGCACCACGAGGACGCTGTGCCGCCCCGACACGTGCACCACGAGGACGCTGTGCCGCCCCAACAGCGTGAGAGCAGAGCCCCAATTCCCAGCGTGAAGGGAAGAGGAAGCTACGGCAGATCCACAACGAGACGAGGCGTTGACAACGTTGCGTAACAGAGAAAGTGGCACAGAGTGCAGGAAGCAAGACGCAGGTGTTTGTGAAAAACTGAGAAGTGTGCTGAAGAGTCAAAAGCAGTTACATGGAGGGGACTCTCCTCTCAGCCTCTCTTCAGTGAGCACGTCCCGAAGGCAAACCTGGGTGTCGGTTTTGCAGGCTGCCAGCTGGGCCAGAGACGGGGCCACCGTGGGCCTCCTAGGCTGTCCTCACACGGCGGTGACCCCACAGGCTCCCGCCTGCCCTGTGGGGAAGTCCTGGTCGAGGCAAAGGGACCCTCCCTCGGGAGAAGGGCAGGCAGAACTAAGTCACAGCCAGGACACCAGCTTGGAAGGACAAACATCCTGCCTTCCACTCGGCCCTGACGGCCAGTGAGCACCCACAGGCCCCGCGCGGCCCCTCACCTGCTCTGGGGCTGAAGACCGAGCAGCTGATGGGACACCGCTCCTTGAGGCCGAGCAGCTGCCGACAGGTGCGGGGCTCCGAGCTGCCGGGCTCGCCCCGCTGGCCACTGCTGCTCGCCAAGTCCTTCAGGTTCCACCTTTCGGCCAGGCCGCCCGTTAGGTCCACTAGGGCGTCCGCCACCTGTCCTGCCCACAGGTGCTCGTAGGACCCATAGACCCTGGGAGACAGGCACGGGGTGAACCTCGGGCACGGGGCGCAGCACCCTGCCTTTTGTCCCCACGGCCTACAACGCCCAGATCACCCTGACCCCCACCCTGCTCCAATTCCTCTCCTGCTGCGTCATCCTCTCCGCAGCCAGATGCAGCCGCGCCTTCACGGCTGCCGTGGTGCCAGCAAAACCCAGCCGCCTCTGCCCGCGGGGCACAAGCCTCTGCCCGCGGGGCGCAAGCCTCTGCTTGTGGGGCGGCAAGCCTCTGCTCGTGGGGTGCAAGCCTCTGCCCACGGGGCACAAGCGTGAGGTGGTGTGGCAGAGGCTGTGACACCTGCTCCACCTGGCAGGACCTGGCCCCACGTGCGGACTGTTGGGCAGAGCAAGCACTCAGGCCGACAGCAGCAGCCCCCCCCCCGTCTGCAGCCACCCCCGCAGCAGCCCCCCTCCCCGCAGCAGCCCCCCCGGCAGCAGCCCCTCCCCCTGCAGTAGCCCCCCCCTGCAGCAGCCCCCCCCTCTGCAGCAGCCCCTCCCTGCAGCAAAGGCTGCCCAGCCTGCTGCCAGCAAGACCAGGGCTGCGCTCCGGGGGTGGCCTCAGCTCAGACTCTGCACGAGGGCCTCGGTTTCAGCCTGGACCGCGATACAAAGGCTGACACCGAGGTGCCCCCCACCCCCCTCACCCCCCCCGGCAACGTGCAGAGAGGCCGCCTTTCCCCAGAGCAGAAAACAAGCAGATGAAACACCTCGCGCTGGGCGCTGGGTGAGGCAAGAGGGAGGAAGACGCACACCCTCCCTTCACGCCCAGCTGTGCAAGGAGGGCAGGAGAGAGGCACATGCAGGCCCAGCACAGCGTTCCTGCCTGGGACCAGCAGCCCCCCACCAGGGCCTGTCACCGGACGCCTGGACGTGACAAAGGTGCTGCGGCCCCGGCCCCGCCCCGCCCGCCCCCAGCGCTCGTACTTGGCATAGACCTTCTCCAGCAGTGGCAGCCAGAACACATCCTCTCTCTGGCACCGGGAGAAGCAGAGTCTCCCTGCAAGACAAGGCAGACGGTCATCTATGGTCACTTCCACCCAGCATCCAAACTGCCAGACTCGACAGGTGAAGGCGCCACGGTACGTCTGGTCGAACCAGCTCGGCTGTCCGGGAGGGATGACCTGCCGTGCACAGGAAAGGCAAAGGAGACCATGAGACAGAGGTCACGCAGGCCCTCCGAGCTGTGAGCCCGAGTGTGACCGCACTGGGCCAGCCCCCGGGACCCTGCGGTTTGCAAAGATCTGACTGCGCTGCACGCTGAGGGTCAGTGCTCACGGAAAGCCAACCATTGGGAAGAAATCCCAGTGAAGGAGCCAGTGTCTCCCAAAATTCAAACTCCTGATGCCCCACTATCCCAATTAAGCCCTTGACCTGAATCCAAAACAAACATGACTTTTCCAAGCATGAGAGCCAATTCTCGACAGCTGGCTGCAGAGGCAGGTCGCCATGGACACCGCAACCCTCCTGCAGGAGGCTGGGGCTCAGGACCTCGGCCAGCCCTGGACCCAGGGGTTCACTGCCGGGTGTGGTGTTCTGACCCGGGAGGCGGTGCAGGCTGCCCACCTGGATGACTTATTTGGTCCTGGCTCGGTCACTCACTAGCTGAAAATCAGGGACAGGGGTTCTAGCGCTCTCGTTGGTAAAGACAGGTCACAGCCAGCGAGGCCTGTGAGAGGGACAGCCAGCAATGTGCTGCGCTCAGCATGGGGCCGGGGCCTGGGGGACTCTGAGCCGGTCACCACTGCGCACGGATGCTTCTGCCCTCATGGGGACACGCAGCAAGGAGCCAACACGAGGCCGTCCAAGCTCCAGGAGGGCTCTGAGCAGCCTCTGCACCGGTGGTGTCTGCCGAGCACCGGAAACAGTTTCAATCGCCTTTTGCCAACTTATACTCAAAAGCTGGCAAAGGAGTCAGCTAGCTGGGGACACTCACTCTGAACCAGGGGCACAGGCTCCCCCAGCCAAACCTTTCCTGTCTGGGCTTGCATGTTTGTCTTTTTAGTTCAGACGCGTGGCTCTGACTACACAAGAACCAGGCTCGGGAGATGGCAGAGCAGGCAGAAAGCGCCCCTGCAGGAGAGGGGATGCTGCGTCTGTACCTTGGAGTCCCTGTGGCCTGACAGCCGAGCTCTCACACCCACTGCCCACGCTGAGCAAAGCAGCAGAGCCCCACAGAACAAGGGGTTCAGCTGCCTGGCCACTCGCTTCCTTCCTGTGCGCAGCAGACAGGAAGGTAGCAGGGGGACCCGCGCCGGCAGACACCTGGTGCAGGAGGTGCCGGCTCTTCTGCAGGGCGGCGCAGGCGCACAGGAACCAGCAGTCCCCCAGCAGCCCCTGCTTCACCTGCCCTTCCTGGGGCTTCTCTGGGAGCAGCCGGGGCACGGCACAGATTTCCTGAAATGAATAAAAATTGTCCGGAGTTACATCAGGCCTCGTGTCTAGTCTTTAAAGTGCATCACACAGGATCTAGGGGATGGGCTGGGAGGAGTTTTTCTGCTCATCCACTTGCCCAGCAGGAGGGGAAGCAGCTGGCTGCTTGCAGACATTATCCGCCGGCTCCTCCTGGCTTCAGATCACCCTGCCCAGCTTAGATTATGGGGTCCCTATCTCTGCTCTCCTTCCTTAACTAGCAAAACCCCCAACTCCAGATCAACGCTACACCCCCCCTTCTCGAAACAACTGAATGTGTATCTAGAAAACGGTTTCACTTTATTTTTCCAAGTTTGTTTGTGAGAAAGAGAGAGAGGTCTGCTCCACTTATTGAAGCGTTCATTGGTTGAGCACTGCAGGTGCCCTAATCGGGATCGAAACCCCACCTTGGTGTGTCTGGATGGCACTCTAGCCAATGAGCCGCTCGGCCAGGGCAAACAGTTTCTCTGTTGTTGGAAACCCTGCGGCTTCTCCAAGGGACCCCCTTCCCAAAGCCCGGACGGGCTCGTGCCCCCTTCTCCCCTTCTGACCTCCTCACCTCACGCTGCCCTGCTCCTCCTGCCCAGGCCTGGGCTCCCCCATTGAGGCCCCCTCCTCCCAGGCGGGCAGACTCCAACACGAGGCAGCAGGAGGGTCTGCGCCTTCACTGAGACATTGCCTTCGGTTGTCCCCTCCTGGTTTCCCCCCCTGGCAACCTTCCGAGAGAGCTGCGCCCTACTTCCTCCCTCCTGCAGGCCCCTCTGGCTTTACGTCCCATGCTGACTTTGCCAACGTCACCTGGGTGTTGTTGAACCCAACAGGCTTCTGTACCCTCATCTTTCCCAACGTCCACAGCCGCAGAGCAGCGGGGTGCTCCCCTGGCCCCAGCAGTCCTCACCACCTCCGCGGTCCCCAGGTGCCCTTGCGCCTCACTGCCTGCAGCGTCTCAAGCCTGCCTGTCAGGCACCTGCTGACCCCACTCAGAAATGCCAGGGCTCCTCCAGGCTCAGTGCTGAGCCCTCCTCCTCTGCACCTGACACTCTTCCAGGCCCTGGTCTGCAGCCACAGCTACAGTCCCAAGTCCCAGATGGAGCCTCTACCTGGACGGTGCTGAGCCCCCAACTCTCACAGCCTCCTGCCCAACGGACACCTGGGAGCAAAACGAGCGCTAGAGTCCTACCTCCACTTCCTGGGCACGTCAGGCGAGACCACCGCCCACCCAGGCGCTCAGGCTGGGCAATCGAGATGTTGCTCTCCACTCTCCTTCACCTTCACCACTGCATGCTGTCCCGACCTCCCATTGCCCACTGCAGGAGGGCGAACACCCCCAGCTGAATCGCTCCCCAGAGGAAGCCCTCCAGATGGCTCCCTGCAGCTGAGGTCCACTTTCACCCACATTCCACTGGTGTGGCCCCAGGCTCCCCAGGCCCAGTGAGGCCAGAGCAGGGCAGCCTGGCAGCCACGCACACCGGGGCAGTCTCGTCCGGCACGCGGACAGGCCAGTTCTAAGGATGTCCTCAACTGCCCCCGCCCGTGTGGCTCGGTGGTTAGAGCATCAGCTCGCGGACGAAAGGGTTGCGGGTTCAACTCGCGGTCAAGGGCACGTACCTGGGCTGCAGGTCCAGTCCCCGCCCAGGTCAGGTCAATGACAGGTCAGTCTCACATCATGTTCCTCCCTCCCTCCCTCTAAGAATCAGCGGAGACCCCCTGGGGTGAGAACTAAAAAGTGAACAGACACAAAGTAAAGGTGTCCCCACACCACACACTGCCAGGCCGGGGCACCCCTTTCAGCTGCCCCGGAAGACGCTCACCCGAAGCGCAGGTGCGCCCGCCCGCTCCGGGCCAGGGGGCGCGCTCGCGGGCTCGGCCGGCCCTTCCGTCCGACCACAGCCACGCGGGACGACGGCCACGCGGGACGACGGCCGCGCGAGCCTCGGGCAGGAACGAGGCGGCCGCCAGGCGGGGCGCGCAGCCGGGACCCACTCCGAGGGCCCCCCAGGCCCGCCGGCCGCTCACCTGGGGCCGCCTCCACGTGATGTCCTCCCGGAAGCGGGCCAGCGGCGTGGAGAAGCTGGAGAAGAGCGAGGAGTCGGAGGCAGGGAAGGCGGCGTCCCGGAACAGCTCCCTGGCCGGCGCCCGCATCTTGGGCGCCCCGCGCTCCCATGGGCAGCCCGCGCCCCGGCGCCGAGCACGGCCGAGGGGCGCGCAGCCCCGACGGGAGGCCGAGTCCGCTGCGGGTCCCCGGGCGGCCCGCCGCTGCCGGGCGCCGCCGGGTTCTCCCCGCGTCGGAGCCGAGCGCCGCCGCCCGGTCGCCCCGGTAACCGCAAGGTCTCAGGCTACAGCCAACCAGGCGCGTCGCGTCGAGACACGTGACACCGAAGCCCAATCGCCTTCGAGCGTGAGGGAGTCCCGCCGGATTCCCAGCCCACCCGGGGGCGTGGCTCCGAGCTGGGCTCCGCTACGCCGCGCCGTCGCCCCGGCAGCACGTCTGCTTCCGGGCCACAGGGACCCGGAACCGTCCCGGCCGAGATCCACCCCCGAGGAGGCCGGCGGGCGTCTCGTCCTCGTCCTGGGCGGGCAGGGCCGGGGCGTCGGAACCGCTTGGACTCCAGGCTCTGGGAACTGAAGGGACCGGAGAGGCCGCCCCCGCCGAGGCCGCGCCGTGGACTACAGGTCCCAGCATGCAGCGCGGCCTCCCAGAGGGCGCCTCTTCTTCCGGCGCGCGGCGGGCCCGCCTCTGTGGGAGGGGCCAGGGGAGCCCCGCTGCGGGAGGTGCCCGGGAGTGTGCGCGGGGTCCCGGGTCTGGGGGCAGGCAGGCGGTCGGGCAGGCGGGCGGCCGGGCGGCCGGGGGCGGGTCCCCGGCCCGGAGGCTCCTCTAGGCGGTCAGGGCCAGACCTGGGCGGGCGAGGAGGGGAGGACTGGTGTCGGACCTGCTCGCGGGCTCACCTGTGCGGCTGGCACCTGCGCGCCCCCGCCCCGTTCCCAGGAAGGGAGCCCGGTGCTCGGCCGCGCCTGCGAGCTGCCCGCCGCGGCCGCCGGCTCCCAGGGCCGGCCCGGGCCAAGAGGCCCCGGTGACCGCGCTCTGCCCCGGGAGGGCGTCTCAGGTGCTGCCCCCCAGGCCGCTGGCCCCCAGCCCCGATGTGAACGGTCAGGCCAAAGCGCGCCACACCGCAGCACCCCCGTGGGAGGCCAGGGCTTACTTCTAACTATGCCGCGTGCGCGTGGCTCTCCCAGGGTGTCTCCTGCCCACGGCAGGCCGGAGGCCGCCCTGGAGCCGCAAGGACCACCGGGGGTCCCGAAGGGGTAGGAGGCACGTTTGCCCCAGGAAACACGCCGGGTGGTGAGCAGCAGAGCTGGGGCCAGCTCAGGATCTGGCTCTTAAGTGCCAGCTGTGTCCTGTGTAGGGCCCATGCCCAGAGAAGGGGCCAGAGGACAGCTGGTGTGGGGTGGGCAGCAGCCCCGGCCTGCAGGGACAGGTGAGTGACCAGCACTGAGATGGCATCGGGGCAGCTCTGCCTGGCACAGCTCCTGGACCACCCTGATTCCATATGCCCTGTGGTCTCCCACCCCTGGGTGCAGAGATGCTCCCAGCCTATTAGGAGCGCAGGGCCCTCTGGCTCCTAGGTGGTGAGAAAGAAGGTTCTGGACCCTGGTCTGCACAGCCGCAGGCACTGGACAGTAGTAATTTCAAGTCTGAGCCCCAGGCCCTCACTAAGGCGGGACCACCCCCCACATGTCACTGTGCTGGGCGCTGTGGGTTTCAGGAGGATGAAGGTACATGTTTCCCCAGTCCTCAGGCGGGACCAAACCCCCACTGACCACACTCCCACACCTAACAGCTTCCTTTCCCAAAGCCACAATGCTACGCGTCCTGTGGACACTGAACCTGAAACAGCCTGCTCCCCCCACCCGTCTCCATGTGCCCCCAGGTTGTCACCGCTCTGGAGACTTCATGCTCCATGGCTTTGCTCACACCCCTTGTCCTGCCTGGATGACTGCTCCTGTCATTTTTCAAGGGGTATTCCCACACTAAATTGTCAAAAGAGGGGTCTCTCCTCTGAACCCCCACATTTCTTCCATCTGTTCATTGAGCAAAAATGGCATTTTTCTGGGCACTGCATTCTCATAGAGTGGAGACTAGAAACTAGTGTCCCGCTGCAAGTCCCCTGAGTTAGTTGGTGGAGAGGAAGGGGTGGGGAACCAGGCCAGGGCACAGCCCTGGCTTGACCAGCTGCCACGTTCCACTGGGATCCACACAACCACTGCTTCCTCGCCAGCAAGTGCCCTAGTTTTGATTCTGGGCAGTTGCTGGTATTTGGGGCGTCTGGACCTCTACCCAGCTGGAGTCAGAAGCTTCAGAAACGGGCACATACTCCAGCTCTGGGCAGTGGGCACAGGAGGGTGGGCGTTCCACAGCCAGCCTGGGAGGCGCACCGGACGCTACTGCCACGGCTTGTGACCACGAGGGCACAAGCCAGAGGGCACAAGCCAGTGCTGAGAACCAGAGCAAAGAGCCTGGGTCTTGTGATGTCTCTGAACTCCTATCCGGTGGGGCCCAGAACTGCCCTGCGTTACTTTCCTACTGCGTGTCAAAATACCCCAAAACTTAGCAACTCGAAGTGGTACTTACTGTCTCCGTGTCTGTGGGATAGGAGTGTGGGGGTGACGGTGGTGCTGGCTCAGGGTCTTGGGACATTGCCGTGGAAGTGCCGGCTGGGGCTGATGTGAGCTGGAGGATCCCGCTTGCAGCCCCACTCAGAGGCCTCAGTTCTTGTCACGGACGCTCCAGGAGGCTGCTCCAGTGTCCTGAGTGGCAGCTGGCTTCTCCCAGAGCAGGTGATTCAAGGGACAGGTGACCCACCCAAGAGTTCACATTTCTTTCTGCCACATTCTGTTCATTAGAAGTGTGTCACCAAGTCCAGCCACACACAAGGGGAGGGCGTCGAGGTTGTCTAGGTTCACGTTTGCAGAGAGGAGCATCAGAAGCTGTGGGTGCATTTCTTTTTTTTTTTTTTTTTTTTATCCTCACCTGAGGATATTTTTCCATTTTTTGTTCAGATAGAGCGGGAGGAAGAGAGAGAGAGAGAAACATCGATGTGAAGGGACACATCGAGTGGCTGCCACCCACACGACCAACCAGGGCCGGGGACAAACTGCAACCGAGGTACGTGCCCTTAGCGGGAACCGAACCCGGGTCTCTCCGGACCGCAGGCCGACGCTCTAACCGCTGAGCCAAACCGGCCAGGGCTGTGGGTGCATTTCTATACCACTGCGTCCTCGGGGTGAGCTGAGGGTGTGGCAGGTGCGGGGAGGACGGCAGGCGGGTTGAGAGCCTGTGGAGGTGCCGAGGGTGTGGCAGTCCAGGGCTCAGGTGGCCACTGTCTCAGCTTTGAGTGAGTGGAGGCAAGTGGCACTTTTGCGTTTAAAAGATCACATGCCAGAAGGTTGTGGGTTCGATTCCCTGTCGGCATATGTGAGAGGCAACCAATTGATGTTTCTCTCCCTTTCCCTCTCTAAAATCAGTAAGCTTATCCGCGGGTAAGGATTGAAAAAGGAAAAGATCACTCACCTTGCTTGGGCTCAGAAGTAGGTGGCTTCTTGAGGCTGGGGTGGCACTGAGCGCAGAGACCCAGATTTAGAACCAGCAGTGGAGAAAGATTTGGCTTCTTAGAAGGCACTTGGGGACCAGTCATGAGTCAAAAAGGGAGGGTGCCCAGCGAGACGTCCCAGGGGCCCTGTGGAGTCACAAGGACTGGCTTGGGCCCCATCAGTTAAGGAGGCGCATGGGCCTCGTAGTGAAAGGAAAGCCCTTGTTTGGGAAAGGGCCTCACGGTTGCACGGACAGGGCTGAATCATAGGGCACTCTCAGGCCCAGAAAGCCCTACAGGCCCATCCCCACCCCCAGCAGCCACACAACAGGTCCCTTGTCCTGGGCCTTCAGGCAACGGAGCACCTGTTCCTCTGAGCCAGGCTTCTCTGGGAGTCTCCTCACAAAGGGCAGAGACAGGTGGGAGGCAGGCTCTGGCTTCCCCACGGAGCCCCACACCTCGGGAAGGCCCTGGGCTCTGCAGGACCAGCCACCAGCCCACACACCCTGGAACTGACTGCCCTCTGAGCCCTGGGAGATGGTGGGAGCCTGGGCATCCATCCCCACGGATCCTGGAGGTGTCTAGAGCAGCTGCCCAGGAGCCTGGGGGGCTCTGAAATCACCTGAGCAAGAATCCCTGGGACCCTGGTCCTGCTGGCCGGGTGCCCTGATCTCTGGGCCTGTGTCCTCAATTACAAACTCCGCGGTGCAGAAGGCCCACAATGGCCATGAGCCTTAAGCAAGAAATGATGCCAAGTGTTTGCTGGTCCTGGGCTGTGGGGCTGGTCAATGACGGCCACAAAGGAGGACTGCTCCTCTGTGGGATGTCTCAGCTGAGGTGGGGAGCAGGAGTGGGGTCCCAGAAGTTTGGGTGTGCCCCCTGGCCTGAAGGCGCAGCTGAGAAACCTGGCAGGTAGGACTGGAACTCGACCATCTGAGTCCTGAGGGCAATCACAGGAGGCTCTGCAGAAGTGAGGAGGGCACCTCCCCAAGGGCTCCAAGGGCCAGACTCACTTGAAACAATGAGACGCTGAGTTTGTGTGGCCCTCACATCCCACAGGTAGGTATCACGGCCCTGTTCTGCTGATAGCACGCGCCTAGGGTGGAGGTGGTGGCCGAGGACAGTGGGAGACAGTGGGATGCCACGGCTCCACAAGGGGGCAGCCAGCGTCCCCCAGCCGGGCAGACTCGCTCACTTCGCTGACTGCTGTGGGAAGAATGGGTTCTTTTTGGGTGGTTTTAGATTAAGTTTGGGTTCTTTTTAACCCCCACTATGAAAACATGAAAGCACTCAGCTCAGTCTGTTAAGATATTGCTTCCAGGTGTGTCCTCTTTAGTTCAAATAAATTTTTTTTAAATAAAATAGCCCCGCCGGTGTGGCTCAGTGGATTGAGCGCCGTCCCGTGGACTGAGAGGTCCTGGTTTGATTCCCGGGCAGGGCACATGCCTGGGTTGCAGGCTCCCCCCATAGGGGGCGTGCGGGAGGCGGCCAATTGATGTTTCCCTCACATTGATGTGTTTATCTCCCTCTCTAAAATAAATACATGCCGCTTAC